TGTATTTTCGAGGGTGCCTTTTGGGTGGGTTTAATGGGAAAACATTTTAGGGGTTCCCTGTTTGTTTTAAAAACCCACATCCCCCATTCCACTTCCCTTGGTTCAACACATAGCCACATGCGTTTACTTGTTCATGTGGGCTCGTTGCTTGTCAGCGAGATGTTTGCAGCCGATCTGATCAACGTTTGAACTTGGGGTTGCTGTCTTTGTTTGGCGGTGGCTGAGACCCAAACAGTTTAATCTTAGCGCCTTGGGATATGAACCAGGTTCTTTTCCTAGTCGGGAAGCCACCAAGCATTGTCCAACAATAGGGAAATTGTCTCCCTTTTGGTTGGCTTGCCTGGTAGAATTCCCCTCCGGCATTACCATGCCTGTTCTGGAAAGTCGACTCATGTTGGCTGATGAATGGACTTGGAAGAGAAAGTCCTTAGAGAAAGTCCTTAGCTTACACATTGACATGGCCATTAAAGCACTAGCCCGGGCAAAATAAATGTGGCCTCACAAGAAGCATTGATTTGCAAACAGAAGCCCACAATGGTTCGTTTGTTTGTCTTTGGGCTACCTTGTTGAGGTTAGTGACATATCTATACCCTAGGGGCTTCCAAGGCAGGCGCGCGCCACAAAACTGGGTGCCCGAAAATAAGCAAGCCGCCTGGGATAAATCTAGCGCCATGGGAAGCGGGGAATTACGGGTTGCCCGCAGGAAGCTGCCTGAACATAAGACTTCAAGTCTTACTGTACCGCAGGTATCCGAATGTATATCCTGAAATAGCTATATATATATAAAAATACATAGAGAGAGATATCACATATATACAGATATTGCATGTACACACACATATATATATATATATTGAACACCTTGTTTTTGAAGGGAAACAATGGAAAAAGAAAAAATCAACGCACGGAGTCCTATTTTGAGGCCTTGCCTGGTGCTGCATGTGCTGGTGGGCGGCTCGCCCGCCCACACCGTGTTCTGCAAAGAGAACGACTTGTAGGGCCGAAAAAAACGCCGATCCGATCTGCCGGGCGCGGGGTTTTGGGGGGGGGGGGGGTTCTCGGGACTGTTGTTGTTGTTGTTGTTGTTGTTGTTGTTGTTGTTGTTGTTGTTGTTGTTGTTGTTGTTGTTGTTGTTTTTTGGGGGGGGTTTCCCGGACCCGGAAAAAGGCGGCCTCCGTTTACGGTTTTTATGGGTTCTGAAAGGTTTTGCTGGTCTTGTATTTGCATCATCTGGCAAGATTATCCAATTTTGCGATTTGCCTTTCCGCGGATGGACGTCTCACCGGGTCCCCTACCTCCGGAAAGGTTCACGAGCCTATCAGGACTGTTCTAAGGAGCGTTCCTAAATGGTGGCTTTGACTTGGATTTCCTACACCCAGTGGGAATAGGTACGCAAGGTTTTGGCGTAAGGCATCTTCGATCTGGGGAATTTACTAGAGATGCTCAAAGCACCAGCACACTCTCTCAGGAGTTCCTCCATTTCCCTTGGAACCTCCATTTCAGTTGCGCTCGTTCCAATGGACATCACCAATAAATTGATCAACTGGTGATTTGGGGAAATCCGGTGCCCCCTGTCTCTGGGTTCCTGGACTTCTACTTTTTGGGCTTGGGCCAGTCAACGTGGCCAGCCTGGCAAGTTCAGCCTTTGGCGCCAGCGGCTCCATTTGTGAGATGGAAGGTAAACTACCAGTTGCACAATTACACCAACTACTCTCTACTTGCAATATGGGTGTGGCTGAAAAAAATACCTTGGATTTCTCAAAACGGTTTGCCCTGCAAATGGAAAGCAGTTGACAAACACCTGCGGTTTTTTGGCTCTTAAATTGGGTGACCCCTCCAAAATAGTGGTTCTACTTGTGGTGTCCCTTTGAAAAACCCTCGCAAACAAATCGCCCCATACTGACTTGGCATCCGGTGCCAATCATTTTGCCACGTGACGGGCTTGCCCTACGCTCTCCGCTCGCGGCGCGCTTTGCTCATAGCCACCATTTAGCACGGGGCTTCCAGCACGGCGTTTGAGGCTGGTCTTTGGTGCGACCTTTTGTTTCTTGCCTCGTAGAGCTTTTGGCAGGAAAGTTGGGTGACACCCTGTGCTCCCAGCTTCCTTGGGCGAAGTGTAGTTGGGGTACCTTCTTTTTGAATTTGATGTAGAAAGTGGAAAGTCCTGGATTTGGTTTCTATGACCTGGCGGGTTTTCGGCTTCAGACTTGTCCAAACGGTAGTGCTGACTTCGGACGAATCTCGTCAAAGGATTCCCCCGATTCACCCCTGATTAGCTGAAGGGCATGTGCTGTTGCGACACACACACATATACATATATATATATATATATATATTTATGTACATACAAACGTGTACCCAAAAATGGATACGCGCACGCCACGCACACACAGCATTTGCTTGCTGCCTGCCTTGTCTTCTCGCACCCTCGCCTTTGCACTTGGCCTTTCGCAGGTTCAGAGCAATGCGGCGTGCACGAGTCTTGTCGGGTTGTGTGGGGAGCCCTGGAGCGTCACCTGCGCTTCTGGAGAACGAGCTCAGCGGAGAGGTCGCGTAAAACGAAATCACTCACGACGAAGCCTGGTTTCCAGCCGTGCCATGAATCTGGGGCAAATTTCATCGACGTCACTAGGAGCTGGCAACATTTTGCGACACCTCGCTCAGGAAGGTTTCTTTCATAGGGACCCCTTGTTCGGTTGGCGATGAGATGATTCGCCCAGATGAAGCGCAATCAGTTGCCCAAAACGAGGTCCACGGATTTCTGGCAAAAAACCCTCGAGGTGTCCGTCCATGCGATCCCCCAGTTTGAAGAGGTGGCAAATATTTGGGCTGCCAGTTTCCGGATATTCCACTGTATTTTTGAAGAATGCGCGTTTTCCAGCGTTTTCCCACCAACCAACAACACGCAGTGGTTCGCGTGTTGCCCACGCCACGAACCAACAACAAGTCCTTCACTTCTTGCCCAGGCAATCAGAATTGCCGCAAGAAACATGTCCCGGGACGTTGGGGGAGTTGAAGTATCATGATGCCTATGTAAATCACCTGAAAAGTTGCTGGTGGATATGAGCCCCTGCCTAAAGGACATCCACAAGAGTGTTTCCATTCCCAAATGATTTCTTACCCAGTTATCGGCTAAGGCCGTACTCCTTGCCGGGGGCATTGCGTTCCTGAGCCATCCGCGATTTGCTACCTCCCTGGGCAGGACCGCGGAGGGGAAGGAGGGCAAGGAGCAAGTGGATGTAACTCATTAAACGGTCAAGGAACCTCACAATGGCAACCCCAGATTCGCAAACCCGTGGTTGGCTAATTGGGGTAGTGTCCCCTTCAAGTGGGGGTTCATCACTTTCGGAGGGAACACCCTCTATTGATTGGGAGGGGTTTCTGAATCCGGGGTGAACATTCTGATTTGACAGGACTTCGGACCGCCTTTTGGCAGAGAAGTCTAAGGCTTCGAATGGGTCCAAGTACCTAAGGCCGCTGTACTCCAAGTTGCCAAGGGGCCCTTGGGTGGAGATGTTCTTGGCATTCTTGACTTGACTTGGCCTTGTTTGGCTTGGCGTGGTGATAAAGCCCTTGACCACTGAGGTCTTTGGGCATGAAGAGGTTCCGAGAACTTATTGGGCCTTGCGCAACGTGGCTGGCCGACCTTCCTGGAGACATCAAAGGGAGGTTTGGCTCTCCACGCTTTACAACACGAACTTGGGGGGGGAGGGAGGGCGTTGTAACACTGGTTTTCCTCTCCATGGCCTGCAGCAAAAAGGAGCACATTGGCTTAAACACCGGCAAAGAAACAAATCGGCCACCACACCCAACTAACCATGATGGGGAGAATTGCAGGATTCTGTCCGGCTGATCAGGGTGGTCATTTCAGGTTTGGCGGCCATTCAGCAAGGGATCTGATTCGGATTGCAGCCTCGGTTGGGCATAGGCTGACGGTTCAAGCGTAGGACGAGGCGTTGAGCCCACCAGCAAACCTATCCACCACTTCTCTATTGCTTTGGCCGGGGCGGCGGGGGGCAATGCATTTTTCAAGGTTGGAGAAATGGAGAGGAAGCGGGATGGCTCTAAACCACCCCCCCCCGGTTTGGTGCAAATCGGGTTCACCCATTTCTTGAATGCTTTTGGGCCTTGTCCTTGACCCCTTAGATTTCGGGAGATGGTTATTTTCCCACCTGCAAAAACATACACTTGGGGATTGACGCCCCAGGAATGGCTCTACAGGCGAGCTCGCGAACCGGGTTCCGACCGGCGAGGTTCTCCGGCCGGGAATTGGGCGGTTCATTGAAGTGGGTGTACGGCTTCCTTTTAGGGGACCCCCAAAATGGATTTTGTTTCCTTTTTGGTGTCCCTTTCACACCACACAAAAGGGGGTACTCTAAAAACAAGCCCAGTTGCCCAAAAAAAGGAGAGATGTGCGCAGAGCCTTGACATGTGCACATGTGCAATGGCCAGTGCACATCCAGAAAAGCACATATAGAAAAGCACATTGGGCTCAGGTTCCTGCTTGAAGCAAAATCCATCACACACACACACACACACGCTTGTTGCGGCAATCCTGAGGGCCTGCTCCTTTACGGAAGGTTTTCTCACTGTGTGTTTGCTGACCGTGGATGTTACCACAAACGGCGGCCAACTCGCAATAAGCTCAACAGTGTTGCGAGCTGTTTATATTGCTGGTATATGACCAAACGTGGCATGGCTGCCGGGCAACTTTGGCGTGTCAAAACTTCCCAGGGTGCATAACATCCACAGGCACATGAAAGTATACGTGTATGTGGTACGTAAGTTGCCTCTTGACAGTGGGCCCCCCAAGCGAGCGCAGGCGTTCCTCGCTCCGCGCCTGGCGCTCGGAGCGCGCTTCAGGGGATGCAAATGAGCAGCGCCCGTTTTTAGCTCCCCTTGTCAGGTAGGCACGTGAAGGTTGCTCTGGCTCCGCTCAGAATGTGACATGACCCCACGAGAACACCCCAAAGCTTTCGTTGGAGAATCCATTCATTTGTTCATGCTTTTTTGCAGTATCGGCCTTACAATCAGGTAGGGGAGGCAAAAACCCGGGTGGCCCCGTCGCGATCTTCGCTCAGGTTCCATCCAGCAGAGGCAAGTGTCGAGGCCAGGGTTTCGGTTTTCGGTCGAGCCCGAAACCCCAAGCTGAAGCTCCAGCTGAAGCCGAAGCCGAAGCCTTGGCTTGGAGCCAACCTGGATGCTTGAAGGGGGGTCCTGAGCAAGTGGTTAGCAATCCCACTCAGAACCCAGCTTACAAACCATCGAGTAAAGTATAATATACGGTTGCTAACCACTTGCCAAGTACCCTTGCCCCGTCAAGTGTCGGTATGTTTGTGTGTTTCTCAAAGTGTGTTTTGTTTTTTCCTCCAGTTTCCCGTTTTTAAACCATCCAACTTCCTGCTTAAGCCATCCAAAAGGCCCCCCCCCCAATTTGGGTGTCCAAAAAAGTTGGAGGCCCCCTAAGATGTTTGCATCTCTTTTGGTATGAAGTTTAAAAAAAAAAAAAAAAAAAAAAAAAAAATCTAGGCGACATTTTACATGCTCCAACTGTGGATTCCAGCAATTCTCACACTCTTTTAGCAACCTATTGGCACTTTTCAAGGAGGAATCCGTGGGTCTTTTCAGGGGACCCCCAAAACATGTGTTTTCCTTCTGGTTTCCCTTTAACACCCAAAAAACGGTCACCCTCAAAACAAGGGGCCCAGGTCGAGTATCACCAATTTGTTGCCAGCCCCTAGCCATGCGGAACTCGGCAAGGGCATAGAGTCGGCTGGGCCGGTCATGGCGGCGGCCGCGGCCTTCTTGTCCGAGACTCATCGGGAAAGAGCCAGCAGGAGTATTGCTGGCGCGATATGTAGGGAATGGTCAAAATTAAACCACGGTCCATGTTTCCACTTACTAGGGTTCCATTTGGGGTACCTATGTTTGACCCACAGCCATGTAGGGGATGTGGTTGCATGAACCTGCAAATTCCCTGGGAAACCACCGTTACAAGGGTCATTTTCCTCATTCCCCGAGCACCAGCAAGTACCTTCCCCACTTTTTATCCAGAGAGATCCTTCTTTCTAGCCCCCAGAAACTCAGGTATAGACCTAGTGGGCTTCTCTCGAGAGACATCCCCAATAGGGGATAGGGCCAAAAAGCAAATTCGGGCCTGAATTGGAGTGGTGGGAACTGGGGATTTGAACCCCCTGGCTCTGGAGGGTAAATGAGCTTGAGCACTCCTGGGCCACCAACCCACCAAACGAGGGGAATGGGATGGGCGGCTTGGGCTCTTCATTCAGGCTCACCTGGGTGGCTCGTGTTTTTTGCGTCCATTTTTGGAGCGGTTTTAAAGGGAAAGCAGCTATATGTTGGGGCCCCCTGAGAAAAAAGTTGGCACAGCCATAATGAGCATATTGACATGTACCGAGAGCCCTAAAAAGCTCTGTGCTAGGGTCTCCCGGTAGCTGTTTGCCAAAGCGGCTTAAGAGTTCTTATGCTGGAGCTTGTTTGGCGGTTTGGGGAGTCTTCGTTGGAGGGCGATGTGTATTTGGACATGGGAGTCCTGTTGAACGATCCCCTTTGTTTGATACAAGAGGGTATGATTTTCGATTTTCATTTGGAACCCTAAAAACGCAATCTCTGAAAGGGGGGGGCTTTGCTTTGGTGCGTTGGTGCTCCATGGGAATTGGATTTGTACGGGGTATCAAGCAGGGTGTTTGAGAAGTCTGGGCGGCTCATGAAATTAGACACCACGCGAGAAGGCAGAAACGCACGCAAGATTTCAGCGCCGACCTCTTGTGAGGCCCTCCTGAAGGTGTCACTGAAACCAACAACACGGAACTCTTGAAAGCGTAGCTCTTTGCTGCTGGACTTTAGTCACTTGTTGGGAAGGTCACTCTGGTGGTACAGAGAAAGTCACGTTACCTTTTCACACCAATCCACTGGGGCAATATGGGAATTACACGCCAGGCCCACTTTTGCGGGCCCTATTCTGTTTTCCACGAACTTGGATGCGTATCAAATAGGGGCACCCAAAGATATTCATGTTAGTTTTCCTTTGGGCCAATCCAATAAAAACGATACCGTCAAAAAAGCCACCAGCGATAATTTGTGCCAGCACTGGCTTGAACCAAGGTTCAGCGCAGTGCTCAGCACGGCCTCCCAGTGGGTAGATGTTGCCTTTGCACAACGTGGAACTAGCCGTGGGTCAAAAGCATGCACCCCCAGTGAACATCCCAATCCCCACTAGAATAGATTTAAATAGGTGGTGCAACTACCCCAAAATGGTACCATTGGTTTCGACCCACAGCCAACTCATAGTCCAAAAAGTGTCTTCCAAACAGGGCCTTTTTTTCGGTCTTGCCAGGGTCAGAAGTTGCTCAGTGGGCAGACTGGTAAACTGTTGTGCCAACTGGTTGTCTCGCGTGCTCAGTAAAACCCAAGGACCAATAGGCTTTTCAGAGGACAAGATAGCCTTCCAAGAGTCAGAACGCCTCCAATCAGATTCCATGTTGGGTGGGAGGTTCTGCTTTCCGCAGCCGGTAAACTGAGCCCACCCGCGATCAAGCTACATATTTTTTTTTAGTTGACTAGATCAGTAAGATAAAGCACACACAATGTTTAGCTCTACTTTGTTGAATGTGTTGAGTTGCACAGATTTGTTAAAAGGGACGCAGTTCTCAATCAGCATCTCAGTTCTACCCATTGCCCGGTCTGTATAAACCATACCTGGAAACTCCTTCCGGCCAAAATTTCAGCCGCGGACTCAAAAAGGCGCCTTTTTGCGTCCGCCGGCGGAATTGGGATCTCCGAAAAAGCGAGCGGCGTTTTTGCTTTTCCGGCGGCGTTTTTCATACGCGGCCTTAAAGAGCATTGCTGCCACAGCTTTTGCTTTGACCCATGCGCATGCGCCAATGTGACAAGCGTTGATTCTGCAAACCGCCTTTTGTCTCATTATATTCAATATATGCAGCCACAAAGCAGCCTTTTGCAACTTGCAGCCACCGCAGTACCCTCGCATGCCTACCGCCAATCTCTTCAATCAGGGCATGACCCGGGTGTATGAATCATGTTTATTCGATGCGTGTGGCGAGTACGCAGCCCTCTTTGTCTCCACTGCTTCTGGCTTCAAAGGGGCTGGTTGCCCCAAAATACAGGAATCAGTTTTTTCCTGCATGCACGGTTTAATAGACGGTTTTGTATTTTGGTGGTGTTTCGGGCTACGGCGGAAACACGCGGGATTACGGCGGAAACACGCGGGATTACGGCGGAAACACGCGTCCAAACAGTGGACGTTCTCAGGGCCTTTGATTGCGTGGCTTGACGCTTGATCTCCTTACCTTCGATTCGTGCTGTTATTAGCATCGCTGTGCAAAGCATGTCTGGTCACAAATGCATTGCCGGCAGAAATCATGATGCATGCTGTTGGCTATGTAGTTGCGGGCACCGACTGTTCTCTGGATGGGTGGAGTCGTTGCTGCGTGCCCAGTGCCCATCTTCATTACTTTCAGCAGCTTTTGTGAGCAAATCAAAGACATGCCAGTTGGTGTTGCATTGTGGGAGCAAGTGCTTGGTTCAGTTTATGATGTGCTAGACCAGGCTTTGCGGCTGTTTTTTCTGGCTGCCGGCGTTTTTCAGAGCTGCCGGCGATTTTTTCTACTTGCGGCTGAAATTCTTGCTGAACGCAAAGCGGCTGAAATTTTGGCCGGACGGAGGTTCCAGGTATATTGTCCTTTCCGTGCTTCGTGGCCTCAGCCCCGTTGGATTGTTTCCTTCTCCCTGAACCATAGGCAAATGGATAAAGCTTGACTAAAAACTCTCATTTGTAATGGGAATCCCGGATTTACTACTAGACCCTGGCTGTTTTTGATGGGGAGGTTGTCTTTGCTGGATTCACCACCTTTGGAGGGAACACGCCCCTATCAATCTGGGGTCAACATGAACGGAATCTTTTCTTGGCCTTGCAGGGCCCACGTTTTGGATCGTTTTGGGCCGTGTGAAAGCGCCTAGGCTTGACGTCGCCCATTAAGAGGGAGGGATCCAGACTTGGTGGCTCTTTAACCTCTAAGAATTCAACTTCTTTGTGGGGAAGTTGAGTGGTTGCACGCAAAAGTGAATTTGTTGGTGAACAATTTGACAGTTTGCCCGCAAAAGTCCCAAAGTTAACCCAAAGGATGTTGCTTACGTGCATTAAACATGTTTGAAGCGGCTGGCCCGACCAGTGGATTTCAATTCTTCTTTGCCTTTCTTTCAGGCGGGGGTTCTTTCAAATCAATCAGGGACCCTCCCTCCAACTCCCCGTGGTAATAGGCCGCATTTTGCAAGGTGAAGCGCGGCCAAACTATGCCTTAATGGTTCGGGGCGGAGATTGCATAGTCCCTGAATCAAGCGGCAAGAAAAGCCGTTTTTGTGGCCATGGGCCAAGCAATAAAAATATATATAGAAATATATACACGTGAATCAAGCGGCAACAAAAGGCGCTTTTGTGGCTATTATATTTGTAGAAATATATATATATATGGCTCGGTTTGAGCAACCGGGGCTTCGGTTTACAAGCTTCAGCTTCTTCACCTGGCACAAATCGCGGCAATCTCAAGAAGTGGGTGTGCGACCTTAGTGGACCTTTGGTTATGGAGAGAGCTGCTCTCATCTTGGTGGCCCCCAGCGAATCGTCCCCTTAGCTTTTTTTCGGCTTTTAGTTGGTTTAGTGGTAGTTTCCATTTAACCAACCACGAAAAGTTAGTCACTTTTAGCAGGGGATTTTTTTGGGCAGCCCGGTCAGGTGTGTGAAATCTTCGGTCCAATCATGGACTTTCCCCCTGGTCGTCAGCTTCCATGATTGTTGGAGGGAGGGTATTGTTCTACTTCACTTTGAGGTGTTGCTCAGGCTTAAGTCATTGCCGCAAGCTCTGTTCAGGAAAGGGATCGCCCCCAGGTGGTTCTCACAAGGCCTTAGATCAGACAATTCAATGAACCTTTCCTGGGAGGCCGAAGGGCCTCATATTTCCGTGGCAGCCAGGTGGCACCTGAGGAAGAAGCTAAACTCAAGTCGCGAGGGTTGATTTGAGGTTCGGAGATGCTCCGAGCTGCGTTTAGAGATTTGACAATCTGGAGTTGTATATTGGGAACCGTACTTATAAAATGGCACTGCTTGAAAACACCCAGGACGACCCTTCAAGGGGCAGAGGGGGGGGCGGGAGGGCGGACAAAACACAACGAAATCCAGTATTGAACAGAAAAGCCAAGAGGAAAAACAACGAAATCCCTTGAACAAAAAAGCCAAAACGAAAAAACCATCAAACCCATGGAACAAGCACATGGCACGCCCAAATATGTTGAGCAGATGTTCAACTTCTGTCCAGCTGCTTTGCGGAGGCCAAGGATGGAGCAGAAAGTCCAGCCTGCCGGCGGCTGAGCGCCATGAGCGGCCATGGCGTGAGTCTGCCCCCGTGAAACGGGGGGGGGGGGGGGGCTTTGAGTCAGGAGCGAAAAGTATCCTTTGCTGCATCTTGCTTGGATGAGAGGACTTTAACTTTTTGCCATCTGATGGGTTTTCCGTATTAAACCACTAAAAGTTGAACTTTTAGCAGGGGAGCAGAAAGCAGCCGAGTATACATCTATACAACTCAATCAACTCAAGAAATTCAAATTATTCCAAACCTGGAATTCATTGCATGCTTTCACCTAGCGAATGCGAGGAAGGGAGATGAAAGATGCCACCCCTGTGAGACAAACTCAAGCAAGGTTCCTTTGTCTGGTTGGGGCCTCCGACAGTGTTCCTGCTTGCCTTTTGCATACCGACCACCATTTCGACAAGCTCCAACAGGACCGGGTCTAGGGTCTCCTTGACGATTATTGTTTTTGGGGTGCACTAACGCAGAAGCTTTTGAAGCTCCCCCCCCAAAATGCCAGCTCAAACTAAAACCAAAACCCGATGCTCAGCTATTTGAAAGGAGCCTGCCTTTTTGCCTTTGGTGTTGTTCCTAGATTTTCCCTACCCTTCCTTTCACAAGCGTATCGCCTTGGGAGGGTACCTGGAAGATCAATTTCCCAGAAGGAGCCGCTGTCAGCCATGATCTTTGGAGGGTAGGTGTTCACCTTTTGAGGTCCACTCGGAACACTTGGGTGGATTCGGTTGATCCTTCCGATGGCATGGTCTGGGCGCGCTGCAGGTTGCGGATTCGGATTACTCGAATCCATTTGGGAGTGACTCATATTTTTGAGGAGACCCCTTTTTGGGGTTGGTTTTAGAGGGAAACCAAAAGGAAACCAAATGTTGAGGGTCCGAATCCTGAGGCCACACCCATTTGAAAGAAACGGTGTTTGTTCGTCGGTTCCGGTCATGTTGCCTAACGGGCAACTTCCTTAGTTCATTTCCTTCCAACCGGCGGACTTTGCTCAGAAACCAAAACTTGAACATGTTTGGTTGGCAATGAAACCAGGATCTGCAAATATTCAGTTGTTCTGTACCGCAGATGTGGGCCGCGGGCGGTTTTTTTATGCCTATCAGGCCTTCAGCCCAGCTGACCGGCATTGCAGCTCAGGCTTCTCGAGAAAGTCGGGAGGGAGGGCACCTTAAGGGCGAAGATGGTGTTCAGATGGGCTTGTCTTTGTTTCAGGGCCCCCCCCACGGATTTCAGTTGTCCGTTTGGTTCTCTTTAAAACCACCCAACAAGGGGTAGCCTTGACAAAACGAGAGACGGGTCTATATATGGGGCCTGCAGGCCCATGGGCTTACGGGCCCGCCAGCCTGCCCATGGTACTGAGGCTACGGTGTTGGATTTGGGACTTGTGTCGAAGTTGCAAATCCGCGGGTAGGTACTTGGACCTTTATACGGTAGCTGTGCCTGGAAAAAGCAGGTATAGCAATGTGGGTCATCCTGGCTCGGACAGCCCGATCCCCCAGCTCAAATTTGCCAACAAGAGACAAAAACTGGTAGACAGAACGACTCGCCCACTAAGACATCCAGAAGGGGCTCCACAACACCTGATCCTCTTCAGGGCCTTCTTGAGCAGGGTGTGTGGCCACTCCCATGCTGTCTCACGTGCTCATCGAATAACTAGCGGACAAGGATCATGTCGGAGCAACGGGGTGTTTCCCAAGGTGCAGGATGCCCTCTGCAGGACGAAGAAACTAAACCCAGACCTGCAGTGTTGCTTAGTATCTTCTTGCAAAGTGTTCTTTTTCTGTGAAGACAACTGCCCACCAAAACAACGCGTTGGCCCCCGTTTCTCCCGCACTCGGGTTGTGCAAACAAGAAAGCGAGTCGATGCAGGCTGCGCCCTGTGCCAGGCGTGGCCCGGAAACAGCGACATGTTATATATTTGTTCACCGACATGGGTTTGTTTTTGAAGATGGGGGACCCCACTTTTTAGTGGGTGACCGACTTTTTGTCCGGGAAAGACACCTTGTCATATTGAAATCTGACCTTTCACCATTGTTTCTTTAACGTTCCGCTGGTTGTGCGCTCATAGGTGGTCCCTTAGTGGTTCTGAGCCCCCCCCCCATCAGAAAGAGGTTGCAACATAAACTCTACTTGTCCACCATACGGGGGGATGGTTAGCAGCGGTTTGCCTGACACGGGTGTTTCTTGAAACAGGTCCTGCCAACCAAGAAGCGGCCCTTGAGAACTCCCAAATGTGTGCGTTCTTTGAGGGAGCCACCCTATGTTGCCCCCTTCCGTTCACCCAAGAAAGCCAACGTGCCGAAATTTTCCCACCTCTTTGTGCTCAGCGGCCCGTTGGTTCTTGAACGGCTGTGGTAGGGACTCCGCGGACATTCGTTGGCTGTGGAGTTTCAATTGCTCCCTAAGAAGCCAGGCCCTCATATTCGTTGGTGTGCTGTAGATGTTCCTGCACCTCTGCCCTTGTTTAGGTTGCCATGTCCTGCCATGAAGCACATCCTCTTCAGTGACAAAGTGTCTAGACGGACAATCACGGAAAGCCAAATCAAAGTCCTCACGAGCGAGTTATTGCAATCACAGCCATATGGGTGTGTCCTCCCACACATGCTCAGTGATTTGACCGCAACATCCCTTGACACCACCCCAAACAGGTAGCCTCTAAAAAAGCGACGCCCATGTGGACATTGCTCGGGGTTTCTTCCTTCAGGCCGCTTTGCGTCGGAGCATTCCTCCCGCGAGGTATGAGCGCGCTTTGGTGCCCAGATCTGCGATGTTGTGGCAGCCTGAGTGATCGGATGGGTCGGGTCCAAATGGATCACATCCGCAGCTTCGTCGCCTGCCAGAGACCCTCCGCTTTAGGTGAACTTGGTTGGCTCCCAGCCATCCCCTTAGCTTTTTAGCCTTTCAGTGTTTAGTGGTAGTTTCCTAAAAGTTAAACTTCTAGCGGGGGATCTGAGGGCAGCCCAGTGAAGAAGTCCATTTGGAAGGCATTGTTGTGCTCCTTGCTTCTCATCAGGCGCTTTCGGAAGTGCAAGTCCAGAAGCACAAACACTAGGCCGGTCTCACTTTCCGAAAGACCTGCGTGGAAATCATGTGAAGGTTAGTGGACATGGGCGCCACGATTCAAAAGCAACTTCTCAAAGGGTCGGCTTTGGCCAAGTGAGTAGTCCTCCTTGCAACCTCTGAGACAAGTCCAGCATACCATTCGAAAAACGGCCCATCACTTTTTGCCGATCAGACCCTTAAACAAAAATCTGGCGGAGACTGGAGTGGGTCTTCCCCCCTGAGCATTTGTGTCTAGCCAGTTTCAGGTTCAATGTAAGTTTTTGTAAGGCCATTTGTTGGACCCTGGGCCGACGATTTGTGCCGTGTGCCGCCTTTGTTTCGGGAACAACAAGGGCTTTGATTTTCACAACCCACACGTACTTGTAGCCCATTGTGCTAGAACCCCTCTAAAATTGGACCCCTCCCTGCATTTCGTAAATGCGACAATCCACCCATCGAATCGGCCTATTGAGAGCTATTGCATACTTGATTGGCCCACTGCATTAGAACCCCCGCTAAACATGGGATGAGACAAAGCACCCATCAAATCGGCCTATTGAGAGCCATTGCACGCTTATTTGGCCCATTCATGGGTGGGGGGAGCAAGAAGTGGATGTGTTGCTTGGCAAGTCTGCACCGAGTGCTCGAGCCAGTCTGCAGACGGCCATAGAATGCCATGGGGCCGTCAACTGAGCCCACAGCTGAGGTTCGAAAAGTTCTCTGAGAAGACCATCAAGGCTCGGAGCTCGGCGCTCTCGAGAAACTCTCGAGAAGCTCAAGAAAGCAAAGCCCGCGCGTCTCGAACCAACAAAAGCACCCGGCCCCCACCTTTGGGTCACCAAAGGATACGCTGATGAAAACACAACCAAACTCAGTTGCCCCAAGCGAATCGGATTTCCTGTTTTTTTTTTGGGGGGGTGTTTCCAATGTTGGCCCATGTTTTTTGGGAAAAAGCTCCCAAGAGGGGCAGCTGTTGTTTCTGGGTCCGAACGGAGCAAATGGGACTCATGGCAGCTGCCAGGCGGTGATGTTGGCCCAAGCGGAGGCGCAGAAGATCAAGCAGGAGACAAACCCAACGTCGAGCGTCGATGTGGTCGAGCGGCCTCCAAGCTTTGTCGTTTCAGGGATGCCCACCCCTTTGAATATGGAATTGGGGGAGCTGCAACGAGGAAGCCAATGCGACGCAATTGTTGTCCATGTTGGAGTTTCTTGCCTGGTGATGCCTCGCAGCAGGTGTTTTCGCGCTCCAGAATAGCAGGCATTGTGCTGCCCCGGAATGAGGTTTGCAGGAAGAAGGTTATTGGAAGCTTCCCCCTCCCCTCCCCCCCCTCCCCCCCCCCCATCCGCCGAAACTTAGCTGAAGGCTGGCTGGAATGTAGGGTGTTGGCAGCTACGAACCGAGGGTCGTCTTAGGGTGATTTTCACACTGCCGGCCTTGGCTCACCGTTTCGCTTGGGTTTCCAAAATGTCCATCGCCCACATCACGCGTTTGTTTTCGCAAAGGGGTGATATTGAAATCCATGCAAAACATACAACAGACCATAAGACACCATCCAAGACGGGACCCTTCGGGCTTGGAGGCTTCATTTCCAGATCCTTCCTTGTTATTTGAAGATAAGCCGGGCCTCTTTTTTGGGGCCTCGGTACCCCTTTTTGGTGCAGAAGAAAACACCATGGGGGGCTGTGTTTTGCACCATGGCCAAAAAGAAACTCGAGAAAACCAAGCAAAACACAATTGTGGCACCATGGCCAAAAACAAAACGAAACTCGAGAAAACCATGCAAAAAACAATGTTGGGGCCAAAAACAAAGGAAACTTGAGAAAACCATGCCTTTTTTTTTGTAGGTCAGGCTTTGATTGTGGATCAGCACTCAGATGCGGGGCCATCGGCCCCATGAGAAGGCCGGCTTTTTGACAATGGAAGCCAAACGGAAGCCGGAACCCTTTCGACTGCGTTCCCAACGTGGCCCAGGAAAATCCAAGGAAGATATATGGGTATGGGTGAAAATTATACCACAAGGGGACCGCAGGTTTTAGTCCTTGTCACCTTTTCCAGGGTTCCGTTTTGGGTATCATTTTTTGACCCACACCCAAAAACTTGATCCCGACAGGGGTCCAAAGAGTACATCCTCAGAAGCAAAACCTTTGGGTCCGCTCGTCCCTTTCAGGCGAGTTTCCTTTTGGGGTGATGTTTTTGTGTTTGTTTGTGTTTTGGGCGGGGGGGAGGGTGGAAATAAAGGTAACCGTCAGCTTTGAATCCAAATGGGGAAGATACCCAAGGCAAACCAAACCACCAACTAGCTTCCATTTGCTGAAATGCACGTGTTTTATTTCCCCCCTTATCCATCACCGGACAACTAGTTCTCATATTTTTCCCCAGGGACGCTTTGTTTTTGGTAGACGCCAACTGGCCGCAGCCAAAACGGGGCCCGGGGTCCGGCCGAACCAACCGGGGCCGCGACCGCCCCTCGCCAGACGGCGCTCGCGAGGACCACGTGGGCACGGAGACTCTGGTGGTGGGCCTCTTGGCCGAGGGCAGCGGCGGCGCGCAGGCGCTGCAGACTTTGGGGGTGCACCTCAACGAGGCGGCGCTTCCGATTTTTCGGTTCGTCGGTTCCGGTTGCGGCCATAGGTGTCCGGCTGTTCAGTGGCACCAATTTCTTTTCCTGTTCTTTTTTGGGTGGCTGCCCCACTAAAAATGGTCTTCCCCAAAAAGGGTTCCCTTTTTTTCCTCCAGGGTCACTGAACAACTGAGTAGGTGTCCGGTTGAGTTGGCGATTCCTGGTACCAGGCCCATCTATTTTCCCAAACGAAGGTTCCGGGGACGCACGGGGGAGTTCTGACGACGTAGTTGCAGTTCCGCGGGTCCGAGCAGGGTTCGGGAGTGCACAGGGCGGCTCCGTGAAGGGTTCCAAGTTGTGGGGATGCGTGTTGTTGGGGATATCACCTGGGCTTTTAGCTATTGTTGGGGATGGGGAGGGTCCCTTCTAGTGGGGGTTATTTCTCCAACACGTCGGTGAGTCTCCCGAAAGAACAGGGCTCCCCATGTTAGATCTTGGGTGATTTTTGGGCAGATTTTAGGTGAGTTTCATTTAATGTTTGAAGGCACGCCCATTGGTCCAGTCCAACTTTCCAGTAGCCTATGGTCAATTCTGGGGTCTCCAAAATTATGTTCTGTTCTGGGGTCTGCTTTGAAACAGAGACTGGACATATGATCCTTTTGTGCACACAGGCGAGCCAAGAATTTGGAAGATGGGAAACTGACTGAATGTAGGAAGCCAGGACTCAGGCCTTTCCATTCCAGTTTTGCAGTTGTGCTCACTTCCTGAGTTGATGGACTTCAAACTTTTTGGAAAGACCATTTTGGTGGTAAATAGAAAGTTAGGACTTTTTTTGGCCAATCAACTCAGGAAGCGAGGTTGGGGTTATCACACACGCACGAACCCCGGGGTTTCAAGAGACGTTTGGGCTTTGTTTCGGGGCAACACGTTGCCCTTTTGCTTGGACTTCAGCTGCCGCGATGCCAAAGCATAGCCACCCCGAAGCCACCACGCACCACTGGGTAGCCAGGGTTTGCCTTCACTGCGAAACTGACATTGAAATCTGTTTAGCGTCCTGGAATTCCCTCTGAAGGAAAAGGATGTTTGCGCTTTGTAAGATCACTTTTTGTTCCGCTTCAGTTCGCATCGGGGTGGAACTTCAATCCCTTCAACCTTGTCTGCCGTGGTTTTGAACTAAACTACAAGGACCACCCACATCACCCAAAAGCGGCACCAGCGCACCCAAAACACCCACCACCCCAATGAAACCAGCATCACTGTATATAGAAGACATACAGAAAATATTCCGAAATGAAACACTAGAATCGCTCCCCTGATTCTTTTTGCAAGGGCGGGCGCGGTCGGGTCAACCCTGGGCTGAACCCGAGTTGGAGGAGTTGTTTCCCTCTGTGGTAGCACCAGCGCCATGGCTGGTTTAGTCCGACGCGAAAGTGATATACAAACATCGTTGGTGGTTCCTGTCTTATTTGAATGTTTTTGCATTAGCTTCACAATGCTTATTCAGGTGCTTATGTGTGTACAGGCGTCCTTGAATTATGCACTTATTGTTTTATATGTCAAAGAATAAATTACATACATATATATATATATTCATGTCACAAATCCCAGTTGTCCAGTGACCCCGTTTTCTACCCAGTAAAGGGTTCCCTTTTTCTACGGGGCAACTGGGTGATGGATACATGAGGTCCCTGAACTGGGCAACGTTGTCCTGGTCATTTTCCCGAACTGGCAATGAGCAAGGTGGGCAAGTTGCATCCGATCTGTTTGACACCAGCGAGAGCTCGCAAAGCTTCAGTGTAGAGACTGGCTCACTGAACACATTTGGCCTGCGTTTCGCAGACTTTTGGCAAATTCTACATGTGCTTGGTTGAGTGGCCAAGGGCATCAATATTTTCGTTGCAATCTGTGTGATGCATGGCTGGGTCATTTGCCTCAGTTCGCACAGGTCAAACATTGCTGTAGACATGGTGGACGAAGTTCTCCAACGAAAATCCAAGGGCCAAGGGACTCACTTTTTTGCTCCCACCTCTGGAAACAAGCAACTTTTTCGAGCTTCGCCGTTCTTGCCATGTCTTTTCCCCAGAAATCGACTGGGTCTCCGCCCAAGAAGATAAAACATCGGCTCCTTCGGGGTGGCTTTGGGCCCCGCGACATGCCAGGCACGCAGGGAGCTGGAGACCATGGTGGGCCACGGCATGGGCCGGGCGCCGAGCTTGAACGGCAACGGCTGGTCTCCACGGGGGGTTGGGGGGGGGAGGAGAGGGAAGGAGAGGAGGCCCAAATACTCCCCTGAGGCCTTAATGAGGCCTTAAGGCGTCGGGTTCGTTTTTTGGGGGGGGCATGTGGGTTGTCAAGCTTCGGGGTCGTTTTTTGGGCACTGGGCTGGTGGCACCTGCGGCAAAAAAGGTCCAAAAAGGAGCCATTTTCGACAAGCCCCGATGCAAACCTCTCCAAAACGAAACCGTGGTCTTCCCCATGTTGGGCAATGTTTAGTAAAGGTCCCAAAAGGATAACTTGTTATTAACCTTGGTTACCCATTTTGGTTCCGACCGGTTTTCCCGTTTTGTTTTGACATCATGTGGTTCCACTTTTAGTAAAATTCCCAAAAGGTTACTTCCGTATCCTTTGGGCAAGTGAGTTCTTGTAATGTCGACCCCTGATTAAAGACCTGTCCCATCAAGAGGGGGGCTGTGTTCTCCCCAAAAGTGATGAATCCCTCACTGAAAGGGGATTTTTTTCAGGGTTATCAATCCGGGCTTCCCAGTGGGCAAGATTTGATAGGTTTCAGTGGGGTTTGGGCTGGGTATGAAATTTGCTCCATCGAAGGTAGCCGTTTCCGGGGGTTGTATGAGCTTTGAATGCTTGGGACACTTGCAAGTACATCCATCCCCATGCAAAAGTGGTCCTTTGAGAAGGATTCCCGGAAAAAAAAAATGGGCACCCCGGTTTCTGATGGTTTTTTATTCAACCGTTGGAGAGTTTTGCACCTCTTGGTTCAACCGTTGCCTTCAGTACGCCATTGGATCCCACTGGGTCTTAGGTTTAGTGGCACAAACCGATCCCGGACCGATCCCCGAGCCTCAAGGCTTCGGGGCTGAAGCTCCGACCGTAGCGAGGAAGAGAAATCTGCAGGGTTCACGATGTTTTCCTTTTTGGTGGTTTGAAGCATTTTGGTCCCCAACCGAGGGCCAAGGATATCATCGACGTCAACGACGACTCACCGGATGTTCAGACAGTTCTGCATGGTTGTTGTTGGGAAAGATTTGTTTTACGTATTTTTGCTTATTGGGGTTTAGTGGTTGAAATCAAAATCCACTCAACTGCTATAAACACTTTTTTTTGCTGCCCAAACCCAACGTCAACCAAGTTTTGGTGGTTTCAAGCATTCCCTTTTGGTCCTCACAGTGAGTTTCCTTTTGGCTGCAGTGTTGTTTTGCAAATCTCGGGAGCCCTGGGGTGTCTCATGGTTTACTGAAGTGTAGGCAAGCTTGTGCGCTTTTGGTGAGCCAAGCCCGTGTCTGTGTGCATTCAGGGCATCCTGGGGTGGTTCGGGCAGTCAAGCTTCGGAAACCGAAAGACCCCTCTGAGGTAGGGAAACCCCACACACATAAATGATCATATAGGGAGGTCCCCGTCCTACCCATGCTCGTCTTCACGCAGTTCCTGTAGGTTTGATTGTCAGAACAAAAGCCAAGACTTCCACTGGCTTAAGAGTATATTTAATAACCCCTGTTGGTCTTCAAGGGAATCTATCACTACTGGAAATGTGTGTTTTTTCCCACCGGACTTAAGAAAATGGAAGATGAACAACCAGGTGGCCCTTCTGACTTCCCATTTTCGGATGGGTCCGCGTTCCTCGTCTCAGCGATCTTTGCACAGGCGGGAAGTCGCAAGAGATCCCGTTTACCACCTCAGCGAAGCAGGTTCTCGAGGACGGACACGTCGGACGTTCCGCTTGGGCGTCCACTTTGTAGTGGTTTCCGTCTAGTCACTTGCATTTGGTTAAAACTATTTGTCATTTTCCACTGTTGGTTTCAAAGGGAATCTATCACTACTGGATTTTTGTTCCCAGGGGACTTAAGCAAATGGAGGGTCGGATGACCCCTAGTTGGTGGTTTGGGATTTGAACCCTTGGTGATGGTAGAGGGTAAATGGGACTCTTAAACACGAAACCACCAAGTCAAACCTTCCAAACAAGGAGAAGCTGAGATGATGGATTAGGATAGGCCAACCCCCATTTTGAACAGATGTGCTCGATTAAAGTATACAGCACCTCCTCAGAAGGTACTTGGACCCTGAGGGATATTGGGTCACAAAAATGCCGGGGCTCATTTGGAGACATGCCCGATTTGGGAACGAGCCTGCTCCATGTACGGCGGGGGCCGGGGTGATTTCAGCCCAGTCAATGGAAACCACGAGGCGCCCGACTCAATGCACCTGTTTGGTGTTTTGGGTGTTGCTTGGGTCAGTTTGACGGGTCAAAAGTCAAAAACTGGGGTTGTTTCCCAATGACATAGCTTTGGGGGTGACTTTGAAAATTGCAAAATCAGGGCGGCAACAGTATTGATTTTCACCCTGAACCAGAAGAATGCTAAGTTATTGCAGTCGGTTTAGAGAGCAAAGTCCTGACAAAGTCCTAAAGGACCTTGGGACGAATCTGTGGGCTCTGAGGGTATGTTTCTCACTCACCGCCCCAAGCAATGGATTCAATGGGTCAGCTATTTCTTTGAAGGAACCTATACAACTGAAAGGAGGGAGGTCCTTCAACCCAGGGAGGTCCTTGAACCCAGTCACCCACCTATGAACAATCCTTACAGGGTGCCAAGGCGGACCCTGGGCAAAACCAGAAGTCGTCATGGAACAGTGCCACATTCACACGCCCGCATCAATGAATCCGCAAATTTTATAGCGAGGATCTAGGAAAGCCTAGGAAAAGTTCACCATGAAGGTCAGGTGCTTGGGAATCATCCATATATGTCCAGCTTCTTATTTTGCATACTCTCCGCAAATTAACATGGAACCTGACGTTCGGGGTCCCTTTAGGAAAATGGTCTGTCTAAACCAGTACGTTATTTTGCAAAGACGGGGTGTCCCATTCAAAAAGGGACTGTCACCAGTTGGGAGGAACACCCCCCCACTAAGCCACCTTCATGAGAAGGCCCAGGCGTTTAACAGGACTGCGTCTGACTTCCTGAGTTCCGTTTCGGACTTTAGTCATTTTTTGGGTCTGGACCATGTTAGTGGTAAACAAAAAACAGTCTGGGTACTTTGTCTGACCAATGCACCCGTCCGGAAGTGAGACGTTGGGGCGCGCGCGCGCGCGCGCAAAAGTCAGGACTCGGTGAGGTGTGCTCACGAGCGAGGCCGCGTGCGGGTGGCGTTCTTTTGCAAAGCCACATGCCGATCTTTGCATTTGTGTTGTCCCTTTTTAATTGTTCTGTTTGAATGTGTTTGGTTTCCCTGTTTAGTTCTTAGTTGTAGTCGTGGCCTTCATATCCAGCACCTTCAGGTAAGTGAGTCACAACATTTTCCCGCCCTTTTTCTTGAATAATCTCAGTGATGGGTGGGGCGGGGTGGGGTGGGTGGGCTTTACTCTGCAAGGTTTGACCAGGTTCACTGGTTGCAACCAGGGTGTGCAGAGTTGCTCCGAGCCTGCCAAAGACCAAGTCTGGGTAGCACCGCGCAGAACTGGTCAAGGGGAGTTCCTGGGCTTTTTCCTTCTTGCGACCATTTGGCTGTGGCTCAAAAGTGGTACCACAATGGCACCCTGGGTAAACTAAATGGAGCCAAAGACCAAACCTGCGTAACCCTAGTCGAACAATTGAGCCACGCCCGTGTGGCCTATGCCTCCATTTTGGGGCGGATGAGCACCCATGTACCACCTATTTTGATGTTCACCAGAGGTTTCCCGGGTTTTGACCCACAGCCAAATAGGGTAGCCCCAAATGGGTTGCCCTGGCAAATGGACACGGACATGGCCCTTCCACTTCGGCCCAAGGAAACTCCAGGTACCTTCCAGCAACGTCCAGGTACCTTCAGGTACCCTTCTGCCACTCTGGCAAGACAAGTTTGGACACTTTGCTTGGGCCAACTCCGCGAGCGACCGCGAGCGAGCGCTCGTTCGCGCGCGCGTTCGCGCGCGCCAGACATGGCCCAAGTGAGCACCTGCCACCTGCTGCGGGCGGTGCTGCTGCAGGCGGGGGACGTGACACGCGCGGGCGGGGGGTGCCTAGTGAAGTCATTGCCTTGTTAGTTCCCAGCGAATCGTCCGGTTCCAGACAGGTTTTCAGGGCGTTTTAGTTGGCTTAGTGGTTGGGTTTGCCGTTTCGCTTGCTAGTTGTCAACCTTTGGGGGATCTGAGGACGGCCGGGATGATGATTTGGACAGCTTCGCGGGTTGCCCTTCCTCCTAACATAGCACCTGACAGGTCCCTTGAAGGGGAAATAGATCATCCAGGTACCCCTGGTGGGAGGAAGGGAATCAGGGTCAGTAGCTGGTGGTGTTTCCCTTGGCTATTTGGATCTTGAGACTTTGCCTTTTGGGAAAATGACATATGTTTTTCCCTACTAAACAGCAGCAAGCAAAATTGCTTGCCAGATTTCTCATCATCCAGTTGATGTTTCTGGACCGTCATGTCAAGTCTTTGGTGTGACGATTTCTCGCCAGTGTTTTGACCTTTTGGATTGACAAATGTGTTTTTTTTTGTGTTGTGTGTGTGTGTGTCTTTTTTTGGGGGGCCCCGAACAGGTGTTATGTTTGGTTTCCTTTTGAGGCAACACACACGGAGCACCCTCCAAAAAGACACCCACTCAAACTGCCAAATGGTCTTCTTGACCTTTTGGTCGTTCGGGCGGAACACAGGCAGCCCAGATTTATCTCACCAAATGGCAGGGGAGAGGCAGTCGCACCGCTCGGCAGCCAGGAAATCCTTGTCTCACTCACTGGGTTCTCTGGACTTGACACTGCCAGGGAAGAAAATTGGAGTGGCAAACAAACAGTTTTGGGCACCTTTTTTTGGCAATCCACTGAGGAAGTGAGTCATTTTTGGGTGTTTGGCCAAGTTCCTGTAGACTTCCTGTGTTTCCTTTGCGGCGGAAAGCAACATATGAGGCTCCCTAGCTGCGTCCCAGGAGAACAGCAACGGCTGCAAATTGCTGGGCAAGGTCCTTGCCACCGAAAGCCTACAGGCCTGTCCGGCCAGGGGCTGATTGTAGCTGGGCTTCCTTGGTATCTTCTGAATTCTACTAGGTCCCCCAGCCAGGTGCCCTTTAACCATTCTTTTTTGGGGGAGGGTACATGAATCCTCACCAAAATGATGGCGACCACAGGGTCCTCAACTAATATTCACACCCGGGTGACGAAGAGTGTTTCTTTAGAGAGACCCCTTGGGGTACCCTCAGTTGGCCAGTTGGCGAATCGACCTTTCAATCAGCTGAGGTTGTCCTCTGTTTGGCCCATGGCTAGCAAGGTCCATATGAGCGGCCGACAAATCCTGCAAAGTCCAATTGCCTATGAGTTGTTTTTTGTTGGCTTAGACTTGCAACCCCATGGGGTGGTTCGGAGCGGCTCCGGGTCAGGGTTCTGGAAGGGTTCCGGGGGTTTCTGTTGGGGATATCGCCTGGGTTTGTTTGATCCCATATTAATCTGACATGGACCCTTCAAAGTGTTCAAAATGAATGTTGGTTCCCCCCAAAACGGTTGACACCCAGGATGTTGCAAGTGTAGCAGCCACAAGCGCAGTGCATTGATTGTTCGCTGCTTGGAACTTGAGACTCTTTCGTATTGACTGGATTGGTCTGAGTTGCCTGTTGACCCTTGTGAACTGTTTACATGGCAAACGATTAGCAACTGCTGTTTGCAGTTTAACTTCCTGGAGAAAATCCTGGGACTTTTCTTGAATACACAACAGGAGGCCCACAGGGTAATGGTAAAAGGAAGCGGGCTTTTTTAGAATAGCCGAGTAAAGGGAAGCCAGCTCCAGGATTGACCAACTCCAAATTGACCAAATCGACCAGGGTTCTGGTGAAAAACTGGGTGGGACTTTTCTTGAATCTTGACCAAACTCTTGGAATTTGGGTGCACAAATCGCGCTGAAGGTGACCAAAATTCACCAAATCCACACGTGAGCCACAATCATCAAATACCCGGGTAGAAGAAGGCTAGTAAGGGACGATCCAACCATAAATAGCTTCGGGTATCCGCCTTCTGAATCCTGTACATGGTTCTGGGTAGACCATTTTTCTAGGGGTTTTGATTCCCCATTCTTTTCAACCATCGTTCTTTGCAAAAACCGGCTCCATTCCCCCTGGTCTTTTGATGGTTTCCGGAAAAGAAGGATCCCTGGGTTCAGAATGGAAATGGAAGGTACCCCTAGGATTTGTGTTTTGCTTGCGACTCGAACAGGGGTTTTCCACTAAACCCACAAAAAGTGAACAAATTTTAGAAGACCAAGAAGGGTACCAACTCCAAAACAAGGCGACGCCTCCAATCGCCCCATTTGTAGATGTCCGACCCTCGGATGGCCTCCAAGTTTAGTAACGATTGGTTTTGCTTGCGACTCGACGTTGAACCCGGACCGAAGCCGCTGCTTGCGTCAGGTGCTCCGCGAGAAGATCTTGGCTGCGCTGGCGCGGGTGGAATCCACCGAGGCCGGCAACAAGGCGAGGAACGACCTTGGGGAAGCAGAGTCGATGGGGTGCCGAGTGGCGAGAACCAGCACTTGGCTGCGAATCCGAATCCGTCCCCCTGTGTAATATATATATATATATATAGATATATATATATATATATTGATTTGTCTATTATGTATGGAGCTTGCGTTTCTTAGTTGCTTGTTTATTCATATGTGTATATATGTATAGTTGGTTATTTGTTCAATTTGCTTATTATTTACTTATTCTTTTGGTTGTGTTGTTTGTTGATTTTTATTGATTAGGCTCGGGGGGTCGGGGGCCATATTTATCGTAGGGGAAGGGATTGTCCAGAGGGTCGTACCCCAGGATTGGCTTTCAAGGGTAAAGAAGGGTATAAGTACCTCCTTAGATCTTGGAAGGTACCTGGACCTTCTGGGTTATAGTTCCTTGGCTACATAGTTGCTCTCAGGATAAAGCAAAACGAAGCTCGTTTTGCGTGGATTGAGTCATGCAGTCCAGTTACCACTTGAGTGAAAGATGCATGAATTTGTCTATCAACAGTACGCAACAATGATCATCAGGGACCTCTCGTCAGGTTCCATGGCAACGTGGGAGGGAGGGCAACTGGGAAAGCATGTAAACACACATATGGGAGGGTTGAGGTACATTTGCCAATCCATGGCAGTCTTTTGGTGTTTGCCATGTTTGGCTCCATATTATAGACGGGTTTGCCTTGTTTGGGCGGTACCCTTTTCGGGTGTTGCAGAAAGAAATCGAAGCCCATTTGGAGCTTCCCTCTTTTGGAGATACCCCAAGAAGGCATACAATTGCAGCCAAAACTGATTCGGTGGCGGTCGACAGCGTCCCTTAGGATATGGGCTAGTCAAACAATCGCCTAAATACCAGCTGAGGTTTAGCGGGTCCTTTGCAGATCGGGAGTTCTGTTTGGATGACATCCTGAGGATCCTGGCCAAAGGGAAGCACCTGCCTCGCAACACTGTGTTTTTTTTCCCATTTTTGCATCCTGGCTCACTAAATGAGGTCCCTTTTCAGGTCCCCTCAGGGGTCCCTGAAAAGTACCCTGAAAAAGTCCCCAAGTCTGTATGACTGCTCTTGGGTGCGTCCTTAGCCCCAATTAGACTTCCAAAAGGTGATCGACCTCTTGCCCCACAAAAGCGCAACCCAACTATTCCGACAAAAAGTCGAAACTGGGCCGGGGGTCCTTGCCAAGCCCACCTTCCACTTCTCTTGCAGTGGGTGTGTCTTTTTTTTGAAGGTACTTGGTTTATTGCTTTAGGGGAAAAACGAAAGGACCACCACCATTTTGGGTGGTCCCCTGTGGGAGACGGACCCGTGTAACTGAGTGCCAGGTCCCGATGAGCGGAACCGCCCGCACCGTGGCGGACGAAGTGGACCTCACTCAGACGCCCGGCACCCGGCGGATCTGTGTGGTTGGGTAGCTGGGTGGGGGTGTTTGTTGGTGCCTGGGCAGGTCTATAAACGGGGGGTCTAGCGCCAAATAAGCCCAAGATAAGCCTGGGAGAGGCGCTTAAGAAGAAGGCCTTAGTAAGATGAGAAGGAGACTCCTCAGAAATTGCACTTGAAGGAGAAAGGTACGCAAATACAAATTGGTGGCTCATTTCAAAGGAACCGAAGCCCCAACACCATCTTAGAAACCTCTGGCATTCATTCTCTTAAGGCCCGAAACGTAAACTTCCACCGTTGGACGAACAGGGGATGACCATTGGCCGAACGCAGTGATCAATTAGGTTTACTGCCGGAGGCGTTCCCGTTTTGGTGTAGTTGGGGTTGGGGGCAGCATTCTGGTTTGTATATGCCAGCCACGAGTTGACATCAAGACATGTGTTGCCACATGACTGGCAAATCATTATTTGAACCGGCGCTCTAACCGGAAGCACTCGGCCCGCTCACAAACGGCCTGAAGGATGGTTTGAAGGGTACTCCTGTCTGGGAAACCTCCTGAAATTAAAGAAACAACGGATTTGGTTATTGAAAAGAGCGACGGTTGAGAATAATTTGGAATGAAGCCCTAGAAGAGTAGGGCTTTCCGGCTCATAGAATCATGAACCGCTAGAATCATGAGCTGGTGATTGAAATGGAGTATTGAATAGCTGCAGGTTCCCCAGGCCTCCGTGTCGCCGCTTGTTTCCCTTCGAGAGAGGTTTCCTGTATGAAATCATGGGCCAGGTGCAATCTTTTGACCCACACCCAAGGACCTGACAACACAGATTATGGCTTTTCACTTCAGACTTTGGTGCTCTGTGCCAACTTCGGGGTTCATCCCATGAGACAGACCCCTTTCGGTTTGCCTCAGCCCAAACTTCAGTGTTCAGTCCATGTTTTGCGCAGACTTCCCCCCAGTTTTGGACTTCAAACTTGGGAAGATCATTTTGTGTGGTCAAAACTTGGTGGCTCCCAGCCATCCCCTTAGCCTTTTAGCCTCTTAGTGTTTAGCGGCAATTTCCATTTAACCCAGTGAGTCACTTTTCGCGGGGGATCCGAAAACGGGCAGCCCAGAAAAGAAGCTGGTTAACTTTTACATGGCCCAAAGTCGGGCGCCTTTTTCGGACCAATTGTTCCGAATTCGATGGGGTTCTCAGGTTCTCAAACAACTTTTGGGTCCCGATGGTTTCCCTTTAAATCCGCCGGGGATAAATTTGCCTGTAAACTTTCTCGGTGGGATCCTTTGCCTAAATCCCTTATGGGTTCTTCAACTTCCTTTGGGCTGCATTTAGAGGTTGAATTTTGGGCCTACTTTTCTCACTTCCCGGAAGCCGACCTTTTCAGCTTTTGGTTTCCCCTTTTCTCGGTGAATGTTCAGCGGCTTTGATTTCTGAGTCCTTGGGGCAGAGTCACTTGAGCCATGCCCAAAGATTGTGAGAAGTAATAACTGCCGACTGCCGCCTCAAGAAACCCAGCGATCCGCCAGGTTGAAGTACGGCACGGATCTCACGCAGGCGGCCCGGGAGGGTCGCCTGGATCCGCTGGTGGGCCCGGCGCACAGGTCTCGAGTTCCGGTCCGAAGTTCCCAGCGCGATCCGAGAACTTCCCGGTTGAATCGCGGACGCGGGGCTTTCGAGGAAATTGATCCTTTTTTAGGACTTTTCTTTTTCAGGGTTAAAAGATCTCCATTTTGCAACCATTTGAAGCATGGCTCTTTTTCAACACCGAAATAAAGGGACACCACAATTTACAAGTTGCAATGTTCAGGTGTAGAATGCATCCAGATCTGCATTTCTAGTTCCTTTCGGCAAGTTTGTGATCAGAGTGCTTTGTTTTTGACTTCCTGTCTAGCCTGGGCCCCTCCAAAACTCCGAGGCGAGTTTGTTTTAGGGCTGGCTAAATATGACGCATGGTCAGAGGAAAAAAATTATATATATATATAATTTTCTGTGTGCCCTAGCTGTGGGGCCAAGTTTTCAGGAGATGGAACCTGGAAATTGGCCAACCACTTGAACGCTATGACGGGTCTTGAACCCTCCACTTGTTGGGAAAGACCTTACTTTCCTACTACCCCGCAACAGTTCAGCTTGTTGGGGACTGGGTAATAGCCAGAGTTCACCATGCCCTCACTGGTGCATGTTTTTTCGTGCATCAACAGCAAGGATCTTTTGTGGCACGTAATTTTGACTCAGGATTAGCAAACTCCTGGGTGATCAACAAGGTGTACCAAGGAGAATCAACACCAGGAGTGGGAAGCGGTTGAAGGGAAACTTAATTCTTTCTCAGGGGATGCCTGAAATATATGAATACACACACACATATATATATATATATTATATACATATACATTTACACATTGCTCATCTCATGTATATGGTTCTCCGGCGCAGTCCGAAGTTCGCATGCGGCCAGGTTGATGGCAGGGAATCATTGCCTTCACTGTTCTTGGTTTGTTTGTTATTTATGTATTTGCTTGGTTGGTTCTGTTCATTTCTAGTGGGTGGCTGCAGTGTTTTGCTTACATACGTACCAAGGGTCAGAAACTGACCCGACTCCTACATGCAAACATGGTTGGTGTACAGGCGCTTTTTTTCACGCGAGACACGGCTTTCATCCGGGGATATTGCCCGCAAAGCGTGTCTGAAAGGAATGTATGGAGGGGGGAACCCGCTCCCATAATTTGCAATTGATCCAAAGGAACCCTCAGCTTTCCATTGTTGGTGACTGGTTCATTTGCAATACTTGGTAAATCCACCATGCCCCTTTACACTAATAGATGCTTCCCAATGTTTCCCCTGTGTTTTACCCCGCCTCCAAATGAACATGTTGCCCAACACAGGCTCTGCCAATTGTTCAGATGTTGCCCAGCATGTTTGCGTTTCCGGTGCCCTTCATCCGGGAATAATTCAGTGGCACGGCCCACTGAATCCAATGAGCCCAGATGTCCATGTCGCCAAAAACTTTGCGTCTTATTTCCATGGTGGTGAGAGAACTCGCGGTTTGGAGATCGGACCAGGAGGCAACTCCAGGAGTCCTTTGGCCGACCGGGGGATGCTTGAGGGAGTCTCTTGAGCAAGCCCCCCGAGAGGTGCAGGTTTCGGACATCGCCTGGCCTGTTTTGAGGGAAAAACCAAAGGACACCTCGACAAAAGACAAAGACCCCATGCTTTGTGAGCCTCTGAAGGCCCAAAAGGACCCGGGTTGAAGGGTTTCCTTCGTTGAACGGAGGGTGATCGGACTGTTGCCCCTTCGGGCGGAAGCAGACCGAGGTCGCCACGAGGAGTTGCAACGCACCATCCGTATCTTGGGACGGCGGACCAAGAACAACCCCGTGCTCATTGGGGAGGCCCTCGGAACGGTTTTGGGGGAAGAGAAGCTGTGAACTCTCTCCCTGGGATTGGGATTGTTAGCGGTCAATTGGATGGATTAATACCTGAGATTACATGGAGAGAGAAAACAGATGACATTAAGATATCTCTCCCTGGGTGCCTGGACTTTAAACTTTTTGGGAAGACCCTTTTGGTGGCAAACAGAAAGTTTGGACTTTTTTGGGCCAATCCACTCAGGAGGTGTGGAGTAAGAGCCGAACAAACCCTCGCTCGCTCTTTCTGTTGCTTCCGTGGCTTGCCGCGCTCGAAGCTATGGTTCTTGCCCAAAAGCTCTAGTTCGGGGGGGGGGCACATCATGGCTTGTTCGGAGAAGACACAAAGACACACACACACACGTACACAGTTGGTGGCTTCTTGTATGTATATGTGGAAACGTGTTTGGTGTACAGATATGGATATGTATTTGCAAAGGTAATACACGTTATGTATGTGTTGATATGTTTGATCACTTGTACCGTCATGCATGCGTTCAAGAACGTTCGGTCGGTCAGTCAGGCAGTGAATTAGTCAGATACTCAGTCGTGCGCATCACACATACGTGCATTTCACAGCCAGGCCGAAGGCGCTTCTAATTACTCATTATTGTGCAATGAGAGCCCGTTTGAGGATGCATGGCCCTGGATGCAAGCCTGCATGCGTGCATGTGTTCTCTGTGTGTGTGTGTGTGCGCGTGTGTTTGCCTTTGTGTGGATTTGTGCTTTTCTGCGTGCTTCTGTTTGTGTGTGAATGTTGCAGCCATGCCCTTTATTTCAAGGGGATCCTAGTCCCACCAAAACCGGGACTCCGAGAACTGAACATGGCATGGTTCATGCTGATCCGCAAAAGGGTAACTTTGGGGCAAGTCCACGGTTGAGAAAGCGCTCGAGGTTCCAATTTCAATATCTCCAGTTTCGGGCCATGGGACTTTGATTCAATTCGTGGAATCGGGGTTGAACATTTACGGCGTCGTTCAAGGGAACCCTAGCAAAATTAGCCGTAGACAACACCGGCGCTAAAAGCCGAAGGTTCCACCTCTTTGAACAGCCGCGAACGCTCGAAGGAATGCTTTAAGCAGTGGTAGCTTACCCTTGACCCGCTTCGCGCGCTGGGATGCATCGTGCAAATCATATGTGTGAATTATGTTATATGTCTGTGTGGCTTGGTTGTTGCTGATCTTCAGGTTTGGTCGTGTACCTCAATGTCCATTTGGCCTCTCAGGGTAAGACCAACGAGAAAAGGGGGGAGTAGATGAGGGGTAGTTAAGCTCTCAAACATGTTTGCGTCACGGAGTCTATGGAGATTCGTAGTGGAATTATTCCTGCCCCCTTCCGAGAGTGTTCCAAGACCTCCCGTGATGTGCTTCCTTGGTGCGAATTCCACCGGCCGCCGTTCGAACATATTTTTCGTTCGGAGGCTGGAGTTGGCAAGACCTCCATCGCTGCGAGCCTAGCCTTGTAGATCTTTCGGAAACCTCGGTCTCGTTGATCGATGCTCGCCCCCCCCCCCTCTTTGGGGCAAGACCCATTACAGTTGGGTGAAAATAGATGGCAGACACACACACACACACACCGGCCCATTTGGTTGTGCCAGCTACTTTCACCCTGGTGTACCTTTTAATTTGCCATTTGTTTCTCTCCCTTTCATGTTCCACTTCTGCCAGCAATGTCTTGCCAAGTGTTTGCCCCTTTGGCCCTGCTGCATTCACAAGCCCATGGCTGTTGTATCTTGCTTCTAGGAGCCCTAAAGAAGTCTCTGGCCATTTAAGTCAGCGGCCTGTTTCATTTTTTTAGGGCGGGCTATATACACCTTGACAACCATCTCAACGTACCTGTGATCAATTATCGCCAAATGGGCGAGTGTGCTGAGAGCGGTCATCAAATCTTCCCAAGAAGATGCCTGAAGTACCTGCAGCTCAGAAACTCTCCGCGCAAGAAAGGCAGCACATGCTCCAAGTCCCATAAGTCAGAACCGTGTAACACACTTATGACGCTTAAAGCACGATGCACGGGGAAAAAAAATCTATTTGGCTCTTCAAGTGTTCACAGCAACAAAACACCAATGACCCTACCATGCATCTCAAGAGGTGTTCATCCCGAGCTACGGGATTGAGCGAAGACCTTATCAACAAACGACGTGTTGCATGCGGTTGAAAGCATTTTTGGGTGCATAGTATTTTGTACAGCCGTGTGTGTATGGCACAGTCAAGGGACTGGAACGCTGCCACCTTTGCATTGTGGACATTCCTCCCTCACAGCACATACGCTTAGATGCACAGCGACGCAGGTTGTGTGTGGCCATTTTCCTGCCTCAACACTGTCGGTGACACATGGGACAGTGACAACGACCTTAAGGAGGACCTGAGCCATACGAATAGGCTACCCTACCACAAAGTGTTGCTTGGCATCATGTGGCATTGCTCCGGAGGTCTTGACAGGTCAGGTCCAAAGACGCGCAACTTGGATCTGTCTGGATGGTACAAGCACAGGCTGAATATCGGGACCGACGAGGTTCTGTCGGCTGAGCACGGGCTTCCATTTGCTCAATATATTGTTTTATTTTCCCCTGTGGGTTTAAAGGGAATCCATCACCAGTTGTTTCTTTTTCCGAGGGGCTTCAGCAAATGGAAGCTTGGGGTTTTGGACAGTGGAAGTGCAGTTGTTGGGGAGGGTGCTGGTAGCTAATTACTTCAGCTGCCGCGGCAGCAAATGAACCTTTTCCAATGTTGGGCTATTTTTAGCAAAGGTCCCAAACCCCTTTTGTTTCTGGGTCCCTAAGGGGCAACTGAGTACCCTTTTGAAGGTTGGTTTTATGAGAAACCGGATAGAAAGCCACGCACTTCCTCATTTCCCGCAACACTCCAAGAATCTCAAGGCCGGCGGACCCTAAGATGTTGCTTTGGGCAAAGTGAGTTCTGGTAATGTGTACCCCTGATCAATAAACCTTTGGTTTCTGGGTCCCTAAGATCCAACTGAGTTGCTGTTGCCAGGGGGCCCTATATTTCCCTTTTTGGTGGCTTTTAAACAGCACCTCGTTGGCCCATGAAAGGTGGGGGTCCCTTGGTGGGGGTGATGTTTTAAGTGGACATATGGCGAATTTTGTTTGCCCTTGGTCCCCCAGTATCCCCCAGTAGTGCCCTTTCTTAGCCTTTATTTGCGGGGGGGGTTCCCCTCCTAAAATAGACAATTCAGAAAACAAAAACAATATCGGGTGCCAACTTGCTCTAATAGACAAAACCGAAAAACAAGTTGGTACCAACCTATTCTAACCTCTCTACTGGAGGACCCAGCCCTGACTCAGCTTCCCATGAGGCCTTGGGCCTGGCGCAGCTCATCGCGGAGGGCAAGGTGCCGCTGAACCTGCAGGCGCCGAAGAACTGCAGCCGGGGGGCAGGGTGGGGGGGGGGTGGTGGGTGACGCTGAGGTGTTTCCTTATTTTGTGGGTTGTGTTTGTGTTTTCTTTTTTTGTTGTTGTGCTTGTTTCTATCATGTTTCCTTATTTTTTGAGGGGGAGGGGGGGGGGCAGAGGTTCGTTGGCTTGTGGGATGTTGTTTTCAGTCTGCTTCAAACCCGCCCGACAAGTAATTCGGAGATCAACCTGTTCACTCTACGGGGCCGCGTTCATCTTAGGGCAAGTTCATGCCGGCAATCCGCAAGATTCTTCCACTCGGCGCGGCTTTTCTGTCCTTGTTCTTCCGCACGTCGTTGCACCCCTCCAAATGGGTAGCTTCCTTTTGGTTTCCATTTAAGACCATCCAAAAAGGGGTTCCCAATTTTGAAAACCCCCCAATGAAAACTCCAACCCAAAATGGACGGGAGATGTTGCTTGTCCTTGGGGGCCTGTCGATCGCCGCATCGTGGCCAGGACAAGCGAGCGCCAGCCCCGGGTGGAGGGTGCATGTCGAGGGCTTGTGGGTCCATTCCTGGACTGGTTCTTCTCACTTACATGCCAGGTAAACCCAACAATTTGTGGTTTGATTGGTGATTTTGTGGATTTTAATCCCTGGTTCTCGTAAAGGGTCCCAAAACCACCCAAGCATCGGGCTCCAAGCCACCAATTGTAGTCAAGGCAACCCAGCGGCACCCTTTCAAAACCACCATAGTAAATGGCGAAGGGCTACCTATCCTGGCTTGCCTGGGATCCAAGAATCTTGGTCCAGGCGTTCAGCAGGATTGTCTTTTTATCCTTTTCAACTTGGGGTGAGTTTCCCAATAACATCTTGGCCGTTTGCGACCTGTTCATCCGTCCGGTTTGAGTCATGGATGGCTTTAGAGGAGAACAAGGGAACAACTTTCCAATTTCACGCCATTCACCAGGGTTTTGTGCTTGGATGTGGCTTGCTCACTTGCAATGGGGAATCCATGCCAGGGCTACAGGGTCAGATGTTGCCAGGTTCACCACCTCTGTGTCTGGAGGAGATTTAGCCGTTTCGTTTTTTTCCTAGGCCAACAGCGCCTTCCAAGGGCGGTCCATCTGCGCCTGTGGGTCTTGGGGGTTGATCGAATCTGCGGGCATCTGCCTCCGGGCCTGTGGATTCCGTAAATGACACCTGGCAGAAGGGCCCCACCCGAAATGACCATGAATTTCACAAGGGCCCCATGACCCCAAAATCTGTGGCCAATTTCAATCGGGGCCACCTCAAAAGTGGACCCCAACCTTTATATATTCCATGAATTTCAACAGGGGCCACTGGCCACCGGCCAAAAGTGGCTGGACACAAATGCCCCGAACCAAAGGGTCCCCCTGCTTCAAACCTTCCCCAGAATTAGCCCCCCCCCTTTTTATAAAGTGTGTTCTCTGTTTTCCAGTCACCAGGCAAGGGTCCTAGTTCCAGCCTAAAAAGGTCCCCGTAGGTGGTGCAGCTGGACTTGGCGCTGCTGCTGGCGGGTACCAGATACCGAGGCGACTTCGAGGAGTCCGAATGTCCCCAATTTCGTTGCGATTTGGGGAGGGGGGAGTGGGTGTTTCTGGTTGTGAGGGCGCCTCTTTGGGGCTGGTTTGACCAAGCCATTATTTTTCCCAGTTGAGTTGGGCAGTTGTTGGGTCTTTCTGTTTGTGCAAGCCACTCATTCCACGGGTTCCCACATTTTGGGAAACAGTCGTATTTGCCCCCAAGAGCCAAGGCTTCAAGTCCAACTCCGATTCGCCCATCCAAGCCATCAATTGAGGGATGGCTGAAAAAGGGGCAGCCCCGTTTCGTCAGCCCAGTCCGCTCCAGTTTTTTTCCCAGGGCCCCTTTTTCACGTGCCCGCATTTTGGGAGAAACCAGAGGGGAAAAAGAACGGGGGCACAGTGGGGAAGACCCATTCCAGCGGCAAAGGTCGCGTCTGGCAACGGCTGTTTTTTGTTTTTTTTCTTTTCCCCCATGTCCAGAACCAAAATCCTATTCCCATGTCCATATGTGTGTATATATATATATGTACCATGGACGTATATTTGTATCCCATGTCCATTCCATTTTCCCATATTCCTTGGGGCGGTATGCGTGTTCCAGAAAAAGACCCCACCAGTGGAATCCACGAGTAAGTTGATCAGTTTCGTGAAATCCAATGATCTCGGATCCACTCAACCAATCAGCAGAGCACATGCCGGGTTGGCATTTTCTATCGCAAGGGATCTGGGACCCAACTAGTCAAAGGGTGCAAAACCTTTTCCTTTGCTCCAACTGATTCATGGGGCTGGAATCAAAGTCACCCCTTGGGGCTCTTGAAGGCAAACCCAAAACAATATTTGTATATGTGTATTCTTCTTTGTTCTTTGGGTCGGGGGATGTCGGGGGGGGTCCACCATTGTGAGAAAAGCCCAAATCAACCAGGGGTCCGCCATTGTGAGAAAAGCCCAAATCAACCAATTAACAGACAGATCGTTTTTTGATTGCTACCCGCCCCCCGAGTAAACAATGCAACCAGAGTGCCTAAGGCATGTTACCCAATGCCAAATCCAGGTGGTGTTTGCGGTAGCCATGCCCGCACGGCGCTAAAGCAAAGATGGTGAAACACGTAGACGGCCTTTGGATTTTTTTGGTTTCCCTTCTTGGCTCCAAAAGCTTGGAACCTTTTGGAACCTTTTGGTCGTCAGCTTTTGGAACCTTGGTTCCCTTCAGCATTTTCAGGTTTGGTTCCAAAAGCTGATCTCGGATTATTTCCGGGTGCCTAAGGGGCAACTGAGATCAGGACTTTTTTGGGGGGCTTATTTGGATGCGGAAAACCGAGGGCGCTGGATGGTGGTGCCGGGGGGGGGGGGCAGGTGACTGAGGGGGGGCTGTGGATCCTTTGGCTTCCTCTGGTGGGTTCAGGGTTTAGGGTTTAGGGTTTTTTGGGTTTCGGATTTTGTTTTAAACAAAAGTGATGCCAAGTCTTATGACGTGTTAATCGTTTACTATGCAAGTCGTGCAACGTTTTGGCAAAGTCTGGCGCAGGGATTCGTTGATGGCCGGGGTTTGAACGAACAGCCACCTTTAGGCCCTTCATGGAATCCGAAATGGCGACAAGTATTAATAGGGAAACACCTGAAAAGTGGTTGGTGGACATTATCTCCACCCAAACTGGTTTCAGTTGTTCCAGGCCGGGCAGCCAAAAGGCAACCGGTTTGGCGGGGCCTATTGGTTGAACATTCCCTTTTCCCGTGTTACTTGGCGGTTTGCTCGGAGGACTGCCGGTCTAAAAGGGAAGATCAACCAATATCAACTCGAAGCACGGTCCCAAAAACATGTTTTCTTTGGGTGCGGGGACTCGCGAATCCGGCTTGGGAAGCGTGAGGAGCGGCTGAGGGCGGTGGTGAAGGAGGTCTCCGAGAGCCAACGCCGGGTGATCCTCGTGGTGGACGAGGCGGGAGCCGAGCTGCCAGGCCTCTCAAGGTTTGGTTGGAGCAGCGCTTTTCAGCCAAATGGAAGCCACGTCTCTGCCACAGGACTACCATTGGCTCAGGCTGTTTTCTGTTTTTTTTGTTGAGGGCTTGGCTGAGTTTTTTTGTTTTAGGGGGGTTCGGGGCTGGTGAAAATACCGCCTGGGCTGAATGCGCCTTTTTGGGTGGAGGAGTGGCCCTTCAAAAGAGGACTTGTTTTTTCTCCCATGACCAATGGGGGGTAGAGATGAACCTAGCTGGTGGTTGGATGGGGGCCTTTCCGAAGCTTCCTGAACGTGGTTACGTTCGGCTGCAGAAATAAGCACAGAATGGGTTTAGGGTTCAACATTGACCATAGTTGGAACCCGAGACCCTGAGATGGTTGTCTTCAAGGCAACAGCAAATGCGAAGTGGGGGGGGTGGTTTCGGCTTGTTGGGTAAGATGTAGATGGCATTCTTCCACTCCGATGGATTTCATGTCACCTCGGGTGCACCTTTTGGCAACCCCAAGGTTTCAAGTACTCCTACCCTTGGAGCACTGCGGCGAATTCTTTGCTGCAATTCCTGGTTTAAGTCTCACTTGCCCAAAGCGAAGCGACCTTTTGACCTTTTTTCCGGATCCTCTTGGCAAGTGAGAAGCACCTCTGTAGGTACCAAGGCCTCAAGCCAAAGCGATGCGCAGCCAACCACCCCAGCTTGCCCTTGTTTAAACGTGCCTAAGCCACTGTTTACGGAGTCCATGGCCGCGCACAAACACTTCCTGGACCCCGCCTTTTCGGGGTCCACAACCGAAGGTGCACACGCTGGTGGGCGCGGGCAGTGGTGGGGACACCGGTGGCGGCATGGACGCCGCCGCTGCCTCAAGTCGCGCGTCGCGAGGGGCGGACTGCCCCCCTTTGTCGGCCTTGTTTGGGCTTCCGGCTTACCCAAGCACAAAGGAGCTAAGGACATGGCAACAGATTGCAAGACGCGCCCAGATTTCTTGTTTCGAGAGGCTCAGTCAGTTTAGACGAGTTTTCAAGTGAGCATTTTCGAAGTGGAAGGTTACTTAATTACTCGACTGACGCCAGAGAAGCAGCAACATGGGACTGTCTTGTCAGTCCATGGGACGAGTCCTTCGTCGCAGCGCGCCCACCCCGCAAGGGGGCCCCGTTCTTTGTCAGAGACACTGGGCAAAGCATACTGCCTGACATGAAGGGAAGGGTTTACAATCATTTAAGTGCCATCAGGGGTACATAGAAAATGGAGCATGAACCGAATACATCATGGCTACAGAAGCGGCATATGTTTTTCCAAGGCCATACAATTTGCCTCTTGTACAGAGCCTGTTCGGAGCATCTCTAAGGCGGGTCTCAGTGCGCGTCCCCACGCGCATGTTTTAGCTACATCCCTCATGGTTTGCCTTTGCACCGAATGCCCCCATCACACATCCACGGGCAGTCTCCGCTCTTGCATTCGCACACATTCCGTCAAATGTCCCTCCGATCCCTTGCAATCCGAATTGGAGATCGTGGTGTTGGCCTCGCTCTGCACACACGTGTTTCCTCTTGCATGAATTTAACGAAGGACTCAGTTGTCCAAAGCGCATCGACCTTCCTTTTGGTTTGTCCATTTTGGTCCATGTTGAGTCATGGCCCCAAAGGGTGGTTTTCAGGTAATTGTAAACGCTTCGCGTTGCCCGCCTCGGCCCAGCCTAGTTTGAGGGAAGGGTCAGGAACACCGAAATCCAGTGTTGGGAAGGTCCGAATACCTGAAGCTGGCTCCAGACAAGTCAGACAAGCCGGCCTCGCCTGGTTGGGCTGGGCCACAGGCTAGTCTCAGACACATCAGATAAGCCTGCGCTGGGCCTGAAGCTAGTCTCGGGCAGCTTGGCTGGACCTTGCTTGCGTGGGTTGTTGGTTGAGCTGAAGCTAGTTTACGGCGGGCTGGGCAGCCGCACTGAGGGGGCTGGGCTATGGCTGGGCTGGGCCTGAGGCCAGTTTCAGACACGTCAGACAGGCCTGGCCAGCAGGCGGACTGGGCTGGGCTAGACGCTAGTTGAGCCCAGGCTGGTGAGGCCCAGTCTCGGCGCTAGATAGGCTGAGGCCTGCGAGTCTCAAACCGGGTGGGCTTGGGTGGGGTTGGCTTAGGCGGGTTGCTGGTTGGGCTGGGCCTGAAGCTAGTCTCAGCCACGAGGCTGCGAAGCCATGGGTGGTGCTGGGCAGCTGGATTATGGTGTTGGTTGCGCCTGGAACTTCGGCTGGCTGGGCTGAGCTGTGCTTGGGCGGGTTGCTGGATGGGCTGAGGCTGGGTAGCGAGTTGCTGGCTAGACACGTAAGACACGCCAGCAGGCGGGCTGAGGGACTGGGCCTGAGGCTAGTCTCAGGCTGGCATACCTTGAGACCAGTCTCAGACTGCGCCGAAGGGGCCTGGTCAGCCTGGGCTGCTGAGTAGCTGGCATAGCTTGAGACCAGTCTCAGACACGTGAGACTGGTCGTTGGCCTGAGGCCAGTCTCAGACATGTTAGACAAACCTGACCTTGGCACACTGGGCTGAGCCTGCTGGTGGGCTGGGAGCTGGGGGCCGGTAGTGGCTGGCATGCCCTGAGATGCGCTGGGGCCTGGGCTGGGCGGGCTTTGGGCTGGGCCTGAAGCTAGTCTCAGCCACGAGGCTGCGGTTGCTGGCTGCCGGGCAGCCGGACCAGGCTGCTGGTTGTGCCTGGAACTTGGGCTGGGCGGGCTGGGCTGAGCTGTGCTTGGGCGGGTTGCTGGATGGGCAAGGCCTGTTTCATACACACTTGGGCCCGAGACTGGGTGGCGAGTTGGCTGGGCTGGGCCTGAGGCCAGTCTCAGGCTGGCGTACTTTGAGACGGGGCTGGGCCTGCTGGATGACTTGGAGGTCAAGGCCTGGCCAGCCTCAGACGGGCTTGGTGGCTGGCATAGCTTGAGACCAGTTTCAGACACGTGAGACTGGGTCGTTGGCGTTAGACAAACCTGACCTTGGGGCCGGCCTAGGGCCTGGGCTGGGCGCTGGGCTGGGCTTGCTGGATGACTTGGGGTAGGCCTGTTTCAGACAAGCTTGGGCCTGAGGCTGGGTGGGGCTGACAGGCCTGGCCAGCAGGCGGGCTGCTGGTTGGGCTGGGCCTGAGCCTAGTCTCAGACACGTCAGGCAGGCCTGGCCACCAGGAGGTCATGCTTTTCAGGACAAAAAAGCAATTTTTTAGTGATTTTCGCAATTGTCAGCACATTTTCGACAAAAATGGACCCATGGAGCTGGACGCCGACGAACCCCGAAAATTTCAAGGCCCGCCGGACAGGATTTTGGGTCCAGCCGACATGGGTTGGGGGGGGCGGCCCGGCAAAATTTTGGTCGGGGAGGGGGTTGGGGGAGGGGAAAAGCGAAGATTCTCTTTGGAGAAGAGATCTGAGCGCCCTTGGCCCCTTTGGGGCCGAGGCGAATTACCGGTTGGTCCCAGCATTTGCAGAGTTTCAGCAGTGAAGACACCACACTACACACCACACAACACCACACACACACACACACCGTGTGTGAAGTGTCTTGTTTGAGGGCTGCTTTCCAAGGAAAGCCGAAAGGAAACCACCAGGGTCCCACTGTTTAAAGACAATCCCGCAAGGCCAGACAATTGGTGAAGGGCTCCCTTTAGATTTGGTGTCCTTTTGCTCCAGACCACATGTCTACATGATGATTTCATCCATCAGATGGGGGAAGTGGATCATGGAATAGCTTCAGCGCCCAATCACCATTGGCCATTGAAGTGGTTCTTCTGCCTGGTTTCATGTGGTTCTGGCCAGCGTTTCTAAACATATGCCGATTGCAAGGCTTGTTAAAGAGCTCAAACTTGTTTGGTCGCAACCGAAAGGCGCAACATACTTTTGGTTAATTTGAACCAGACTTCCCCTGGCGGGCTTTCTGCAACCGAAAGGGCCCCTGGGACACCAGCAGTTTGGCAACCAAAGCAGCTTTTGGGGGGGGGGGGGGTGGGGTGCTGGCAGGCCCCCCACCCCAAGCAAGGCCAACTTGCTGAAGCCGGCGCTGGCGCGCGGCGAGCCGGGACGCCAGTAAAGCTGACCATTGGCTTGGATTTGGATTTGAAACCCTGGCTTTTCTTTGAAGGTTAGGAAAGGTTAGGAGGTGGGGGGTTCCCATTTATCTATTTACCCAGTTTGAGTTGGTGAACGGGGAAACATAACTTTGCTGCAATTTTCTTGGATGTTAGGACTTTAACTTTTCGCCAACGAATGGGTTTGCCACTAAACCACTAAAAGTTAAACTTGCAGCAGGGGAGCAGAAAGCAACCTATTTTTTTTGTAAATGAGATGGGTAAAGTTACTCCCTGAGTTGCGCTTCAGACTTTGGTCACCTTTTTGGGAAATCCAGTTGAGTGGTAAATAAACAGCTTGGACTTTTTCTGGCAAATCCACTCAGGAAGTGAGTAAATGGGCACCCTCACCAGATCACTCACAATTCCGTTAAGCTTCAATTTTGGATTGGTTGGGATGTTTCCAAACCAACCTCCAAACCATCCTCCAATCCATCCCAGGGCAGAGCGGGCTGGAGAAGAGACCCATTTAGTTTTCCCCCTCACCTCTTTTTCTCCTCTCTTGATTGACTTGCCGCAATGGGTTGGATTCTTCCTCGTGTGTGTGAGTACCAGTCTTTTTCAGGAGTAGGTCATGAGCGAAGAGAGTGAGCCGGAGGTGAGAAAGGAAGCGAGCGGGATAGACCTAAGAAGCAAGAAATTGTGTGATGGAATGGCCATCGCTCACTTCCCCAGCATCCCATCGATTATTCCTGGAAACCGGTAAGTTACATCGGGTTGTTGGCAAGTCTCGTCCTTTGTCCTCGCTCACTGTTCGTCTCTTTCTGCATCTCCCATCTCTTTACCCTTTGAGGATGGATGACCAGAATGGATCCCTTTCCCGCTTCCCCTTCTCTCATTCCAACCAAAGATTGTTCAATCGAGGGAAGGGAAAGAAGAGAGGAGGGGGCACAACCAAGCTCATCCTCAGAACCATTAAACTCCTAACACAAGTGGAGGGGTTCGGCCATCTCTTCGCCACGTCCTTTCCTTATGTTTGGGACTTGGACATGGGTTTGATTGATGGAATGCAGAGATAGAGCTGATGGATGGTGAGAGATTTTTCTCTGCACGCTGTAGAGGCTCTTGTCCATCCACTTCTTTCCCTTTGCCTCGTCAATATGAGCGAGGAGGAGAGGAGGAAAGGGCACTCGAGCTCCATCTCCTTCACTCGATTCTACGGTAAGAACCGAGACTCCGAATGATGGAGATAACTGCATTAATTGCTGGAAGTTGGGTCAGCTCTCTCGCGCTCACTCCTTTCGCTCGTCACCACATGGAGATTAAAGAAAACATGTTTGGAAACAATTTCTGGTGAACTTAATAAGATAGAAATAAAATAACAAGGTCAGAAATACACATGCTGTGTAAGATAGAACCATACACGTAGAGAGCGATGATAGCAATATTCAAGAGAGAAGAGGTAATGACAAGAGTTGAAGGGCATACGTTGTAGAGAGCGCACACGCGCACACAAAATCCGATGTCTCGGTGTCATTTGCTTGTACCACAGAATTAGTCCTGCATTGTGTGGGACATCTGATCACCGTTTTAGAATCATTATTTTGGACATTACTATGTTTAGAAGTTACATCATAGTGATGTTGATTCTTGTTGGGATATAATATTGTGTTTGGAACCTTTGCGCATATTGTAAGTGTACGTATTGTTACTGGACTTCATATTTGTTGCTGGACTGAAAACTTACTTCGCATAGATTGTTTTTGTTATACTATTCCGTCTCAATTCATTGCTTATCTATACTCAGACATTTGTTAAGATGATTAAGTAACGCCTATGAAGTCTTGCGATATTTGTTTTTCCTTTTGGGCGTGTTCCAGTTTCTGATGCTCTATCATTTGCATCCTGCTTTTGGACATCTTTTCATTTTGTGATCTTCTGTAACTTGAGAGATGCGGCCAGAAACTCGTGGATTTGGTTTTACCTGGTAAGCCCTTTTTGGGTCCGTCTGCTTTGGAGGGTGCCCCTTTTCTGTGGCTTAAAGCCACACGCAAAATCCCCAGCTTGAAGGGTCAGATGCAACAAGACACGCCCACGAATCGCCAAACCTTCGGCCAAGCGGAGCTGCGTGTTCCTTGAAAGGTTTTGTTTTGTTGCGGTGGGCAGGCGCTCGGTTTGGTCTGGTGTTCGTGGGTACCCTTCCTCCGTTGCCATGGCACCTGCGGGAGGGCACTCGTAGAGGGACCCCCTGTGAGGTGTCATGGCAACGTGGGAGAGAGGGTACCCTTTATAGATTGTCTTGGAACTCCCCCTTGCTTCCGGGAGCCAAAGCGTGCTTGAAGCAAGCTGATGTGCCTATTCGAACAACAATTGCGGCGACTCATGTTGCTGTTTGGAGGGTTCAGAGGGTTCTCCATTGGCGCTGGAACAGACCCTGTTGCGTGCGGGTTTTGTTGGAGGCTGGGTGTGTTCGACTGCAGTTTGGGCGACCCTCCGGGCAATTCATCTTCTTCTCACTTCCTGAGTTGGGCTTGAGAAATCTTTTTCCGGTCTGGACTTGTTTGGTGGTAAACACAAAGTTCAGATTTTGGTCCCAAAATGGGACCCATATTGACCCTGTTCCATGCTTTCTGTTTGGGCTGGGCCAAACCATGGGCCTGGTAAAAAAAAGAAAAGACAAAACCACATCATGTCTTTGGCCCGCTGCTGGTTTTTTTTCGGTTTTCAAGGCGGCCGTTGATTGCTTGTCTTTTTGGAAAAGCAAAGGATGACATTACCCCCAAGTGGTGGTTTGGTGATTGTTGTTTCCCGCTTTCTTGTAGGGAAATGGGAAACCACACTCAGCGCGAGACGCCCAGAGTGAAGATTTACAACGGCCTACCTGAGCACGTTCTTCGGGTTGACCCTATTGCCCATTCCAAATGGTTCTTCTTTGGGTGGGGCGACTTCGACAGAGTAACACATACGGAATCCTGGAAGATGTTTGTTTAAGAAAAAAAAACAAAAACAAGAAGGCCAGACAGAGGTTGGGAACCAGTTGGCCACCTATAGTTCCAGCGGAGGACATTCGAGCGAGACCCGGATCGGCGAACCCGAGGCTGCAGTGCATCGGAGCGACCACACTGGACGAGCCTGGGCCTTGAAGCCCTCACTCGGAAAGTCCAGTTGGTCCTACTGTGGATGGCCGAAATCCACTTCGCACCACTTTAAAACCCCTGGGAAACCATGGTTTGTTGGTATTTACAAGGGAATCATCATTCCAGGGTGAATCATCAGGTGGTGCAGGGTTTTGTCCATCCACAGTAGGTGTCCTTTTGATCGCTTGGAAATCGATGAGTTTCACTTGTTTAGGCGGGTTTTATGCCCCATTTACCAGGGAAACCCATGTATTTTTCCAAAAGGTCAAGCTAGCCAAGCGCTGGGGGGGGGGTTCTGAGAACGCAAGTCTCTCGAGATTGCTGGCCCGGCTTTTTGGACGCGGTTCTGGACATGGGGAAAAGGTGTCGCCAGGGCACGATAGTCAACACCCAACAAGTTGATGGCAAGAACCCCCCCCCCCAAACAAAACCGGATCTAACTTTGCGCAGTTTAGCAGGAACACACGCATTTCCGCACAAGCTAAAAGTGAAAAATCCAAGCGTATAGCATCGCGAAGATTGTGCTCAGTCAAGTCCACAGTTCGTGATGGAAACCTAAGCACTGTTACTCGTCTTTTCAACAGTCTTACTGCTGCAGCTGGGGCTAGATGTCGTGGTCGCTTTTCTTACGCCTCCAAGCCTGCATTCTCTCCCGCAAGCCGCTATGACGGCTGCGAAGGGATGGGGAGAGGTGAGAGAGGCAGGTCCTCTTCTTCCTACCTCGCCTTTTCTTAAGATCAATTGCTAGGCGAGAGACGTTGAAAGATAAAGAGGTTGAAAGGGCTTTTGGCCCTCAACAAGAGATAACAAGAGGTATATGATGAGACGGGCCATATCCTATTCCCTTTCGTCTCCATATAGTTGAAAGGCGGTAAGGGCCACTGCCATATACACATACGTACATATGTACATACATAAGTATACTTATTTGCATGTATACGTGCGTAGATACATGTGCCGACCCCTGCCCACATAGGCAATGCATACCCCGAGTCTAGGCAATGTAGCTCCCAGGCAATGTATCTCCCAGGTGCCCCAAGTAAGAACCCCTTCAAAGAAGGTTCCTTCCAAGCCTTTCCAGAGTGTCTCTTCTTTTTCACCTGAATGCAACGGCTTCCCTGTAAGCCACAAAAAGGAGGCAGCGTTGCCACCAAAGGAGGGAAAATTAATTGGGGTGTGTCTTTTTTTAAGCCCCCCCCAAAAAAAAGATGAAGTAAAATAAATAAGACACATTGGAAGGTGTTCCTTTGGTTTCCCTTTTGACCAACATAGAAAGGTAAACCTTCAAAGCGACACGCCCACTTTGACGCCACTTAAAATGGAAAAACGGGTGGGCTCGCTCCGAAGATTCGTCCCAGGTATCGGAAGTACATCGAGCGGGACCCCGCCTTGGAGCGACGATTTCAGCCGGCGCGGTTGCCAAATCGGCTCGGGGGCTGGTTTGCGAAAGGGTAGATGATGAGTAAGGTTTAGTCATGTTTAGTCCCAACCATAAATTGCCATATGACTGAATTTAAAAGAACAAACAATCATCCAGCGTAACGACAGCAGCTTCCTATGTCCCAAACCCAGAGCGCTGTCCAAAGCACAGTCGTTGGGGTGGAAAGGTTTGGCTTCCATTTCCTTATCTTGGGTGTCCGAATTGGGGGGTTTCCTCCAGTTTCCTTTTGTGTCCTCCAAAGTGGGAGTTTCAATGGAAGCCACGAGTCACTTGATCAACTTTTGATTTGGGGAAATCCTCACTGACCCCTGCCCCCCAAAATGGCTTCGGTGTTCCTTTTCGTTGCCATTGAAAAAGGACAATGCCATTGTTTGGGGCATCGGTCCCCCCAAAGGGGTGGCTTTCCTTTTCCAACGAGAGAAATAAGCCCGGGTATCCCCCACAACCCCGGAAGGAAGCCCCTAGAACCGAATCTCCTTTGGAACCGTGGGTGGCTTTTGTTTGCGCCGAAAAATGAGCCCGGGTATCCCAACAACAGCCTTCTGCCTGAAAGTTGCCAATCCCAAACCGCCCGTAACGAGCCAATTTGGGCCCACCGACCCCAAATCGCTCGCAGCTGTTGGGGTCGCAGGTGATGGTGCCCGAGCCCAGCGAGGCGGAGTCAGCCAAGAGCTCAGACAGATCGGCGATTTTTGTTCACCCCGCGGTGTTTCTTTGGGAAGCGGGTGGGGCAGGCGCTGTTTCAAGTTTTGCTTTGGTTTTTGGGAGGAGGGGGGAGGGGGATGGGGCAGATAAGTTTAGTTGGTGGTTTGGACTGGTGGTTTGGATTTGGAGTTGAACCCTTGCTTCTAGAAGGTAAATGAGAAGCGATCCACATCGCCAATTGGAGGGAAGCTGAGTGGACCCTTCAAAATCGACCAAAGAAGCACGCGCCAGCTTTTGCTTTGCCACTGAACGTTTGGGTCCAGGACTCAGCCGGAGTTTCAACCAGCTCTGCTCAAATTATATCGACGTTGCTAGGCTGGCGAAGTTGCCCATGTTGAAGTGTGTGTTTTTTTCCCTAAGGCCGACCTTCTAACCCGTTGGTTTTCTAACGTTAATCTCAGTTTAGTAAAGAACCCAACAGGTTACATCCTTTTGTTTCTGGGTCCGAACTGGGCAACTGAGAGGGGGTTAAGCAAATGGAAGATTTCCAGCAGCCCTCCCATCCCTTCGATTCCACCACCCAGAGTTTTGGGCGCCCTCAACATGACGCTTCCTTCACTACGCCAACCCTTGGAGCGCTAGAGCAAGCTGGACTAGATCATTTCAGGCACGGTGAGGTATGTAAGCAGCGGGAGAACCAAGCTCTGGAAGTGAGCGGGGTATGGGCCGCAAACCAGGGCGCCGTCCCTTTAGTTTTGATTGAGAGTCGTCAAAGGTAGCCGGACAAAGACACCCACATCTAGATTGATGAACGGATGTAATTAGGGGACTGTCCCAAGCAGACACCCCCGCCACCCTGTTGATTGATTGGGTGGGGTTTTGGGTAGAGCCCTTAAATTCCTGTTTGCTTTGTAAATGAAAATCCTGAAATCCAACTTCCAAATACCCCTGCATGTCGCGCAGAAGGCCCCATTTGTCCACCATGTCGAAGGTCCGATTTGTGGCTTTTAACTCAGTTGTTCTGTCGGCCAACTCACATCAACCCAGTCAGCCAAACACAAATCCCACGGGGCCCCCAAAGAGACCCCAGAGCCTTGGCGATTGTCCGAAGAATCCAGGATAAAACTCCTGGTGCCCAGTTCGGACCCAGAAATTTAGGGCTAGATAGGGCTAGCCTTTTGGAACTGAAGCTAAATGGTCATAAGGTCGGATTTGGGCAACTGAGTGAAGAGGGGGTCCCATTTCAGAGGGGAGTCTTCTCACTTTTCTTTTGGGCAGGGGGGGACACAACCCCCAACAAATCCGGAGTCAACAGCCCTTGTTCCGTCGTGCGGTTCCAGCTTCAACACGGCGGTTGCAAGTGGCACCCCGCGAATGCAAGGGTCCAAAGGCCTATGTTGAGGCGTATGTTCTAGCTGTGCATATGCAAGTGCAGAGTCGACCTCGGCTGTTATTTTCTGTGGATGTCAATCTCAGTTGAAGGCCGACCTTTTGACCTTGGAGTTCCCCTTTTTGATCCATGTTGAGTCCTGGTTCCAAAGGGTGAGCACCTTAAGGATGCTTAGTTTCGGGCAGACTGGTCCGGGAGGCCCACGCTCCCAGACCCGTTCTCTGGGATTTGCCGCAACTCACCCAGCCAGTGGACACACTTTACACTTTTTTCCTGGGTGACTCTCCCTTTATTTTAGTGGTGGCATAAAACAAAAACACACTTTTTGTGGGCTGGTTACTAATTAGCCAAGTGAGGCAATGGTATAAATTTTGTGCAGGCTAAATATGCTTTCAGGGCCTGGTCTCCACCCAGCCACTGTGGCTTCGGAGGGGCCTTTTGGGCAAACGGCTGAAACCAGAAACCCGCAAAAGGTCCCCGTAGGGGTAAACTATTAGTACTTACTTGGGCCTCTTGGGCCCTTGTAGAAACGACCTTTTGCAGGGGAAGAGCACTCCAGCCATGAAAAGTAGTGGATCTGTTTCCCAATCCGCCCCTCTCGGCATCTGAGGTCCTCATCCTTCAAGGTTTGGCGCCGAAGCCGCGCACACAGCTGGGCGTTTGCGATCCCAAAGGCAGAACATCCGACAAAAGGGAAGCCCTTGGAGGAGTTCAGAGTTCCTTTTTTGGCGAGATGTGGGCGAATCGTGTTTGGCGAGTTTCAAGCGTTGAATTCGTTTGGATGTCTCATGGTCTTGCCCACCTGTAGGATTACTGTTCACTGGGTCTTAGTAGTTCAGGGCGCTAAATCCGTTTGGGCGGAAAATTGCCAACTCTTGGGCCCATTGTTTTCTTCCCCTTCGCCAACTGCTTGCGGGTTGCTTCTTTCCGTGGGTTCGACAGGGAGTTTCATGGAACGCGGGTTTCTTCGAGATGCTGATTGAAACTAATGGCCTTCTTTCGGCACGTGAGCGGGCTTTCTTTTGACAACTCGGGATGTCGAAATCAAAGCAGGGCCAATGTGTTGTAGTCCTTGGCTATCATGAGCAAAGACGCCATGTCCATCCTAGGGTTTGTTCATATGTTGAACGTTGACCAAGTCTCCTTTGTTTTTTCTACCCATGGGACATCGTTTGGGATTTGGCAGGTTCCATGCATGGGCTTCACAGGCTGGGCGTTTCATGGGGTCGTCCATGATCCTTGGTGGAGGGCACCCTTTTTGGGTTGGTCTAGAGGGTTGGCATGATTGGCTTAAAGGAACTGAGGGAGGCACCCCATCTGTTGGCCCCCTGTTTGGACATAAGAATCCCTAGTTTAAGTTGCTTTGTTACTGAAGCCAGGGCCACCAGCAACAGAAGTATGTGTTCTTGTTTGGCTGCCCTTTGAGCAGTCGCAAAGTCGCAAAGGGGTACCCTCTAAAACGCAAAGCAGTACCCTCGCGGAAGCAGCCGTTTTGGTTCTTCGAGGTATGAACGCCACCATCAGCTGCACTACACCAATGAGGCTCGTGGAACGCGGCTTCGCGAAAACTCCAGCGAAGCAACCGGATCTGACCCTTTTTCCTCAGCCGAACACGATTTGGGGTCTACAACCGCCGGGGGAGGGTTCCAGAGATTCGGTTCCAGGAGGTTCTGGGGCTGTTGGGGATACCGCCTGGGCCTTATGTTTCTTGTGGCTCGTTGGCGACCATGCCTAGCCTCTCAGTCACGGGAGTGGAGGACCTTCTTCAGATTGCAGTCCAAAGTCCTCTCTCTCGTGCACGTTCATGTTTGTTGGAAAGAGGGAATATTTGAAGGAGCTACACAAGTACTAACAGTTTCTCCAAGCATCAGGACTACATGTGACTTTAAAGTACCCCGCAACCCTATTCCAAGTATTTTAGGCCGCGGTAGTCCCAGCCTGTTTTTTTCTCGTATGTCATCCTTTGGCAACGATGCTTAGTCACTGCAGCCCAAAAGGCGATGGATGACCTGCTGTCAGTTCTTTTGGTTGCGAGCGAGATAAGGAACCCTCAGAAACCCCCGATTTGTTTGCCTTTTTAAACGCCTCCCAAATCGGTATCCTTCAACAAGCACAAGCCTGAAGGGTTTTATTTGGAATTGGCTACGGGAGCCATTTAGTGCTCCAGCTGAAAGCGAATTCAAGCAAATGGTTTCCTAGTTTTTGTTCACATGTGTTCTTAGTTCAGGGACCTTACCACCCCGCACCATGGGGGAACTTGCCTTTTTGGCCTAGCGCTCATCATTGCCGGCATACGCGCCTCAATACCTCCACAGCCCATGAAAAGGCACTTCAGCTTCGGGCAGGCGTTTTTTGGATCCGCCAACGGGTGATTCATACATTAAGTCCAAACTTGAAACGCTGTAAGGCAACCCTGGCAAGGGGGTTGAGGGGGGGGTAATTGAGTCTGGCCAAGCTTGAAACTGTTCCTTTGGTACCCTTGCCATGGGCGGGTTCGCCACCAGCAACCCCCAACAATTGCTGTTTCCCATGTCCAAGACCCCAAGTACTGTCCAGAAAGCAGTGGTTGGGGGGTACAGGGTGTTGTGGTTTTCCACTGGTTGGAATGTCCACGAGACATCAACTCGGAACCCGAACTGTTCGAACCCGAGCGAGAAACTCGGTGAAACCTCGGCGAACGCGTCGAAAGCGAAGGCCTTGGATGCTGCGGTGAAGTTGGCCAACCAGTTCATTGCCGACCGCTACCTGCCGGACAAGGCGCCAGGGAATTGCCAGGGAATGAGTTGCTGGTTTGCAGAATTTATTTGTTTTTGGAAAAGGTAGAGAAGGAAAAATAATATGTCTATGACCAGTGAGACAGCCAGTGGGAAAAATCAAGCATGTGCATTGCCAATGAAACTTGCTGGTTGGATAGGGGAATGAGAAATGGAATGACCCCTAAACGAAACCATCCCACTGGTGGTTTCCTTTAAGGGCACCAGGTCCATTCTCTCATCTTTCACTGACCTTCAAGATGATGACTCACCATAGTTCGAGCAGCAAAGAATTGGTGGTCTCAAATGGGAGGGGGGAAACGGTTTACTTTCGGTTTCCTCACTCCCTGAGTTGGACTGGTACAAGTTTAGCCTTTTCTGGCCAGCGCAATCAGGAAGTGAGTTTCTTTTCAAGCATCAATCCCAAAGGGGGTCACCTGCAAAGGACACCAGAAGGAAGTTTGAACGGTGGTTATTTGTCGAAAGGGTTTGAACCACACAACCCTGGGTGGTCCTGTTTAGACAGTTAATCAGAGCCCGGTATTGCAACCACCCTGAGTCAATCAGCACAATCCTGCTCGACATTCGTGCGAGTTGATGTTGACCCCAGGCCTAAGCAGAACCCGTCTCCCTGCAAAACGTGATGAACCCTCCACGAAAAGGGGGCACCCCCCCCCCCTCCAATGACTCCCGGGGTCCCATTACGCTTAAATATTATATATCCTACTTGCGCCCATGCGTCCCGGTTGCCAATGGTTACCCGGGATGGCAATGGTTTCGGCCAAATCGAGATGCTCCTTCGACCACCGGGGTAGGATGAATCGCAAGCTTATGGCAACCTCTTAGCGGCCATGATGAATGTTATACAAGCACACAAGGTTTCAACCATGGTTTCAACGTGCAAGATTTCGTCCATCAGTATGCAACCTCAAGGTGCTAGAAGTAGAGGGGCTTGGAGAAAAGCATCGAATTGCCCGTCCCCTTTTGGCAGGGGCTGCTGGGGAACTTGAGAACAAATGGCCTGGGCACAAGGAAAGCCCAAGGGGCATGGGCCCTGGCCGTGGCCTCTTGCCATCTCTTGCCATTCAGTCCAATTGGTTTGGATTGGTGGCTTGTAGGTTGGGGGGGGTTCCCATTTACCTTCTGCAAGAACCAGGGGTTCAAATCCCCATGCATTGTAAGCCAACGAAGGGTTACCCTGAGCATTATAATAAACCACACACAAATAACAAGCATCAGCGCCGCCATGCCGCCCGGAAAGGTTCAAGGAAGCCTTTGAAACGCTTTAACTGGGCTGCTCAAAATGAAGGCTTGGCCAATCCTAATCCACAATCCCTGTCAGGAAGACACAACACAGGGGACCCCTTGCGTAACCCAAGGTAAGGATTAAGGATTCCCTTTGAACAGCCCAGTCTAAAACAGGGTTCGTTGAACAAATGCAGTACATCGAACAACTGCTCATGGATTCGGATCCTCGCAATCAGCTGCGAGGAGTTGTGTAATTTGAGCGGCTCAAATGTATCCTTTCATGGAAAAACCCTAAGGAACCCTCGCAATTCAGCCTGAAACAGGTGTTGGAACAACCCCCAAAAAAAGTGGTTTCCCGTTGGTCCCCTCCAAAGAAAGGAGGGCACCCTCCGAAACAGCCACACCCATAGGTCCAATTTGTCTGAGTAGCTTTTAATCAAGTAATTGTAAACGCTTCGCGTTGCCCGCCTCGGCCCAGCCTAGTTTGAGGGAAGGGTCAGGAACACCGAAATCCAGTGTTGGGAAGGTCCGAATCCTACTGAAAGCTTGTGACCGCACCAGTTCGCCCGTGCTAGTTCGATGTTCGGAAGCCGTCCTGCTCGGAAGGTTTGAAATCCAAAACCAAGACTATCTCAGCTGCTCAGTGCCCTTGGAAAAAAAAGGACCTCTTTCTGGGGATGAGCATTTTTAGTGGGGCTTGGCCTCCATAAAAAGGGGAACAATAATTGGTGTCACTGAACAACCAAGACCAACTTTGGGTGTTTGGGCACCTCCATTTCACGTGGCTGGCGGCTTGCCATGACATACATTTCTTGCTCGGTTGCTCAGCCCAAGACAGGTACATGGTGGGAATACAAACCTCCATTTGCTTAAGTACCCCGAAAAATATCCCCAATAGACACGCCAGCAGGCGGGCTGAGGGACTGGGCCTGAGGCTAGTCTCAGGCCGGCATACCTTGAGACGCCAGCCTGGGCTGAGCTGCTTGGGCAGCCGGACTGGGCCCTGGCCTGTCAGACAGGCTTGGTAGCTTGCGTAGCTTGAGACCAGTCTCAGACACGTGAGACGAGGCCTGACCTTGGCACGCTGGGCTGAGCCTGCTGGTGGGCTGGGAGCTGGCAGGAGGTCATGCTTTTCAGGACAAAAAGGGGGGCGGTGGGGGGGGGGGAGGGGTTGGGGGAGGGGAAAAGCGAAGATTCTCTTTGGAGAAGAGATCTGAGCGCCCTTGGCCCCTTTGGGGCCGAGGCGAATAATCAGAATGCAGGGTTCCCAGGTGATGCCATGAAACCACCCGGGGACCGCAGGTTTGAGTCCATGTTCACATTACCAGGCTTCCATTTGGGGTACCCACAGCCATATGACAGGGGAATCATCCGAAACCAGTGGTTTCCCAGGTGGTACGAAATGGGTTTCATGCATCCGCAGTAAGAAGGCATTTTGCGGTTAGTTAGTATGTTGTGCGGTTGCAAAGCGGAAAGCCGCTTCTGCGCTTTGAGCGCGCGAGGCCATTGATGTGATGGACGAAGCCGGCTCCAAGGCATGAGTCAAACGAGCGAAAGGTGCCGCATGTGTGGCTGGTTCGGGAACTCACTCCCTGATTTCCTGGACTATATATTTTGCGGGAAGCCATTTTGAGTGTAGGACATAAGAAGCTCCAGGACTTTGGTTGGCTTGCGGGTTAGCTCTTTGATTCCCAGTATTGGAGAGGGGCTGTGCCCTAAGGTCCCTCTACACATGTTTGCTCTGTGGCTGCGAGGGAAAGCGTACATGGCGAGATAAGTCTGAGTTGGATGTGGGGATCATATTGCCGCATTGCCCAAAGGCCCAAATGTTTTGTCTGGCTTTCTCTAATCAAAGACAAAGTGCGTGTTCGGAGGTGTCGCCGTTGAACAACCAAATTATATCTTAGGGCAGCGTGCAGAAAGACATATATATATATATATAGATGTGTATAGACATGTGTGTGTTTGTGTTGTGTTGTGTTGTGTGTGAATGTACATACATACATACATATATATATATATACACCGATGTACCCCTTGCATCAGAGGTGTTTCAGATCCACAGCTCGACGCAATTCACCAAAGCCCGCAACTTTTTGGGAGCAAACCCAAGGACCCATTTTGCCAAACAAGGGAAAGCTCTGTTTTCTCCCCTGCATGCTGCTCATGTTGATGCATTTTTGTCCATGAAGGCGCGCAGCATGCTGCTGGCTGCAAGTGTTGCTGTTGCGTTGCATGTGTGAATGGGCGGTCTGTGGCAAACTCTTGTCAGGAGTTTGCGGGGAGTGAGGAAAACGCAAATTACAGTTTCAGAACTGATGAAAGAAGCCAGCGCGACTTCACAAAGCCAACCAGGCTCGCAGAAATTGCGAAACATCCCGCAAACAAAGCGGCTCCTTGCGGAACGTTGCCAAAGCAACACACATGTCGACGCCTCAGCGCGCAGCCCCCAACCACTGTTTTGTAGACAGTACTTGGGGTTTTGGACGTTGTTAGGGGGGTGCTGGAAAAGTGTTTCTTTTTTCAGGTCACTGGGAGCGGTGCCTCTGAACTTCCTTTCCCGGTGCATGTTTTGGTCGCCCAAAAGGCGCGAAACTTTGCCTCGCAGGTGAGACAGCAGCTCTACCAAGCAGCCGAGGACGGCAAACGAAGGGTCCCTTTTTTGGTTGGGGGGTGTTTTTGTTGGGGGGGCCCTTTTCCTCATGTTTGGGGTGGTCCTCTTTGCTTTCTTGGTGTGTGGGGGTGCGGGTTGGTCCCTTTAATCCACTTACAACCAGCCAAACAAGTGCTGACCGTGTGGGGTGGAAGGGTCCCTGTAAAATCCACCAAGGGCTGATCCACCTTTTCAATGTAACTCCCCCGCGGGTCAACCAAAAAGACGTTTGCCCACGCAAGCGCGGCGGAAACGTCCTTGAGCTGTGAGATGCTGACAGCTACCTCCGTTGCCACAGGGAGCCCCAGGAAGAGATTTCCAGGTACCCTCCAAAATGCTATGGGAGGACGGGTGGTTTCGGAGGTATGGGACTCGTGCCGAAATTCGCAGGCGCAGAATGCAGCCCTGAAAGTGGTAAAGAAAAGCCCTCCTCCAAAATCCAGGCCCAAAAACGCCCTGCACAGCGGGCAATGATTCAGATGGTACCCTCCCTCACGCGATCCGAGGGACGCTCCCGCGACGAGGACTTGTCTTTGGGTACCTGAGATAACTTCCATGGAACCACCCAAAAAAAGGGTGATTATCGGCACTTGTTTGTGCAAAGTTAATCTGGGACAAATACCTGGAATCCATCCATCATTCCTAGAACTGGGGCCGAAACATCCTCAAAATCACCTGCGTGAGGATAAAGGTAAACCACCCCCATGAGTACAATTGAGAACTTCACATGTGCACAAGGACACCCATAGAATCTGGCCCCTGGGCCCCTGAGACTCATCATTCACTTCCACAGCCCATGGGGTCCCTTTCAGTGCAGATGTATAGGGCTTAGGGAGCGTTAGGGAGTGGAGGAATAAAGAGCCCCGAAGAAAGATCCGTCAATCTGCAGAGGCTCACTCTAAACGAGATCTATGAGGGTGCCTTAGAGATTCTCTTTCTGAGTTGTTTGAAGTGCGGAGATTAAGCCCAGACATGCCCAGATACATGAAATTCTGGTACGAATCCTCCAATTCTTGCCCGCGAACTCGCGGGCCGAAATGAAGATGTGTCAACATTTGAGCCTCTCCGCTAGGCCCAAAATAGATTATCCAGAGGCATCATATCACAGCACCTATATTATAGCTTTAAAACAACCCTTCAAAAAACCCGATCCTTTTGGTTTCCTTTTGCGTGCCCTGAACCAAAGAAAACACCACGGCGACGGTCGCCGCCAAATTCCAGGACTCCCAGAACGCGGCGGAGCGCTGGGCCGCAGGCACGCTTTGCTCGTGACCGTTGCCCGATCCGTTTTTGGGACGCTTCTCTTGCGAACCCAGTAGCTGTGGTCCCCTTAAGGGAAAAGTGGGATGTGTCTTTTTCTCCCCCTGTGGATGTTTTGTTTTTGTTTTTTTCTTTCAAGGTCATTCCATTTATCATTTCCTGCTGGGCACCCGCAAGTTCTGTGTTTTAATTTCTTCAATGTGAGAGACCTTAGGCACATGGCAATGCTGCACTGTTCTCGGCGAGTTGTTTGTTGTTTGCTGTCTTTTCGGTTCTGTTTATTTTTGTTAGGGGGCTGCAAAAGACAAAGTTGTTTGCAACCATGCCAATACCCCAGAGTTGTCAAGATTTGATAGCCTCGGATGAATCCGGACCCCTCTGGGGAATCGCTCTAAATTCCGCAACAAAAGCGGAATGTTCCCAGACTACGACTTTTTTTTTCCGGATGAGTCCGAGGTGCAACATGATGTTGTTTGTTCGGCTGTTTGTATCAAACGCAAGTTTCAAGGTTGGCAGAAACTAGGGTCTGTATATATATATATGTATAGAGGTTGCTTTGTTTGGGTGATGCCAAGTGAATCCTTCAAGGGAGAAGGAAGTTGCATGGATGCCCCACTTTTGTATAATTTACTACAACTATGTTGGGACATGGACCTTGCCACACGGGTGTGTCTTTTCTTAGGGACCCCCCAAAAGTGGCTGTTTGACTGTTGTTTTTCCGTTTGGGTTTCCCGTTGGCACCAGAAAAGGGGTACCCTCAAAGTCATATGGACCTATATTACCACCAAGAAAATGATACATGGGTCGTTCAAGGTCCCCAATGCCCGGTGGCTCCCCACGGCTTCAAAACGGGTTGGATGCTTCGGGGGAAACGCTGCTTGGGGCTTCCATGGCCCAACCATAGCTCTGGCAACTGGGGGGGGCGAAATCCATTTCGCATCACCTGAGAAACCGTAGAATGATTCGATTCCCCTGCAAATACCAACAAACATCAACAAACAGTGGTTTCCCATTGTTTTAACGTGGTGCAGGATTTCATCCATCCACAGTAACTATGTATGGGGTGTAACAGATGTAAGCGGGGAGTGGATTTGTGCCTAAGGGGTTCACAATCACTACTCCAAGGGTATCTACCGCAGTTTATGTTGGCTGTGCCTGGGTCGTGGAGATCACTTGCCCCATAGATTGTTGCATAGGTGATGCTACGCATTTGCTGCTCGGGGGTATCTTCCATTTCCGGCGCTGGAGCCACAATAAACGCGGTAGAGGAAGCTTGACGGACAGCCCTGCCATGACTAGGCGTGGCAAGATGCGCCGTTTTGATGCTTCACCATGGGTTTGGGGTAGAGCCGGTTGCGGTGGTTTAGCCGCGGTAACATTGTAACGTCTGTGCGGGGCTATCCGCTTCGCAGAGAATTTGTGAAAGATGCATGACGAGGCTCATTTCCTTGCAGATTGGATGCTGACTCTGTTGCCCGGTGGCTTGCTTCCTTTGTTCCGTTTTGTTTTGGTGGAAGGACCAAACAAGGATGCCTTTTTGTCCCAGCATCTGAGCTGAATAGCCCATTTTGCTTCCTCCTCCCCAAAGGAAAAAAGCCAGAAGCAGATAGATACCCTTGCTTTTGTTTTCAGACCCTGCGTTTGACTCCCGGCTGTCTTAGGGAAAGCCCTTGGGCTCCAGCCACGTAGCCGTTGGAGCAAGTCGAGAGCCATGCCATTTTGCACAAAGTCTGCGAAACGCAAAGAAGGATGACAGCCTTCCATTTGCTCTAGGCTTAAGAATCTGTGTGATGTTCCCTTGTTGGGCTTAGTGCTGGGCACGTGTTTTTTTTTTTTTTTCCGTTTCCCGGGGACATATAAGCAAACTGATACCCCGGGGTCTCCTCAACGTGTTCTGCATGAGAGAGCGGTTTGGGTCGGCGGTTTGGAAGTGTGCGGTTTCCTATGTGCCCTCTACGCGAATCAGAGCCTCTTCTACTGGAGGAAGGTATGTCCCCACGGAACACGGCCGGTGTTCGAGAAGGATGGTTGAAAAGAGTGGGGAAGCCACGCCTAGAGTTTTCTGCTTCTTGCTTCTTTTGGCTCACCCTTTCAGAAAAAAAACCGTTGGACTGTGCTGCCGGGATCCCCAGTGTCCCGCCGAAGAGGCCGCGAGCTGAAGGAGGTCTTGGCGCAGAAGCAGTCGGCGGTGAACGCGGAGCGCTACGACGAGGCGCGCGTCGCCGCGTCGCGCGCCGTTTGGAGCGAGCCGAAGCGGATGCGCAACGGCGGGGACGTGGTTTGGGCAAAAAGAGTGTTTTTTTGGTCGGTGGGGGACGCGCTTTGGGTTTCAAAAAGCTTTTTTGGTTGGTTTGCTCTTTTTTTTTGGGCGGCTTGGTGGCGCCCGTTTTGGCCATCCAGTTCCAGAAAGCTTTTTAATGGGTTTAGTGGTTGGGTTTCCGAGTTAGACCTACTAAAAGTTAAACTTTTAGCAGGGGATTTGAGGAGGGCCCAGTTGGGTTTCTCATTATGGCAGCTGTTCATTGTCAAGGTTCCAAAAGGTGGCACAAGTCTGGTTGCAAAAGTCCACGTTGGTTGCTCTAGCCCATCCAAGATCTTCCAGGACTTTGTATACTTTTCGGACGTGGACCATTTTAGTGGTATACAAAAAGGTTGGACTTTCGCCTTTTGTTTCGAGACACCTGCCAGTGACTGACCATCCCAGGTCAAAATTAAAATCCCAAAGGAACAAACCAGAGGAGTCATACTGTCATACCTCCCATTTGCATTTCAGAATGCGTTGTTGTTTCCCCTCTTGGTTTTAAAGGGACTTGGTCTCACTACTGGACATGTCTTTTGTTTTTGGGGGGGAAATGGAGGTTTAGCAGTTTAAGCGTGGAATTGTGGGAGGGCCTTTTGGGTATCTCAATTCATGGAGCACACTCCTTCACCAATGCTCAGGTAGTTTGAAGCCCTGGTTCTTGTAGAGAGTACAAGAAAAACCCTCAACCACCAAACCACCCACCTCCAAAGCTCCATGGTCGGATTGTTCAAACACAGGTACATGGAAAACCCCTCAACCACCAAACACACACACACACACACACACCTCCACAGGTTCCTTTCCCTCTCGAAACACCCCAGCAAGAGCAGGGCTCCTTAAAAGATCTCCATTTTGCAACCATTTGAGACATGGTTCTTTGTCAACACCAAAATGAAGCTGGAAACCACCAACTAGACAAGTTGCAATGTTCAGGTCTATGATGCATCCGGATCCCAGCAAGCGGAAGCTCCCACTCCAAGCCACGCGGGAAGCGGACCGACGCCAGGCGGCGCAGCTGAAGCGGCGCCAAGATGAGCTCGAGGAGCGGCTGGAGGGGCCCAGGCCTCAGTGGCCGAAGAAGCGATCGTGACGTCCAGTTGCTGAAGTGTTGTTTTTCTCTGGAAAAAAAAGATACCCTGTTGGTGTTAAAAGGAATTTATCACTATTTGACATGTGTTTTTTAGCATTATTATTATTATTATTATTATTGTTATTATTATTATTATTATTATTATTATTAATTAACTATTATTATTATATATTTATCCACGGGCTTGAGCACGATCGGTGCGATAGTTAGTTTCCTGACATAGCCAGAAAACATTGGTTGATATTACATTCTTAGCATTTGCCCACATGAAGACATTATATAAGAGTTGTGGTCGGTTGGCGTTGTTCGGGTGTTGGTCGGTCCCCTTTTAGGAAACCACAACTTGTTTTGTTTGGTAAGATTCCCTTAGAGGAAGCCCCCAGTCGGATGTTTAGTTTTTTGGTTTGGTTTTTTTCCCCTTGCCATGGGTTGGATGGGGTTTCTTGGGGTCATTCCATGGCTCATGCCCTGCATCTCTCGCACCAAGGAAATTTGGATGCAAGTTCTTAGTTTTGGACAGGAGTCGCCATTTTTCCTCACGTGGTTTCCCTTGAAACGATCGCCACTTTTAAAGGTTCCGAAAAGGGCCCTGTTGGAAATATGGTGCTTAAGTTGGTGGTTGGATTTGTGGTGGGATTTAAACCCGTGGTTCTTGTTGAGGATGCGTGGGAGACCACCACTAAACCACCAATCCCAACCACCGATTGCGGGGAAGCTGATATGCTGTTGTTTGATTTGGCTGCCATGTTAGTCAGGGGAACCAACTAGCAGGCATACAGGCGGAACCAGGGATACGGGAGGATTCCCCCGTTTGATGCACCTTGACTAAGTTTGATATGGGAAATGCGCCAAGTTGGAATCCCCCCATATCGGGACCCGCTCCCTCCGTATCCCCCTGACTTCCTGAGTTCATGAACTTCAAACTTTTTGGGTTTGGACCATTTTAGTGGTAAATCTAAAGTTTGGACTTTTTGGGGCCACTCAGCCAGTGAGCCCCGCTTGTCCGTTTGTTTGTCCATGTGAGTGGCGAAGTGACTCGGCGAAGCTCGGGAGGCGAGGGCCCCCCAAAGGGAAGGCTGGACCGGTTTTTTCCAAGAGCAAACCCGGCCTGGGTTCCCCTGGAAAATGGGGAAGGTCAGTATTGACCGTCGCCAAGCCTTCTTTCTGGGCTTCTTTTTGTTACTTCTTGTGCGGCTGTTTGTTTCACCTTGTTTTCACCTTTCTTCTTGATCATTTTGTTCACATGTTTGTGTAGCCTGTTAGTTTGTCCAACCCACCCTTCAGCTTTCGGTTCGCGGTGTGAGGCTACAGCAAAGCCACAGCACAGACGATTTGCTAAAGGACGGGATGGTGAGGTTCGGGCAATGGGAAAATCCATAAGCCCGCAAAACGCTCAACCCGAATGGGAACCCTTGTCAAACAACCGGTTGGTTTGTTTCCCCGAGTTTGTTTCCACACATGCCAAAGGGTTCCCGATATTGAGCATGGGGAGCCAGCTTGAGCAGAACCCCTGCTTCCTTATTTGCGAGTCCGCTGTGGCGTTTTCCTGGTCCTTGTTTTGATACACGTGTTTTAGGCGGAGGGAAATCACTTGTCTTGAGGATGCGCCTGCTTACAGATAGACCTACATATATGGAGCCTCGGCGGGGCGGGGGGGGGGGGGGGTTCTTCGGGAGCTCAGTGGGTCTACCCCTATATAATAGGCCTGATCATAGGCAACCAGGTCAAGGTACGAATTCGTCAATTCAGGTTGGCGAGATGAACAATTAACTGTGACATGTGTACATGTTTGCCCGCATCTGTGCAAGTCAGTATGTATATATATATACATATACATATATATATATATATATAAACATTTGTGTACACATGTAAATAGATCTGTAGGTCTACATACATATATATATATACATACATATTTATAAAATAACTCTATATTCACATGATGCCTGATGTCGTTACAGTACATGTATATGTATGTGTATATATATATATACAAGTGTATATGATAGAATGTGCATGTTACCCGAGGTCATCAACATCTACATGGCTACCCTCCTTTGGCCTTGTCACCGCAGAAAAAAGGGAGGAAGCTCCGGCGCAGGAACTCCAGGGCTTGGGTGCGCAGATCCGAGAGGCGCGGTCAAGTTGCATGGCTCGTGACGAGAAGAGCTCCAACGGGTTCAACGTGCAGTTTCCTTCAAGGGAGTAAACCAAACAACCATTGGACCATCCAAACAGCCATCCTTGAAGGAAAAAAAACCAAACCACCATCCAACTGGGGGCTTCATCCTGGGGGGTTTCCAACCTACGGGTTTCCAAACTCCATTTTCTTGTGCATTCCTCAGGTGACCAAAAGGTGCTGTGGGCTTCCTTTAATATCAAACCAGCGAACCATCCAACTGGGGGGTTCCTGAAATATTTGGGCCTCCCCAAAACCGATTGATTCATTCCCACCACCCGGTCTCGGCCGTTCCGTACCTATCACTCCAGCAAGATGACGTCCTTGCAGGTTTCTCTTTGAAACCAGCCGTTTAAGCTAAGATCCTAGCCGTGTTTTTGGGCTGAGTAGCTACGACTAGTTTACCACTATAATTATAATCATGCCTATACAGCTTAAAGTGCACACAACCCCATGTTAATTATTTAGGAGCTTGCTTTACTCTCCCCATGCTGTTCAGGGCTCCTCTTGAACAAATATGACGAACCCCCGGAACATGGGCAGTGTCAAAAGGGAAAGATGGCTGAAGAGAAGGGGGAGTGGGCCCTTCGAAACATGGGTCGCCTGACACGGGGGGGTTTTACTCAATGGGATGGCACCCCGACACCAGCGAAACCAGGCCCGAAGTCCCCAATGCAGAGCGACCGCCCAAGATGGTGTCCACCATCCCGAAAGAACCAGCGGAAAATTCGGCCAACACAGAAACGGAATCACGCCGCTCTGGGCGAGTCTTGATTGAGGCTAGGCTTCGCTTGGCTTGAAAGGGGAGCGAAAGGGACACTTAGCCACCAATTTCCTGGCGACCATTATTTAATGGCAACAAGAAACCATTTGGACGGCTCAGTTTTTGTTGAATCCACTCGATCGGAATCGAGCCGTTTCTTCAGGGGTACCTGCCGTTCCTGAGGGTTGGGCGGGAAGGGAAGTTTGATTCTCACTTGGCCTTCTTTTTCCAGCCTGTGCATAGGCATTTTGTTGATGAGTTTGGTTGAAACTAGTGGATTCCATGTTTTGTTTGATTTTACCGGAAAAAAGATGCCAACCGACATGATTGAATTATTCAACGTGTCCAGCCTTTGTTTTCCATCCAATGTAGTTTCAGTTTTGTTCCAGACTCCTTCACCAATCCCACGGGACCCTTCAAAAAACCAAAAAACGCCCCCAGCTTTGGCAGCGACCCCCAAAGCTTTCAGCTGGGGAGCTGGGGTATACCATGAGCACTCCTGCGCTTTGATTTGCCTCCGACGCCCCCAACAATGCAATCAGCTCTCCAAGGGTGCGACGACACTTTTAAGGCATGTTCTCCCAACAAGATATCCTTCAAGGTACTGAACCCTCCTCTTGACCCAAGAGAAAAGCAAGTCCATCAAATCACACCGCTATTTTCTCCCACCGCACTTCTTGCACCGGGGTCCGTGGGGGGCGGGAAGCGTGCACCGCTCGCGCGAAGCGTTCCGCGCGGCAGGCGGTGGTGGCCGAGCGCTTTGTGGAGGCACAGGAGCTGAAGACTCGCGAGAAGGAGGCCATCGCGAGATGGAGCGAGGGAGTTCAGCGGGTCCATTTGTGTCTTTCTTGGTGGCTCCGTTTCAGCCATGCGGCGCCTGAGTTTTTTTTGTTTCGGGGTTAGTGGTAGTTTCAAAAAAAACCACTAAACGTTGAAATTGTTCGCAGGGGGTCGCAGGGGAACAGCCCAGCTTTGTGGGTTTTTGGGGCCTTCGTCGAATTTTTGGACACGAACTTCTTTGCAAACCAAAGGTGATCGACCTGTTGCTCGCTTGGTTGGTTGCCTGGTTGGTTGCCTGGTTGGTTGCCTGGTTGGTTGCCTGGTTGGTTGCCTCGTTGGTTGCTTGGTTGGTTGCCTGATGTGGTAGGGGAGCTACCCACAACCCCATAGCAATTGCCAGACTTGGCTTGCCTTTTGACTTGCTCGCCTTCTTGGTCTTCCTTGTTGCCTTTCTCCAGCAAGTCTGGCCCGGAAACGTGCCCCACAACCCCTCTCATGCTAGAGTGCCCTTCCAAACATGATGAGCCTTGGGCACTGAAGTGCTTCAAAAACCGATGGTGAGAACCCATTCAGCATGTGTTGAATGCATTGCCCTGTTTGACAAGTCCGCGGGCAATTTGGTGTGACAAGTCCGCGCGTTTCCTCCAGAACCGTCCTCCAGAACCGTCCGCTCGATCCGTCCGGTTTCGCCAGGTCGCGGAACTGCTGGAGAAGAAAGGTATCACTAGTGAGGCCTGCAGCCAATCAAACTTGGCTGCAAGGGGCCGAAGTGCCAAAGCCCTTCAGGCAAAGACCCGCCGCTTATACGTACGAATTTATATGTACGTATATATATTTTTAACGTGCATCCTGCACCTTATTTGAGGGTACCCCGTTTGAGGTTGCGTTAAAAGGACAACCATCCCGCTTTTATGTTAGGCTCTTTCTTTTGGGGGTCCCCTATGTGCACACCCTCACCACAAATATGTCAAACAACAATATATGTATACATATACACATATGGGTTTCTGGTAGCATGTGCAAACCCATTTACATATACGCACCATGTACATATCTAATATATCAATATACACGCAGGTACAGTGCAGAAAGTTAAATGGACTCCACAGGAGTGGTTTTCTTTTGGCTTCCCTTTGCACAACCCGCCCCCCCAATGTCGAAAAATACCCTCAAAAACGACAAACCCAGCCTCCTTTGAGGCAGATCCCCCAAGACAGATCCTAAAAGGGCGCCATCTTCCAAAAAGATCCCCCACAAAAAATAAATAAATAAAAACAAGCTCCGCCCCCCCCCAAAAAAAAAACAAACAAAAAAAAAAAAAAAAAAACGGGAAACACATGTTTTGACCGTGGCTACGGGCAACAGTCACTATTCAACATCATCGATTGTAGAAATTGCCACGCTCACCAAAATTCATTGCATAAGGAGTCCTCCTCACCGAACTCCCGTGCAAGTTGGGCAGACAACGCGTATTGACGAGTGGCGCGTATGAACTGGCAAAATTACTGATACTCCATGGGCGGGGGGGGGCTCCAAACACCCTCCCCCAAGGACACTTGCTCGGGGGAAGACTGAAACTCAGAGCAAAACTTCAGGGTTTGATTCCTCATTCTCTTCAATTCTTCTTCTTTTCAAAAACCGGATCCGCTTTCTCTGGGTTTCTTGAGGTGTTTTAGAAAGGATCCCTGGGAATGGGGAAGATCCTAGAATGGCTTGCTGGGTTCCTGGAAAGTGGAGCAAACATAAGCTGCACCTGAAAGAAGGTCCCCCCCCCCCCAAAGAACCCAGGCTTTCCCAGAAAATCTGGCGGCGTTTCGGGCGAAAAAGCCCGCGCCAGGCTGCCCGGCGGCAAGTCACTGCCGAGGACGTGGCTCAGGCAGTGCCAAGAGAAAGAGAGAGCTGTGACGACTTGCCCCGAGGCTACGCGACCCAGAAACAGATATCACCCATATCACGCACACACACAGGTACACATACATGTTCATACAGGATGGATATGCCTATATATAGATATATACATGTATATACATACATATATGTATATACATACATATATGTATATACACACTATAATGCACACTCTGTGTGTGTGCGAGTATGCACATGTCCCCTGATACGGCCTTTTCTACCAACAGGAAGTCTATCCAGGGATCTTTGCAGACGTGGTTGTGGAGGGGCTTATTGTCAGGATGTGGCAGGTGGGCAACTTTTAGATGGAGCGGTTTTTCATGAAGCCAACACAACTTGTTCACAGTATTTGCAGTGGCCTGGGCCTAGCTGGTTCCTTAAGGTGTAACAAGAAAAGGGATCCCCTGAACTTGGGGCCGAAGAATGAGCCAAAACATGACCCATTTTGCATCCCTCATGCCAAAGGTAGGGGTCTAACTTCTGCCTCATTGTTGCCCTGAGCCCCCCCCCTACTGTTTGAGACCTATAGGCGATATCAAGTTTCTTTTTGCCAAGAAACTTAAGTTGAGACGAGGTGCAGCCGGCAACCTGCCAAAGTTGCCCGAGCCCAGCGCGGAAAGCATATATCGATTAGAAAGCTGCCACAGTTTCCCTGAGTCTCACTCGCCAGCCGACCCAATGATTTTCCAAAATATGTTATTTTCCAGACCCTTTGGGCAAGTGAGTAGTGTGGGTGGAACTTCGAGTAACATGCGTTCGCCTTTCTGTTGGTTGGAGCCCCTTTTGGGGCGGCTCTATAGAAATCCACCCTTTGGGCATCCTACTTGGTCCGCGAAAGTGACATCGGTTTACAAGAAGCCAACCCCCAAAGGTGAGTAGTTTTGAGCATCTCTCAAAATGCATAGCCACTGTTTGGGACGCATTGGTTTGAGACCAGCCCCGTTTTTGCTTGGAATCCTCGACGTCGCGATTTGCGAGAAATCGCCAGGTGGTGGCAGGCTGGACAGGCATCGCCGTGGAGCAGGCGATTCCGAGTTGACGGGAGGGCCAATAGCTACAGTAATAGGTAAATCTTAGCTTGTGATGGTTTTTCGCCAAATCGGTTGATTTTGTGCATACAGACCTTGCTACTGGCCGCTGCTTTGGCAGTCAGACCTCGACAGTGATGGCGAGAGAGGTCGAGAGAGAGAGACGGAGACATAGGGGCAGAGAGAGAGAGAGAAAGACCTCCAGCGGCATGGTGTCTACCAGTTATCAGTTGGTTAATTTTGGACAGGGTTGGATTGTTCATGTGTTTTGTTTTGGGACAAACTTCTCAGGACGTTTCCTCGCTCAGGGCCTCCTAGCCAAAGCGTTGCGCACTCCTCATCCATCCCTGTAAGAAACTGACCGGAAAGGGGGCCAAATCCTTACGTCGCCCAAAAGCACGGATTGCCCTCCCACCAATTAACATGGAGCCGGACAGGATGGTCTTGGAAGACCATTTTCCTTTTAAAGGGGACCCCATTATCAGGCTCCATGTTACTTGGTGGGAGGGATTTGGGATTTTGGACCACCCGCAGCTTCTCTCTTCCTGGGGTGGCTTCCCAAGGGGTTCAAGAACGGCCCTGAAGAGGTACTCTCACCCCGCTCAACCTCTCCCACAACCATTCCAACCATCTGCTTCAGAATAGTGTTTTTTTTGCCCTGCTGGTTTTAGAGGGAAGCTAACACTACTGGATTTGTTTTTTCCAGGGGGCTTAGGTAAATGGAAGATTATCAACATCGCTCAACTCGTACCAAGAGGGTTGGGAAGTCCAGAATTTTGCGGAATCCCACAGCCCCTTGCAACGCCGCCCCTGAGAAATGTTGACCCTGGCTTCTTTTTTTAAATGGGTTGCGACCCAAACAAGATCCAACCAGCGGTTCAGTAATACCGGGTGAAACTTGGGTGCCACAAACACATCCGTTCTACTGTTGGAAACAATTCCCTGCACCAGTGAGCTCATTACCATGTTTATCCCAGCATTTGCACGCTGAGGCCCAGTTCAGGACAAATTTATCTATGAACGAGGATGGCGTGTCTTGTAAAAAGGGGGGCCTCCAAACACGGCGCTGCTAAAGGAGATCTCAAGATGCGCTTCAGGTCCCACGGGTTTTCAGAACATGCCGCAGGTGGGCGCCAGCGAGTCTGCTCGGCTCCTGCACCTGGAGAAGGACGAGTCGGGTGAGTCACCAGGAGGTCTTTATTTGAACGTGTGCAACTGGAGCTTTAAAGGGGTCAATGACATATATGCTTTATATGCTAACGGAAACATGTGGCATCTTGTCTGAATCAGGTTTATTATACAAAACTGTTTGTGAGTTGGCACCCTGGTTTGGTCTGATCTAAAGGGCACACCACAGACAATTCGCAATATGTGTTTTTTTTGGGGGTCTACGAATGCAGGATACGCCCGTTTGGGTGACTTTTTTGAGGCACCCAGCAAAACCACGAGGACGCCCACCAATTCTGGGGATCGCCTAAAAAAGAGGGTGTGGTTCAAAATTGTTGGAATCGAACCAAATTGGTGGGTGTCGTTTCAAAACAACCCCAAAAAGGAACCCTCGAACAACAACAACAACAACCAGAATCAACTCCCGTTTTTGCCAAGGGAAGCCAATTTGGGATGGGTGATGGTTACAATTTTCCAGACCCCAATTTAACACCTAGGTGGGTGGTTGACGCGGCTTGAGGACTGGGTTGTTCCTTGGGTGAGTGCCTCCGACCCCCCACTTCGCAACCCTCCCAGCCAGCCATACGTCACCTTTCGTGCATTTTGCTTGGATGTTAACTTTCTGCCAACGAATGGGTTTTCCATTAAACCACTAAAAGTTAGTCACTCTTAGCAGGGGAGCAGAAAGCAGCCGTGTTTTCTGCGTATGCCAGATGGGGGCCAAGACAAAGGGGGGGAACAGGTTTCGGGCTTCCATTTGGGTATAGTTTCTCGAAGTGGCTCTAGGATCAGTCTTCTGGGGCTTGATACGGGCACCAAAGCAGGAAACTCTCATTTGGAGGTCCCATATCCCATTTGAAGGCAAGCACGAAAAGTTGTTGATGGCGGTTCCATCTTTGGACTACCCCCTTTGTAAGGCCAGCTGACGCGGGGTTCACCAGCCCATGAGTTGGAACTAGGGGCGGCGAAAACTTCTAGAAGCTGCGTAGGTTCTGAAAGGCTACATAGTTCCATATAGCTAGGGTTTTGTTGTGGGGAACCACCTCAAGAGTGGTTGGTGGACGTGAATCCCCACCTAAATGATGTCCAGCAAAGGGTCCCTAATTGAAATTGATGCCTTTATTCCCGTGAGTGTCCGCGAAGATTTCTTGGGGTTTCCTGAATATCGGTCGGTTCATCGGTAGTTTGTGCAGAACAGGTGGGTTGGTCTGAGACTTAGCAGACCCTAAATGAGTTCCGAAAACGTGTGTTCAAAGAAACCGGGCTCGATGTGTGAGCAGGGGTTTAGTCACATGTTGCCGAACACCAGTCATATCCGGTGCAGATATTAGTCACAGTTTGCCACACACTGTCAGTAGCAGAAATGTGTTCCACAGAACGGACCACCTTGGATTTTCGCCAAGTTAGCAAATAGTTAGCACCTTGGCTGCTTTCAGCCCCTAAGAAGATGAGTCCCACCTAGGGAGCTCAAAAGTGGGTTATCCTCCCACAAAGAATCGTGGATCCTGCACAGGAGCCAGTCCCCTTAGGACAATTGCCTCCCAACCAGTTCCGGTACAGGTTCCTGCTGCTTGGGAGGGTTTTACCCCCCTTTTCGCATGGAAGCTGACAGCGACCCGGTCCCTTTAGAAGGACCATGATCTTCCAGGACGCCCCCCGAACGTCAGGTTCCTTCTGTTAATTGGAAGGGTCCCCTCTTTCCAACCATCAGGGAAGAGGACCACTTTCTGGGGTTTCCCCAGAAGGAACCTATTCCAAGCCACTTCTGCTCAGTTCTTTGGGAGCAACCGAAGCTTGGCTGCTATTGGGTTGGATCCTTAGACTTTGACTTTTTGGTTGACATCAAGTTGGGTTTTCCACTGAACCCCCAACAAAATGGTCAACTTTTTATGCCACTAAACCCCCAAAAACATGAGACACTTGTTGCAGGGGGGTCGTTGAAGCAACCAAGAAAGCACCACCGAACCGGAACCGAAGCCCAGGAGTTGCACCAGTCCATCATCGGCCAGGATGAGGCCCCGGAAAACCCGGGCCCCGAAGAAAACTCCGCGCCATGGAGCTCGTCTTTGGGCCCAAAGCGGGTCGTGCCATCCGCATGAGCAAGCAGGTTTTGGGGATGTCTTGGGCTAGTGTTAAAGTCAGGTGATTTAATGGCATGTCCAAAAGAACTGTTTGTGTCCATTGTGTCCTGCTGGGTTTTGTACTCGTCCATTTGGCTCAACGAATCATTTCCCCTAGACGGGGAGATCTGTTGGCTCCCCTTTGCTTCACTACTCCGAGCGGTTGGTGAATGCCTTCGAAGACGATTTGGAAAACCGTTGCCTTTTTTTGGGCTAGATGGCAGCTGACTTATATTTTTTCGCACTCTGTGGGATCCACTTCAGATCGGAACTCACTTCCTGAGTTCTTGGTCTCTGCTTTCTACCTTTTGGGAAGTGGCACCTTGAAACTGACCTCAAATGAAACCCCGAAACCAACTAAGCCTTTTTTTACCGTAGGTCTGCTTTGTGAGACCCGTCGGTGTTACGAGCGCATGTGGCAAAAACGGGTTACAAGAAGTCTGCTTGGTGCGACCTGTTGGTGCTATGAGCGCATGTTTTTTTTTTTTTTTTTTTCTCATTGGCCCTTGAGTTGCCGGGCCACGTCAAAGTTCTGGTCGCCCAGGCGGTGTGCAGCGTGTCCCGGGCTCTGCGGCGAGCGCGGGCTGGGCTGCGGAACCCCTCCCGGCCCATGGCGGGGCCGGGCGCCCAGACGTCCGACGTCAGATCTATGGGCCGCAAGGAGAACATGTCGAGGGATTCTCAAAATTGTGTTTTTTTGTTTTTGTCAGGATAGGTCTTGGGATGTCACTTTAATGGACCCACAAGAGGAACATTGCTTTTGGGGTGTTTGTTTCTTAAACGTCATTTAGAGGCTAGGTCTTAGGATGTCACTTTGGACCCAGAAGAGGAAGCCAAGGTAAGTCTCACTTTCCGGGTTCACTTCATACTTTTTGGGCCTTTGGCCCACTGAAGGGAGGAGTTGCGGAAGCCAAGGGTCACCACTTCGCAGTTGTCCAGCGAGCTGAGCTGTTTTTTGGTCCATATCTTCTTTGCGAATGGTTCCTAGCCATTCGCTGAGGTCTAGTTGGTTTAGTGGTTGGGTTTCCATGTGATACAACAAGTTCGTCACTTGCGGATCAGAAACCGGACAGCCCAATGTTTGGCTCTCACGTTCCAGGTCCTCAGGGGAAAGAGCGGGAAGCTGAAGGAGCCCCTAACCAGCGTGAGACGAATGTCACGGGGTCAACGGAAAGTTTCCAGCGGGGTGTCCGCTTGTTGAGAACCCTCGTGCGGAAATGATGGTACGTTCTGTCATTCACAGCCAGTACTAAAATGAAGCCAACGCATCCTTCATCTCAAAGCCGGAAAAGGGCAGCATGGTTGCTGTCGTTTAGTGTGACCACCTTTCTATTCTACAAATCCTAGTTCCCATCAAGCACGCCCATGGCTCCACCATCCAGTCGCGGCGTAAGGTTCATGTTCTGTGGCCCCACGGGCGTGGGCAAGACGGAGCTGTGCAAGACTCTGTCCAAGACCTTTTTCGGCAAGGAGGCGCTGTGGTCTGCGATTTTTGTTTTGGTCGCCGCTGTGGTGGTTCTCGCCGCGAGGGGAAAGAAATGGTTCATTTGCTGGTTGATGGTTCAATGGACCAAAAAGCACAGGGCAAATTGTAATGAAGTAACCTGGGGGGGGGGATTGCGACGTCATCCATGATGAAGTTTCCTTCTATAAGGCTCCTGTTTTGTCAGTCTGTGGCTTATACACATTTGCCGAGAAGAGAAATAAAAAGATACATGAGTTGTTGGAAGTCATAAACTGGTTCATGGCGATAGGACTTTCCAAGCTCCCTGATGACCAGATTTGTAGATGACCCCCCCCCCAGGAAAAAAGAAGAGTGGCGGTGCTGATTGCTTGGTTTCCCTTTATTATATTTCAAGTTTTGTTTTTTTTAGTTGTTATTTTTTAATACTTCTTATATACTTATAGATATAGATATAACCTTGCAACAGATCGATCATTGATTTGATATATATAGATATATATATATATATACATATATACAAAACATGAATGTTGTGAATCAATGAATCATTTGCACATATAACAACACATCAGACAATCAAGTTTCAATATTACCGCTAGTTCGGAGTTTTGCGAAGCCAGCTCACTTCACCCAAGCCGACCTTTGACCGCATACCTTTCGCTTCGGGCAATTGAGTGCAGACCTATTAACCTTTTGGTTTGTCCCATTTCGGCTAATCACGGCCCCAAAAGGCTAACCTTGCATTTCTGGGTTTGAAGGAACAACCGAGAAAAGGGATGTGTGTCGAAGGTGCGAGTTTCTCAGCGCTTCTTTGGGTGAAAGGACAGCAGATGTTCTGCAGAGGTTCGTTCAGCTTTTCACGAATGCGTGGACAATTGGATAACACGGGATCGCTGATGAAGGTTCGTTTCATGGAGATTTCTAGTTTGGGCGTCAAAGTAAACTTCTTGCGCAGTATTGGATCCGGCAGATCTTGCAGGTGCGATTCCAATGCAGGAAGGCCCCTGACAGAAACATGAAGCTCCCGATGTGTGCGAACCATGCAGTGGGGTTCAATAGATGCATCTCAGAGAAAAAAAAAAACGCCTTGATCAAGGTGTAGAGTAGCTGTGGCCCTCCCACCCACGTCTCCTGAAACGAACACGCTCCAAACCAAGGAGGAGGTTTGTCGGGTTTCATGTTAGTTGGTGCTCCATAATTGAACTTGGCCAATCGCGTTTGCAAGGCCAAGATTCACGGGGAGTTTGTTCGACTCGGCCGAGCACACAGAAACACACACACACACACACACACTAGGGCGAGGAGTAGCTAGAACTGGGAAGTTATGTGTCGCAAGCTACGACTACGGAAGCAGGCAAGATTGACGCAAGTGACGCAGAAGCCACTGTCCCCTCATCAGCTATTGTCAGACAGTTGGCAGTCTTCTTCGTGCGTTGCTTTGGGTTTGTATCTTGTTTTTTTTTTTTTTTGGGGTTGGTGCGCTGACCGGCCAAAAGTTGGATTGCCGAATCCGTTTGGTCAAGATTCGCGCTGGCGCACACGAGATTTCTGCGGGGTGCGGTCGGCCAACCAAAAAAAAATGTAACAACGCGACTTCGCGAAGGTGTTGGCTTGAGACCTGGCCTATGTCTCGGGCCTCTCGGGCCTATGTCTCATTTCATGCTGGTGGTTTACCAATTTTCCACCAGCGAGCCAACCTTTGCGTGCGCTGAAATTTGTTTGTCGGTGGAAGGGTTGTAACCATCCAGATGCTTACCCCCTGAGTTGACTTTGGTTGGCCAACCTATTCAAGAAGTGAGGACGCGTTTTCCCAAAGAGCTCACAGCCATGGGGGTCTGTGCCCAAAAAGCTGCCGGCTGGTCTGGGGCAGCAGATTCTTGTAGTCACCTGTGCCAGGAGAGCATGATCCGACTGGACATGAGCGAGTTCATGGAGAAGCACACCGTGCCTTGGATTGATTTCCACCCAGGGCGTTCTGCAACCGTAACCCCGGGCCACAATCAAAACCTAGGCCGGGCTTACATGAAAGCTGGGGACAATCCTTTGCAAGCGCCCCAAATGAAGTTTTGTTTTTCAGTTGGGGACCATTTTGGATTTTGATTGAAGGTTGTGTTACCCTCTGTGAATCAAATGTGGAACCCTCCGATTTTGCTTGTGACCCTCCATGTCACCTGCAAGCTTTACGCTCCCATTCACGTTGTGGAACTCGACGAAGGCCGCTGGAAGCCAGAGGGGTCACATCGGGATATTGATCGAAGCGCCTGTTGGGAAGAAATGGCAAAGGGAAGGACAGAAAACAAGATTCAGCCCAAGGACCCCCCAAGGTCGGGCAAGCTCGAAAAATTGCAGAGGTTGGGTTCGAGGGGTGAAAAACGCAGTGGGACTTAGAGTTGATCCTTTACCGGCTGATTTAGAGCATCCCCAATCCCAACTCCTGTCATGGACCTCAACGATGTGTGGAACAATCAACCAATGAACCAATCAGTCATTCAGTCAGTGAGTGAGTGAGTGAGTGCTTGTTTTGAGGTTTTCATTTGGACGCAAGGAAGCCCACCAAAGATAGGTTCATACCAACGGGGGCTACTGCCTCGCCGCTCACCCCGCTTCGGACCAGCGGCACCCGCCTGCTTCGGGCTTCGGAGTCGCGCGAGTCGCGACTCCGAGGTCTCCAAGCTGATCGGGGCGCCTCCCGGCTATGCGCGGCCGCCACGGTTGGTTGGACACCGCTGGTCCTCAATCGGTCCCCCAAGGAATCCCTTCCTTTCAGTGGGGCAGTCAACAGCTTTTGCTTTAGGCCAGGCCAACTTTGACCTCCTTTCAGTGGGGCCCCCTTTCTTGTCTGCCTCTTTTGGCGTACCCCTGTTTCAGAGCATGTAATATTTTAATTGTCCCTGTCCCCCTCGGCCGGAAGTTCCATGGATATCCCCCTGTTTGCGTGTTCCGGACGTCGGCTTTTTTGGGTGCCAGGGCTCAGGCATATTAATAATATAGCACCTTGACCACGATCAAACGGCGGGCAGATGAAGGTTGACGAGTCCCAACCAATCGGTGCAGATATTTCCGGTATTCAATTCTTGAAGCCTGGGGGAACCCAAGTAGCCAGGGTTGTGGGATCGCTCGGGGTTTCTCCCCACTTCTGTGATACAAGGGAATCCCCCTTTATATGCACAAAATAGTCTTTGGGAAGCCCTTTCTGTTGTATCACGGAAGTGGTCATTCCCCACAGCCCTGCCAGTAACCAAGCTTCACCTAGACGGAAAACCCAGTTTTCAGTTGGGCCGCAAGCAATCCCAGCCTGTAATCTGTAACGTTGAACCCACCCGCTTGTTCAGGCAGGTTTTGATCAGTCGTGCCTCCCAACTCACAACTCCCCCAGACAGGGGGGGTTCCTTCATTTTTCGGGGTGGCTTTTAGGGTACCCTTTTTGGTGAGTTTTACAGAAAAGCCACAAGGACAACTACTATTTTGCGGGTGCCACCTTAAAAAGGACCCGCCCATTTCACCTTGCGGACCTCAAGTGGCGGTTCAGCAGCTCCGCTCCAAGCGCTTGTGCTTAATAAGACACATCAGACAGGCCAATCAGAGCAACAACATCGGACGTGGGTTGGCTTTTAGTATCGGTTCCCTTTCGGTTGTCCGTTGAACTTCCTTTCAACTTGAAAAAAGTGAGCGCTTTTGCACCAAACCAAAGCAGGCCTCAGCACTGCGGACCCTTCCAATGGAGCTCCGGGTGCAGTTCGCGTTGGCCACCACAAGGGCGCCTTTTTGGGGGCCGTTCGCCCGCCAGGTGGGGTACAACGACGGGGGCTCCTTGACGGAGGCGGTGCGAAGACGGCCATACTCCTTGGTCCTCTTTGATGAGGTGGGAGGATCGGCGGCTTTTCGCTTGGTGACTTCTGCCGTTGCGTTGGCCTGGCGGTTACAAGTTTAGGCATGCGTCGGGACCAAGATCGGTGCAAGGGGGGGGGGGCTCGGGGGGTTGGGGGTAACTTGAATTGTACATGATGGACCCTTACAGCAATGTAGGAATCCCCTGCATCGTACTTTGTACCGCATGCGAATGTCACAGCTTGATATCTTTGCTTGTGCGTTCCGCAGTGGCTTAACCCACGCTCTCACAGAGACTAGCTGCGCAACCATGAAATAATTACACATCAGTCTCATTCTGACGGCTTGAGTGTATATCACTGCATTGTTCTGTTCATCTTAGAATGCGTCAATCATTCAGTATCCTTTGAGCCCATTTTTGCACTTTACAGGGGGTCGGGGGGGGGGGGGGTGGTTCCGTTCTTGCTCATGGAAAGCACATCTCACGAGTTCTGCATGTGCAATCATGGTACCTCCACGGAACGGCATTGCTTGCTAACTTGCTAACTGAGTAAAAGACTCGTCTTCTTACTGCTTTTCACATGTCTAGACTAAGATCAGCAGACGTGGTCCCATTTTCATTCCTTCCAATAAACAAATTACATTTTTTGACGCAAATCACAAAGGAATTGACCACATCCACCGATCTTGGTCCCGACGCATAGCCAAGTTTACAGTGGCAGCATATACTTCAACGGCAGGTACCTGCAAAAGGTCTTGTTCTAGCCCCAATCTCTTGGCTGGGACCCATGACAAGTGACATGGCGGTCAGGAAGGTTTGGAGTTGGAGAAAAAGGCCCCTTGGTACCGTCAAAGGCGACGCCGCAGCCAACCATCAGTACGAGATGGTTGGCTCACATCATGTTTTTTGAAGGATGCCTTGGATCCATTTTGGGCTGCAGCCCGGGAAGTGCACAAGTCTTATGCTCCCGGCTACCAAACCTGGTGGGCCAACGTCCGCACTCGGGAGCACTTCAAGGATACGCTTGCTGCCAGCAGCGAGAGTTTGGGCTGCTCAAGAAGACTCAGTGTGATGGCCACTCGTGCGTGTGCCAATTCAACAGCGGCGCCGAGGCGAATTGGTTGAACGTTATGGAGCATTCCTCTGCCAAATTTCCGGCGGGCGGAACGTCCCTTCTCGCCCAGTTGCAATCCCTTTCAGGTGTGTAAACTCTTCAAGCCGGTTGATCTACGAGGGGTTCTTCTTTGGCGGTGGGCAAGGAACACTGTTTGGACTCTTGGTAGATATGGCCGCACGAGAATTCCCATCCCAGCCAGGTAGCCAACAGCAAAGTGGGCCCACAGCTTGACTCGCTTCCAGTTCTTTCATCCAGTTCTGCACCATGGTTGGTCAGGTTTGCCTGAACTTGCGTCTGAAGCTCGTGTGGGTATGCAACATGGGAAGCTTGGGATTCAAGATTTAGTCGGGTTTCTTAGGCTGCGCATGTCTGGCCGCATGTGGTATACAAGGGATTGTATTTGGGGCGGGTACTTAGGTGGGCACATGGGAGTTCCTTGTTGAGAAGCGAGGGAAGACCCAATCCTACTGAAAACATCTCATTCTTCCCACGGATCCTTCTTGAATCAGGGAACGCGCCTGGTGGTTGGACCAGATGTTTTCAAACCCCACAAAGGTGCGTCTTTTTTCGGGGACTCCCCAAACCGGTCGTCCATTTGGTTTCCCTTTCAACCATACAAAGAAAGTACAAAAAGGGGAAGGCCCTCAAAAAAGGACACCCATTTCTCACCTCTCTCACAGGTCGAAAAGGCGCACCCTGACATCTTCAACGTCCTGTTGCAGCTCCTGGACGATGGGAGGCAGCGAATCCATGCGTCAGTGGGTTCTCCCGCAAGGTTTTGTTTCTATACTGGGCTACTTCTGAAGCCGAGTCTGAAAAGTCATGCTTTGGTGTACCCAGGGTGCTGTGCCAAGTTTTGAGCTTTCGCTTTTTCAAGGGTTTGTTGTAATATATAGCTCTGGCCGTCAAAGCGCCAGCCACGCGGCTGGCTAGGCATTAATGTGTTCTCAAGCCAAGAGCAAGGCGGGGGCTCTAGAGCATGGCTTTGGGCAAATAGTCTAAAGAGGGATCTGACCGATTCCGGGCCCTGAGGTGAATAATCACGGTTGCTAACTTGCTAAGTGCCCCGTGAACCAAAGACCCTAGCCATACTGCACCAGCATGCGACGCAAGGCTTGGGCGTCTCCCGGCGTGCATGCGGGCCATTAGGCATGGCTCGCCTTCGAAGTGCTGCGCTTCTTTGCCCGGCCAGACTTGGGTCCTTACAGGATGCCAGCTGAGTCCTTTACCAGACGTATCCTTTAAGGCTTTAAGGGCCTTGCTGCGTCCAGAGCCACATGCAGACCGGCAGACCGGGCAAGGCACCTGCAGGCGAGGGTGTGCACGGCCAGTGGCGCGCTGTCTTTTTGGCACTCGTTGGATAGTCAACTTGCTTGAGCGCAGTTGGGTGCAGGCCTACCCACTTTCTGCTCTCGGTTGTAGCGCTGCCACGGCAAGCTGCTAGCTCCTAGGCGCACGAAATGCGCCGGAGTTGAGTTGTCCGTTTCCGCAATCCTTAGCCCATAGGTCATGAAGGGAAACCATGTCCTCTTCTAGGTCCCCCAGTAGTGCCCTTTTACATTTTTGGGGGGGAGGCCCCTACTAAAATAGACTACAGAAAAAAAAAGGGTACCCTTATTTTAACCGCTCTACTGGAGGACCTAGTTGTGGTGCTTTCCAACTCAGGAATTGGAGGGTGCGACTTGAACTTGCACCGTGGGTGTGTGACAGCGCCCTCGCCCCATCAGAACCTGCAAACAGGGGGTGTCACCCACAAAAGTGAAGGATTCCGACTCCCCCACCCCCCTATACGTCAAAGAGCCGTTTTCATTTCTCCGAGGTGAGCATTCATCCCATTCCAGTTTTTGGTTGTTTCGACCGCACATCTCGGCTGGTCAGCTTGACATTTTTCTTCAGTGCAGGCTGACAGATTCCAAGGGCCGCGTCGTCTCCTTCGCCAACACACTTGCGGTGGACTCAGGGTCTGCGGATCTCTTCGGAAGCTGCTTGGGGGTCAACCACGCCGCCTTTTCAGGGGTAGTGTGGGCCTAACATTAATCAACCCCAGTTTATTAATCAGGCGGTGTTTGGGTTTAGTGGGAAATCATCACTTGTGGAGGAGAAACACCCCCTATTACTAAACTGGGGTGCATGAATATGGGGTCAACAAAAACAAGTCCACGGTTGTCAATCCGAGTCAGGGCATGACATCACTTCACACCCCGTCATGCCGCAATGGGTCTTTGGAGTACGGGGGATTCCCACCCTGAACGCGTCTGTGCGTGGCGGGTGCGTGAGATGGGGTTTCACACTTTTCGCAGGAGACTCCGGGTGAGGTTGAAGCACGGAGACTTGTTTGCTTTACCACTGCAAGGACGTGTCTCACCTGTGGCTCCCAAAGACACACCCGGGGACATATGCACATGACATATTTTCTGGTCCCTGTTCACAGTGGCCCATGGGCCCAAAAGCTTTTATTTCATTTAGGCAAGTGAGCATACGCCCAACTCGAAGGCCTGCGGGGCCAATCTTCAACTAGCTGGTGGTTGCAAGGCAGTTCTGGAGTTGGGTGTGTCCGCATAGCTTTTCGAGTGGGAGCCTTTCCTTTCGGAGCTGCCAAGCGGAGTTCTGAAGGGACCTGGTAGGCTACTGATCCCCTCTTGGAACAAAACGAGAAAAGGGGCAAAGAGATAGATTGCCAGTCCTTGAAGGGATGGGCTTGGCAAGCAGTGCGGATGGATGCTTCCTGCACACCTGACACGGGAGTCATCAGGTGTTTTGAGGAGACATGTTTATCTTTGGGGGGGGGGGTCAGGGCCTTCTAAGCTTTTTCCGAACCATTCCTGAGAGTGATGGGGCCTTTGGTTTCCCTTGGTTGTATTGTTAGACCTGCGTGCAACGCAAAGCAATGCCCGCTTCAGATTGGTCAGGGTCCCGTATCACTCGTGCTCCCCTAAATGGATAGTTGTCCCTTTAGGGGAACCCCGAATGAATACTTGATATATCATGCCTCCCGTTCGGGGCCAAAAGCGAGTTACCTTCCGGTGTGACCTGCTCACCGCGCCAGTTTCTGGACGTTCTACTTGTTGGAATAACAACTTTGGTAAACCCGGTGAGGAAGGCGTCATTCCAACCATTTTGCGAGGTTGTGACCATTGTTCGAGGACCAGGTTGCATAAGGTTCTGAGCCAACCGGGTCAGGAAGGCGTTTTCGGCCATGCAAACCAATCTTCACGTTCGGAAGCTTTCCCGGTTCCCTAGAGTGCGAGGTACTTTAACTGAAAGCCCGGTTTCTTCCAACATATATCTTAAAACAGTGGGTATTTGGATCAAGGGGGGGTTGATTCCTCTCCGGCCGATTCTTAGGTGGTTATGACCTCCAACATCGGCAGCAGGTCTGTCTTGGCCTCGACGTAAAGCGGTCAAGGTGGGCAGAAGGCTCGCGAGCTCACCAGCTTGAGGTGTGACCAAATCGCCCCTTACCCTCCCCGCGCTTTTCACTTCGAACCTGCTGTTCGGGGGATCCTGGAAGATAATTGTCCATGTCAATTGAGTGGTGGGAGGGTAGACCTTTTGGAAGCAAATGCCTTTTTCTACCTAAAGCTATAAAGTAAAGTAGAGCAAGTTGAATTGGGGACTCCCTACCCCGTTCCCCTGAAGGAAGCGGGGATTTGTTTGTTGGAGTGTTCCTAGTTTTGAGGATGTTTTGAGTGGTCCCACAGTTGGCTCCCCTGGCTCAATCATCCTGTCGGAACTGCGTTCTCCAAAGAAGGGGATGCTTCTGAAAGGCGAACGCTCTGAAGACCAAAAAGGCCTTTCTTCAAGCTGGGTTCCCGTTGTGGTTGATACAGCGCAATGCGCAAATGCAAGGGGTGCTGCCAGCACGCGATATCCTTTGCGGAACCCCTGAAGCAGGTTTCAGAATCAACCCACCGAGCAAGAGGCAAATCCACATCTTGTTTCGTGGGTAGCCAGCTACAGGGGTTTGCCTTAGCTTGAACCCAAAGGGAAACCTGAAATCCAGTGGGTCCAAGTCCTGTTCGACACTTATCGCAACATGCAACCCATTTGGGTTGAATCCTTATCGAGAAGCTCACTCCCTGAGTTGACTTCCAACTTGGGAAGTTCGGGCTTAGGTCCCCCAACTAGGTGCCCTTTGACCCGTTTCTTTTTTGGTTGGGAGGGTTCCCCTACTAAAATAGACAACTCAGGAAAAAAAAAGAAACCAAAAACGGGTACCAACTTTTTCAAATGCCCTTCACACCTGTGGGTTTTTTTGGGAGGCACCGGGGGTTCGCGAAGGTCCAGAAGAGCGCTTCCGGGGGCTCCGGCCTGGGCTTTGGCATGGCGGAGGATCGCTGAAATCGGTCTGTTTCTCAGTTGTTCAGTGGCACCAATTATTTTTCCTTTTTTTGGGGTGGCTGCCCCACTAAAAATGGTCTTCCCCAAAGAGGGTTCCCTTTTTTTCCAGGGTCACAACTGAGGTTTGGGTCATGTGTTCGCCTGGGCGGCAGAGGCCAGGCTTAGCCTAAGCCTTTTTGAGGTGTGCCCATTTTATTTATTTATTTATTTGGTGGGGGGAGGTGTCGAAAAGAAAAACCAAACAAAACAACTCATTTATTTATTTATTTTATTGCGGGGGGTCCCTAAGAAAGGAGACACCCATTTCCGTTGGCTTGGTTTTCCAAGGGAATCTAGCACCACTGGAAATGTGGTCGTGTCATTTTCCGCGCTCGGTTCTTCCAGGGGAAGCCCCAGCAAAAAGAATGGAAGTACTGTGGATGGATGCGAAATCCACTTCGCACCACTTCATTTTACCGCGGGAGACCACTGTTTGTGGGTATTTACGTCGGGGAATCGACTCAGAAACCAGTGGTTTCTCAGATCTCGAAATGGATTTCGTGTCCATCCACAGTATGTCTTACATTTTCCAGGGGCAAGCAAAAGCAAAGATGGAGCCCGCTGGTTTCGAAGCCCTTCAAGTGGGAAGCGCCCGAACACCTCCTAGAGGGGAGCTGGGTGGCTGGCTGAAAAACAGGTTTTTTCTTCACATGCCAGGGCTGGCTGGACAGTTTCCAGTTGGAATCAGTGAATCCCATGCCAACTTCACTGCAGGGGCCCTTGGAAGAAGTGCCGATCCTGGTCGCCGATCCTGCTCGGGCTCTTTCTGGTTCTTTTTCAGCACCAAATAAAGGGAAGCCACCATTTAATTACAAGGCAATGTTCAGGTGTAGAATGCATCCGGATCCCTGTGTTTTGAAGGCAATTGTTGGTTTGGCATGGTGGTTTGGAGGTAGATCAATTCGAAGCTGTACCTGGAAACCAAGCCAAAGAAGAGTGCAAGGAACCCATGACCCCGGAGTCTCCTTCGGGCAAAGGACCACGTCCTTCAATTCCATGCGCTTGGGACCCCTCCAAAAAATCATATGATGTTTCCTCTTGGCCGCACAAGAACAAGGGACCGAGGCCATCTTTCCGGGTGAACACTTCATGCCACCCCGCAGGATGGGCATTTTCTTCTTTTTTCGCCGGGAAAGGATCAGTGACAGGCTGGCTTACCTGGACCTGAGCATTGCTTTAGACTGTGTCATGCCAATTATGGCCCCTCTTGGTTTAGTGAATCTATATTGGACATATGCTCATTTTCCAGGGGGGTTGAGTAAATGAATGAAGGCGATGCACTGCTTTCAAGTGCTTTTTTGGGTTGTAAAGGCCCCGCAAGTTTTATGCGTCGTTTGGCCAGTTATTTCAGGCCAGCCGCTGAGGAACAGCAATCCAACCCACCGAATCGGAGGCAACCTGAAGTTGCCAAGCACAACATGAGCAAAGCTGAGCCGGCATACACATGTGCATTTAAATATAAATATATATATATATACATATATATATATACGTGTGTATATATATATATATATATGTGTGTGTGTGTGTTAGTGTGAGGGATGCAGCCAACTGAAGATTGGCTCATGCGCATCCAGTGGTCCAGGTTCTACTGGCTTTCTGTGGGCCATAGCTACCAGCGATTTGGATTTTGAGAGGGGGGGGGGTTATCTTTTGCACGGTTTGTGTGGACTCAGGACTAAGAAATCCGGCAGACTACTCGGGGTGTGTGTTTCATGTATTTTTTCGTTGCGCAATCTATCAAGGGGGCATTAATCAACTGCCCGGTTGTTGTTAGTGGCACCGTTTGCCTTGTTTGTTTGGTGGATCCCGTTTAAAGGAGCCGCTGCTTTGTGGGTTCTCACTAAAAGCGGAGTCACCCAACCAAGCAAGTTTCTTTTTGACAGCTTTGGGGTCACTTAGTCCCAACTGGGACTGGGCTCCCAAGTGAGTGTTGCAGGACGAGGAGGAGGATAAGTACTCCAAGGTTAAAGAGCTCGTGCACGAGGAGCCGCTCAAGAACAAGCCTTTGGATTCACACTTTTTTGCCTGCTAAGAAATGTTAGGTCGCCGACGTGTAAATGACATGTCACACTCGTTGCTGTTGATGTTTGAGGGAAACCTCATATTACGAAAGGTCACTTCACGTGCCATTCTGTCGAGCTAAAGCCATTTTTTCCAGCAGGCCAGCGAAAACCAAGGGGAAGCCGCTGGTTTTGCGCCCGTAGACTGTTCACCCTACTCCGGATAGTTTTGGGAGTGTCACTTTACGTACTTCAACGAATTCGGAACCTGGCTGGTTCTGTCTTTGGTAGCCCGGAATTAGCAAGCACATTCAAGAAGGGTCCCCTGTTCTGGAGCTCCAGTCAAAGTGGGCAAATTGAAGCGGCAGCCTCGCTTGTGACGAAGCTGGTGCAGATACCTCTCAGAACTGGGGGTGCCAGAGGTTCACATATGGGTTCACAGTTGCGAGGTGTCTGGGCAAATGAGTGCGTCTTTAAATATAGGGGACCCACCCAAGGGTGGTGCGTTCCTTTGGCGTCCATTTCAATCCACCCCAGAAGGCAAACCTTAAGACAGGAACCTCCCCCCCAATTGCTGGTTAATTTGCAATGATGGAAAGGGTCAATGGCGCATCCGCCAGCTCGAGTTCCCGCAACCACATGGGAAGGCACCCCTTAGCCACCAAACCACTTGGCTAAGGTGAAGCAATCAAGAAAGTGAAAGGTACCTTTTAACTTGACTGCTATTGGGTTGGATCTTTAGACTTTACCTTTTTGGGATATGAGGGGTTTTCCACTGAACCCACAAAAAGTCAAACTTTTTGCAGAGGGATCAACAGCAACAAAGTTAAGGAGGTACTTTGACCCCCTTTGCAATCCCCCCCCCCCGTGGAAACATGGACCCTCTGAGATAAGCATGATGGCTGTCTTCAACGATGCGCGATATGAACCAGGAGCTGAAAATATCACATGATCCCTTGAATCCAGGCATCATCTCATGGGCCCTTGTGAATGGAGCCCTTAATTTGTCCCACTTGCATACACCTTACACACCCTTTTTCTACGCTATATAGGCCTAGGCAATATTGAAAGAGATCCTCAAAGATTTGACCCCCCCCCAAAACGATATATGAGCGCTGGACTAACCCTTGGCTGCAAAGCTGGAGAGAGCGCAACCAACAAAAACAAACGACATATGATTTGATCCCCCCATTAGGACCGAACGGGTTGTCTAGATGCAAAGACCTGCACCGTCTGGGACAGGTATGATCAAGGGGCCAAGCAAAGGACCAGGTTTTGAAGGGTTTACTTGTGAATTTGTGTGCCCCTGATTTGGGCCAAGTGTGGTCCTTTTGGGCTTCTAAGGCCTGTACAGCCAGACTATGGGGTCTGTTTTAGGGGAACCCCAATCCACATAGGGGTACGTACCTCCAAAAGAAGACACCCCGTATGCACCCCAGTGCGCCCATGGCTTTCCGCCCCCAATTCCAGGAGATGAAGAGCTTCTTCCGCCCGGAGTTCCTGAACAGGCGGGTGCCGAATCGGGGGGAGCTCGGAATCTTGTTTTGCTTTGTTTTCTTTCGGTTGGAAGCTCCTTGCGGCGAGCAAAGATGCACGGTTTAAAGGCACACTCCCCGATCGGTGTGTCCAAGGCCCAAGTCCCGACGCCTGTCCAAAAAGGCGGCTCTTCCTTGCGGGGTTGCTGGAACCCGAAGCCAGCTTTGCCACGGGAAGCTCGGTGCGCTTTTTGAATTTTGAGGGTACCCGTTTTGGGTCGTAAAGGGAACCCAAAAACCCAAAGGAAAACCCATGATTTTAATTGATTTTGGGGTGCAACCTTGAAAAAGACACCCAAATGCTGCCCCTTGTTTGGTGGCAACTCAACACCGCAGTCCTTTTTTGTGGTTTAAAGACACGCCCAGAATAGTTGTTTGATGATTCGGTGAATGTGTTGTGGCTCGTGGGTGCTCTTGGTTATTTGCTCTTGTTTAGTGTGACGGACACGCTGTGTGGATAGGTCGTTGCTGCTGTTGATTTCAGTGGCCGGGGAGTCCTATGACCTTCTTGCAGGAGTCCGAGGTCGAGCTTTCAGTGGCTGAAATTTGCCAGATGCCGGGATTGCAGGTTTCCGCTTTGGTGGTCTTAAACATCACTTTTGAGGCATCTCGGCTCAAAAGCCATTTGCCTCAGGGAGTCGCGCCCCAGGGTCCCGCCATTCCTCCGATGGAAGGTCGGACGTCCACAAAACCCGCCTTCCCCTGGGCGGGGCGCTGCGTCTTCATGATCAACTTTCCGGCCAGGAGAGCGTCCTTTTCGGTGTGGTGTGCAGTTTTGCCCGAAATGAGAGCTCTGTGGATTACCTGGGTTTGCGTTGTGGCTTCTTCCTCGCCTACGTGGCTATGGTCGAGCACTTCCTTCTATGTGGTTGTGTGGGCGAGCATTTCTGCTACTTCTTTGAACATGTGCGATTCCTCCCAGTTCATTTGGTGCTCTTCGGCTACCTCTGCGCTGGACGTGAACATTTGTGAGGGCTACCGAAACCCCTTGCACTTGACCTCCTGATGTTCTCTCTCAGACTCTGCCGGATGGTGCCCCGCATTTGAACTGCGCCTCCAGCTTCTGGAGCGTGGTGCAGGCTGAGCTGGTGAGCCGGTTGCGATGAGCTTGTGGCTACGTGATGCTTTGTCGGTTCTGATATCCGCTTGCTATAAAGGGCGGGCCTGACCCGAATTTGGCTTGTCCCTGACAAACACTTTTCGTGTGACGGCCCGCCCTTGTCTCGCTTTATTTTTTTGCGCATTTTGCTCCGGCAAAGGCCGCTGCGGGGGTTTCCTCTGCGGTGCTTCGGCTTGGTGTGATGATCCGCCCTGGCCGCGGCCCTGTTCTTTGGTTGCCTTCCTTTGTCACTCGTCCTTGGAGTGCGTCTTGCCCTCGGCCATAAGTGCCGGGGTTTTGCTTTGGTTTTGTTTTGGCCTCGGCGCCGGCAGGCCCGTAGGTCGGCGCTCGCTCCGACGCGTGTGCCCGTGAGATAAACATCACTTTTGGACTTATGGGCAAATTCAAAGTGGAGGCGTGGTGTGTGTCTTTCCTTTTTTTGAAGCAACACGTTTCAAATGGAAGCCTGCGATGCGAACCCTCGGCAGGCTGGACGAGGTCATCGTCTTCCGGCCGCTGAGGGAAGATGACGTGCGGGCTATCGCAGAGGCCGCTGGGGGCGCGTACAATTGACCTTTTGTCAGACCCTGCCTGGATCACGAGACTCCCAACAGTAGGATCCCAACCCCCTCTTGTTTCCCCAAAATGCGGCAACAACTTACGACCAAGGGGCTACAGCCTGGTCTTGGAGACTGAGGGAGGAATCCTGGCCAAAAACAGCGAAGCAAAGTGGCCCACATGCTCTGCAGCCAAAAGCCGGTGAAGGAGGAAAGCATATCAAGTGGGTGGTAGAAGTGGGCATCAATAGCTGCTGGGGAGGAACCTGGAAAGTAAATGACCCCAATGGTGACCACATGCAGTCCCAACTCCCAATCGTCCAATGACATCAGTGGGCAAAAACTGAAGGTCAGCCAATCGAAGCTATCAGCCTTTCGGAAAGAAACGGCACGCCATTTTGTTTGGGGGGACCGCTGATGCAAATGCGACTGGCCAACACGGACACTTTGAGATCGCCATAAAAATCCAACACCCTAGCTGGCGTATCATCGCTAAGTCTGAGTTTCATGGGCTCCCTAACTTGGTACCTGCAATGCAGCACTAGAGAGATAGAGAGAGAAAAGAAAGAAAGAAAAGAACAGGAAAGAAAAGAACAGAAAAGAAAAGAGCAAGAAAGAACGAAAGAAAGAAACACGTATAATAAAGAAGCAAAGAAGGAAACAAAGAAAGAAAGAAAGAAAGAAAGAAAGAAAGGAAGGAAGGAAGGAAGGAAAGAAAGAAAGAAAGAAAGAAAGAAAGAAAGAAAGAACGACAACAAGAAACACATAGATAAGCAAATAAATAAATAAATACATAAGTAAAGAAAGAAACACATAGATGAGCAAAGAAATAAATCAAGAATAAATACAGAAATAAATCAAGAAAAATACAGAAATAAACACAGAAAGAAGCAACTAAAGAAAGACTGATTTTAAAAAAAAAGAAGAAGAACTAATAACACAAATAACCAATGTATAAATAACACAATAAATAACTAACTTAACAACACAATGAGCTAAATTGCAGGAACAACACAGAGATGAAAATAGCATAGCATATATTGTCAGAAGAGAAAGAAAGAACAATACAACACACAACAAAGAAGTAAATGCACACATACGTAAATATACAAAGAACAAACATGACACATACATAAAGAACGCAACACATACATAATCAAATACAATAATCATAATAATAACCATGTATATAGATACGGACAGAACACATGCTAAGTCGACCTTAAGAGTCTATCCCCCTCCCAACTCCCAACTCACAACAATTGCCCCTTAGCCACGGCAACAGTGAGCGCCCGTTGTTAAGGTCTCTTGCTTTCCAATTCACGCAAAACTTTCAGACTTCCGGCCTTCTTGGCTGTCCTTCGCATTCCCTTCTGCCGGGGGGGGGGGTACCTCTGGCCTAGGAAAGAGCACGCTCAACTTGCCTACCCTCGTGAAAGGATCTCCCCTGCAAGTCTTGTCAACAATTCTAGTTACTCAAGCGATGATGGAGCAAAGCTTCGCAAGTCCTAGGTTCAGGTTTCAACGTCCATGGGGCAACGGGGGGTCAAGTGTGGGTCCAGGCAAACAGGTTCCTTTGGTAAAACCCTTGGCCACTGGCCCTAAGTGTTGACATGTCTGGTGAGTCCCCAGCCACGGAAGAATGAACTGTAAAGCTTCCCATCTTTGGAAGCATGGCTTCTGAGCCAATGTGGTTGAGATGCTGCATTTAGACCTCATGATCCTGGTGGCTTTTTTTTGGACAAGACCTCCATCCCGGAGGTTGTCTCCTTACGAATCAATGCGGAAAAACCTGCAGGTGGAATTCAAGAAGGTCCTGAACAGATTGGCGGACAAGGCGGGCCGGGTTAGTGCCTGATCCCGCCCCCACTGAGGAAGCCCTGTTGAACTTGGATGGATTGTCTTGCAAACATCTAGCAGACACACATCGGAAGCCCCTTGAGCACATCACATGATTATGATTCTGTACGTTTGGGAACCCCCCCCCTTTTCCCAGGGTCATAGCGAACAGATTACGTCGGGTTGTCCGCACTCCACTTGGAGTATTTTTACGCCTTTGCCACATGTGACCCAGTGTTGCTCGGGGCCTTTGAAGCGGCAGGACCTCCACATTACCCTCACGCAAGGCTTCAAGGACGGAGTGCAAAAGAGAGACCCCCCTACAAAAAGAAACACCCTTTAGAAATGTAATTGGGGCAGGGGAGTGGCCCCTGGAATTCTCTTAGTTTTATTCTCCCTTCTGTGGGGAAGACTACGGAAACAAAGTTAAGGACCCGCCTGATAATCTGCCCAGATCTGTTGCCCTCTCTGGCGAACTACATTGAACCCCAAAAACAGGGTCCCAAAAAACCAAAGTCCCTTGGAGTGCCTTAGAAGCCTTAGATCTCAAGGGTCTACCTACTCGTCAAGGTTTCTGAAATTCATCGAGGCATCCACCCGAGAAATCGGTTGGGGGTCCAAGCCTTCGGCCCCCGAAGCTTTGTTGGGTTCCAGGAATTTCGGGGTCCTTCAGAATGGGGCACCCCCTCCAAAGTGGTTGGTGGACATAGGATGTCCACCTAAATGATGCCCACCAAAGGGTCCCTCATGAAGATTCATGCCCATGTGGGTGGCTCGGTACCCCTTTTGGGGGTTTTGTTTAAGGGTTGGTGGGTTCAAAGCATGGACAGCAACATGCCCTTTTACGGACGACTGAGGTCGGGCCCCCCCCTATGGGACCAAGAGTTGTAACTTCCAGTCTAGGTGAAAGGTTTGCGGTCCAACCATGCAGCCAAGTAGCATTACCTGACTCGACTGAGCTGTTCGGCCTTTTGCCCTTGGCGGTTCTGTCTTTTGACAAGTCACCTTTTGCAGGGCTTTAGAGTCAACCCTGGTTACGACACGCCTAGACCACTTTCAACAGAGCTTAGTGGATGAAAACCATAGTTACTAGCCACTTACTGAGTAGCGTGGCCTGATAAAGCGAAAGGTGAACTGTCCACGTCCAGTTCTGAGGCCCTGCATGAACGAGTGTCAATGCTGGCGTTATGGGAACACCTCCCCCAAAAAGTTTGGGTCCACTGGTAGTGGCATAAACAAGTATCAATGGCTTCATGGGAAAGGTTCGTATATGTCCATATATATATATGCGCCCTTGGTATGGAATTAATTCAAAGTTGGTTATGGCTTAAAAAGTATGGCTCCCCCCCTTTGGGGTCCAAAATGGCCATGAGTTCATATATATGGACCTGCTGACCCAATCAGCTGAGAGGAGTTGGCCGGGTCCCGGATGAGGGACTTCCTCAATACCTTCTGAGAATTGGCGCTCCAAAAGGACACCACGCCCACACGCTGTTTCAGGAACCCAAGGTGCAACCATAGGTGTCCCTTTTAGGTTAGCTTAGCTTAAAATAGATGTACTGGTTTGGATGCGTGTTGTTCCATTTGCTACCAGCTATGGTTCAAACGGGCCACCTATGGATGCCACCGAACCTAGGTCCCCCAGTAGCTTTTGCCTTTTTTTTGGGGGGAAGGTTCCCCTACTAAAATCGACTCCTGAAAAAAGTTGGTACCAACTTCTTCTAACCTCTCTACTAGAGGACCTAACAACCCACGATGCCACCATTTTTGGGGGCCCCAACTCAACGAGGAGCAAGTGCTGAAGGAAGGCTTCGATCCGGCCTATGGCGCCAGGCGCGGGGGGAAGCGGTGAACATTTGGCCCACCATGCCGCACAAAGGGTTTTTTTTATCGGTTTGTCTCCATGCCTCCTTCGGTGTTCTCTTCTCGGGGTTTAGGTGGGTTTTCGGGGGTTTAGGGGGGTTTCGGGGGTTTAGGGGGGTTTTCGGGGGCTTAGGGGGGTTTAGGGCGGGGGGTTTAAGTTTTTAGAGGGGGTTTCCACTGTAAAAATCTAAAGGCCCCAAACGGCAATTTGGACATAGACACCCCTTCCCAAGAGTTGTTTTTGTTTCTTTTTAGCTTTCCTTGAAACCAGCCTGGAAAAATGGCCTCTAAAAACACACCAATTTGTGAAGGTTTCAGATCGGTGATAGTTCCCCCTTCCCAGTGGCCCGAGGTTGTGGAAGAAAATGGGACGGGAGGAATACACCCGCCCGCCGCCCTAGCATTGGGTGTTACACTGAAAAAGTGGTCCGGAGTCCCACTAAAAGATAGCACCCCCCGATCAAAATCTAGCAGGTCTATCAATTTTTCACTCGGGCTTCTCATTAGTTAGGGCTTTAGGGCAACTTTCTGAGATACAGGTTTGTTTTTGAAAAAGCGATCAAGTCTTGGGCAGGGCGACTATGAATATCAGGGTTTTTGTTTGTTTGCTCCACAACAATGTTGATGGTCCGTGGGGAACATGTGTTTGCTACTGAGAAGCACTGGCTCGCGGCAACCAATATACCGCCGGCAATCAATATACCGCTGCCATCAAAGGTCTGAACAATCCCTGTGAAATGCAAACGGAAATGAGCGCCCAACCGGCTTCCAACGGGGTTATACGCTCAAACTTTCGAGAAAGAAGCAGCGACACGGGGCATCCCGCCAGTTTTTGCTTCGCAAGATTTGTCCGCTGTCTCTAGAAAGGGCGGTTCGAACGAAGGAAAGAGACAGCTCTGACAATCCCTGGGTGTATGACCAGGAAGAGCGGGCTTTGCTTAGGCTTGGCCGACCCTCCATATTGCACAGGCCAGTTAAGGGCCAATCTCAAAATATAATCAGTTTTTATGAGGCAAAGGTCAAAGGCAACTCGAATCGGGACATGACGTCATGGAATTGGGGGAAGATTTTCGAAGGATTCCAAAGGCTCCATCCCCTGATATGAGAACTCCAGATGGAGCAGAACCCGTGGATTTCCATCCGGGTAGGGGTGGGGGCTGACTTGAGTAGGACAGGTTCTACTTAGATCCTGCGGCAACGTTAACATGAAACTGGAACCCCAGGTCCCCTCGCCCAAGGCTGGTGAGGGGGTGGTACTAAAACTCCCAAGGCTGGTTTTTGGCGTGACCTTTGGGAATCAAATGGGTGTGTCTTTTTTCTCCCTCCCCCCCCAAAAAAAAGAAAGAAGAAGTGAACAAATAGACAATAGTGAATCAAAAAACAACCTATAAAACGGTGGGTGCTCCTGTTGGCGAACCATTCTTCTTTAAACAAAACACCTAAAACAAGACACGGCGCCCTCAACAAAAAGGGCCGCGCAGCCCATCGAGAGCTCAACAGCTGGCTTCCAGGCCCTTGCGGCGCGCCATCACTCGCCTGCTGGAGGAGCCTTGGGCGCCGAGAAGCTTCGCCGGAAGGGCGCGAAGACTGGCAAGGGGCGCCTTTTTTTTTTTCTCGGGTGGCTGTTGCCCAAGAAGGCCGAAGGACACCGAAAAAAAAATACAAGGTGCTACGGCAAGGATATGTTTGAATTGGCCCGTTTGATCGATTAAGCAGCAGCAAGTGCAGTGCCAGTACCCACCCAGTCAGACAGTCAGCACGCGGGAAGCAACGAGTGAAGGTTTGTTTTCAGGTTCCTCTGGAGTTTGCATTCCCCCATCAGGCTTTCCAACATTCTCGAAGGGTTCTCACTGGGCTGGAAAAAACTATCAGTACAAGATCGACAATGGCTGAGGGTCCCATGTCCAAAATCCTAAGAACTGTTCAATCAGCCGCTTTTTCGTTAGGGTGCTGGAACTCAACCGGTTTGCTAAGTCAACTGATCGGTCAGTGCCGCTACCAAAAGATCGATGATCCGTGGATGCCGAACATGAAAAAGCAGCCGTTGGGGGGGGGGGGGGGTGGTTTGCTTGGGCAGGTTTCTTGAATATTTGCTGGACGCCTTATGCAAATTGCGGACATTGCCAGTTAGGACAGGTCAGTTGATTCCTGGGCCGCTAAGCTCGCAGTGTTCACCTCAGATTAGACGTCCGGCTGGGACTCTTCAACTTATTTCTGCGGAGAACTTAGTGTATGATATTCGCTTGAGCGAACAGGGCACGCCTACGATGAGGTCTTCAATTATTTCTTGTGGGTTCTTCATGTCTGGTTTGATCTTTTCTCCTTAGTGGAATGGGCTGGGTCCGTCGCCAAAATGGCTTGTCTCAATAAATGTTCCGTGAAAGCAGCCAAAAACAAAACTCAAAAAGGAACCGCGCGCACACGCGCACACCCGTAGACAGTTATTCAGCCAGCTCGCTGGGCGGATGCAGAAACCTCACCACGACCGACATTAAGAGTGTAGGTTTGAGTTTGAGCTGTTGGAGCAAGTTCAAGATTGAACTGCAAAGTTTTATTGAGCGTGCAACTGCGTGTTGAAGTGAACATCCCCTTTCAATGCGCATGCGCGGCGCTTTGCTTCACAGGACAGAAATGATCTACCCCTTGCAGAATCCGCCAACCCCCCACCCTGACCCAACAGATTTGTTATATTCCGTTCCAAAAAAATCAAGCCCAAGCTGGCTGGGCGCAAGCAAAACAAGTGGTGTAAGTGTGCTTCTTGTTTTTGGTGTTGTCACAGTCGAGCCCTCTTCGGCCATTGAAAGGATAAGGTTGACCCCTGATGAATGGCCCTGGTGGTTGAGTGATCATTGGGCAAGTAATTTAAGGGGGACCCCGGTTGCCTTCTGGGCGGCGGGGGCATGTTCCACTTCAGACACGTGTGTTGCTTAGCTTTGTGTTGGGATGTGGTTTGACTTGTAAATGGGTCCCAGCCCGGCCCTGGTTTTTTGGGAGAATTTAGATCAGCATTGCTCTCTCCGTGTACTGGGGAATCAGGACTCTTGTACTTCTACGGGGAAAACCAAAAAATACAAACAAACCTTAAAACAGGGAGAACGCCCTGAAGGAAGTTATTTGGACATGCCCAATACCTGTTGTTCGGGGGACATATGTTGTTATTCTATGGTTTTGTGTTGTGTTGGTTTTCCTTGGGTTGTTCCTTGGTTTTCTCGCATTTGGCCAGTCTCCGAGTAAGTATCTCCCAAGGAACAGTTTTCTGGCATCGGATGCTAAAACATTGCCGCTACGTATGTTAGCACTGTTTCCTATGGTCATCACCCCGCGTGCAATTTGTGCAGTGATGAATTGGTTGGTCTTTGTGCCATTTACCAAGGTACCATTTTGGGTACTACGTTTTGAGCCACCGCCAATTTACTGTTTGACCAGGTGCCTTCAGCGCGCTTGACAGAAATTGCCATGATGACAGGTGCCTTCAGGGTGCGAGCAAGGCAGAACATGCGACATGAATTGCTGCAACCCAAGTGGAAAGTAGCGACATTGTACATGCCGGTGACACCGACAGGGGTGGATGTTGTTTATTTTGTTTGCAGGGCGGTGTATCGTTGTGGGGATGTGGTGAGTAACCCTCATAGAGAAGGCACAGCGTCCCGAGCACGTGCTTTGCCAATGTTCAAGCAGTGGTGCAATATCCCCGAGTAGTGACAAAACACGTTTGATGGGATGTTGGATGCCTGAGTCTGACAAGCGCTATTAAGACAACTCGTCATAAGCCAAACAAATCTAACACCAAGCTTGACATGTGCTAGCCATATTATATATGGGAACCGAGCTGGCAATACAATCACGCGAAGCTAATCACGCTACGCGAACCAATCATGAGACACATGCTGAAGCTTAGAAATGTACCAAATATAGTAGATCATGCCAGACATATTCAGACACAACCTGCCTCAACGCAGATACAATGCTAGCACTCCTTTCAAAAAGCCCTAAAACATGCTGATGCCCCATTGCTGACAAGCCGTGTTTTTCTCCCAAAACGCGCTGGGGACCATTTGCCTTTTCCTTTGATGCCTTGTTGGTTGGTTCTGAGGGTTAGGCCCACTGGAAGCTGGCGAAGCTCTTTCCCAGGACACCTTGGCAGAGCAGCTGCTGGAGCAATCTGCGGAGGCGCCTCGGATTTCCGGTGACCTGTGCTAAAGGGAACGCGTGGGGGATCCAGCATGGACACCCAACGGGAGAATCCGTGTCATCATCCAGCAAAGGAAAAGGACTCCTCCCTCTTGCCAAGTATATGGATTGGAAAGGGTTCCGGGGGTTGTGTTGGGAGTACCAATAAGGCATAGTTTCCCAACGCCTGTCCAAAGATTGATCGCTCGCTCGAGCATGGCTCTTTTGAGAAGGTGTCTTAATCACTCGGCCTGAGCTTGGTGCATTTTCTGAGCTTGGTGCTTTCCAGGCATCAGGTTCCTTAGGTTTTAGGTGGTTTAGTGGTAGTTTCCATTAAACTACTAAAAGTTAATAACTGTTTGAAGGGGATCGAAGGGAAACAGCCCAATTAGGCTTGCTCCGAGTCTCAAGATACTTGAATGGGTAGAAAGCCTGTCAATGGTCAAACCTGTGGCGTCCCTTTTCAGGCCAAATTTCCTTCCTGCCATCATGCCCCTCTTTAGCTTCAGGCCACGCAAAGAGTTAGAAGCTGGGAACCAGACTAGCCTGGAACTTGGCCAATCCCGGATTTCTACCAACGCCCAGGACCCAGCAACATTTGCCCTTACATTGGGGGTTGCTTTTGATCGCACCCGGCTCACGCACCGCCATCGATTCGCGCAAACGCCGGGTGGCGGTTTGGCACTCGGCGGTTTGGGGATGGGGTGGTCAAACCTCCATATGAGAGTCATGGGCACGGCTTCGGGACGGGCGCCTCTGTTTCTCTCAACCCAACACCAAGAAACTTCCCTTAGGTCTGGTGATTCTCTTGAGGTTCGGGGCAAAGCCTGAGGTTCGTGTGAACAGGTTTGCCTGGCAAAGCTCTTGCTGCTCAGGACATGGCGGAAGAATTATCCCTGGAGAGTAACAGGTCCTGATTGACTTTGATCGTGTCCCCTGCTGGTGGTGGGATTCAGGCCACCTTTAAAGCGACCACTCCCCACACAGCCTTTTAATAGGGCAGGTTCTAGGTAGATCCGGGGTCAACATTGAGAGGACCCATGGCTCATTCCCGAACCATTGCGTGAGAATCCTTGTGCCCCAAAAAAACACTAAAATAAAATAATAATAATAATAATAATAATAATAATAATAATAATAATAATAAAGTGCATCCCTATAGGTGAGAAACAGACCCCTTCGGAACATGTTGTTTGCAGATACCAAAAGAAGACGGGCGATTAGTCAACTTCCTCCCGACAATTATAAGAACTAATTGAAACCCTGTGTTCCAAGAGTGTCAGGTGTCCGAGTTGCCCGTCAGAAGTGTCTTCATGCATCGAGCTGTCCATTTTTTCCTGCCAAACGGCACCACCCCCCCCCCCCCCGCCACCAAATAACAGCTCTCCGCTTAGTGTAGTCGCGCCCTTTTTTTCGCAAGGCTTGTGTTTGGCGGTTCCGGGCAAGAGGTGGCTATCTTTATTGGTGCAACTACGGGTTGTGTTTTATTGCACCAAAACAATAACCCAAGGGTTGCGACTACGGGTAGCCAATAAAGGGTTGTGTTCGGGTTGTGTTTGATGTTTTCTGGAGCTACTATCTTTTTTAACTTTGAATGCTTCTCAGGTCCCTCCTTGAGTGGACAGGTTTGGATTTGGATTGGACCCCCCGGTTCTTGAGGGATGGGGAGCCTGGCTGCTTGTGCCATAGAATCCCTGGTGCTTCCCCCTGGTGCTTTTAGGGAGGTTTGAGTCTTGAATGCTAGGAGTTGGTCAGCCGCATCCGTTTGGGTGTATCTTTCGGCTTGGCGAAAACGAGAGGTTAAGTAGGTGACCAAGCCTCAAGGTTTGAGTTTCAATTGGGTTTCATTTGCTTTGCCCTTTTGGGGCTGCCATGTTTATCTCAAGGTCGACCCTGAGTTGTTTCAGCCTGGATTGTTCGAGGGGTTGTTTCCTGAACTGAATGATTTGAATGATCCCGTCTCAAAAGGGTTAGTCAACGAAGTACCCTTCCAGGGCAATGGGTCAGCTTCCCCATATTTGAAGGCTTGGGGCCCTTTAAAAGCCAATCCAAACCACCACGTTAAATTTGGAGCACCGTTTTGGGGGAACTCGTTTTTGGGTTCCATGGGGAGTATCGCAAGGGGACGCCACCCCCGCTTGGATAGCACCGTTTGTCAGAAAATGCGAACGCTAGGGCGAGGGCAAGCACTTGTCCGTCACCTTGGGCGTGCCGGGGCTCCCATTGCAGGGGTGCGCGGCCACGCGTTTCACTGGCCAATCATCCCCCCCAACAACAAAGAAAAAGTAAGGATATTGCAAGTCGTATATATGTATACATATATATATATATATATATGGTACAGCGTTGCCAGCCCCCCCCCCCTCCCCCCCCAATGGTCATGGGTCAGCCAAGTACCCCCCCCCCCTGTGGTTGTGGTCCTGTGGTTGGGTTGTGGTGGTTTAGGGTTGGTTTAGAATTGGTTTAGGGTATATTTAGGGTGTATTTAGGGTTGGTTCAGGGTTGATTTAGGGTTGATTTAGGTTGATTTATGTTGATTTAGGGATTGTTTAGGGTTGGTTTAGGTTTAGAGGTGTACGGTTGAGGGTTTGGTTTAGGGTGTATTTAGGGTTGGTTTAGGGTTGGTTTAGGTTTAGGGTTTATTGTTTAGGGATTGGTTTAGGGTGTATTTGGGGTTAGTTTAGGGTTGGTTTAGGGTTAGTTTAGGGTTGGTTTATGTTGATTTAGGGTTGGTTTAGGTTTAGAGGTCTACGGTTTAGGGTTTGGTTTAGGGTGTATTTAGGGTTGGTTTAGGGATAGTTTAGGGTTGGTTTATGGTTAGTTGCGGGTTGGCTTGTCCTGGGGGTGGGGGTGCCGGGGTTTCTGGGTGCGAGTTCAGGGGGTCGGGGTGGGGGTGGGACCGTAGGTGCCAGGATCCGGGGGCTCGGGGTCTCGGGCCGGGGGGGGGGCTCTTGGGGGACCATACCATATGGGGGGGGGGGGGTAGCAACACGGAACACGGGACCATATATATATATATATGTATATATTTATGTCTCTCTCTCTCTCTCTCTCGCTCTCTCTCTGAGTTTCTCTCTCTCTCTCTCTCTCTCTCTCTGAGTCTCTCTCTCTCTCTCGCTCTCTCTCTCTCTCTATCTCTCTCTCTCTCTCTCTCTCTCTCTCTCTCTCTGTCTCTCTCTCTCTCTCTCTCTCTCTCCCCGAGTTCCTGGACTTGAGTCACTTTTGGGTCTGGACCATTGTGGCGAAAAAAACATGGGGCTCCTGACGAATCTTCTCAGGAGATGCAATGAGACTCGGGTGGGCGACGGGGCCTTATACCTTGTCTGAGGGACAGGCAAAAGGGTCCATGAAAGTACCACTTCGGCGGGCTTGTGGCTGAGACAAGGCAAAAAACCTTTAACAGCTTGGATGGCCCACACGACTGTAAAGCGATATGGCGAACTACCAAAGGCGAGACTTTCGTACCGAAGACCGTTTCTTTTAAACAATAGTTTTGCTGCGCGCGCTTTTCTCGTGCTGACCCAAAAAAGGGAGGACTACCCACGATCATCAGGCTATGTTTCTCACATGCTTGGTGTGTACCTTCTCATTTGCTGGAATCTGACAGGCAATTTTCTCTACGCCAGTTTCCAGGTTAGCCGGTGTTAGGGTATGTCTGGGTGTGTTTTAGAATAGGGGACCCCCCAAATAGTGCTTTGCCTTTTGGTGCCCCTTTATCCCTGCAAAACAACCCATAAAAAGGGTACCCTCAAACAAAGACACCCGCATATGTGTTTTGCTTTATTGCCTCTTGATGCAGTTCATTGATGGATCGGCCCTCTTGGTGTTGAATGGCAAGGGGCGCACCAATCTTGTTGTTGCGCCCGTACCTAACGGCTCCCTGAGAATCTCGAAGCCGATGAGAGAGAAAGGTTTGGGGCATACACCTTTCTACCCTTGGCTCCTTCTGTGGAGGTGCTTGCATTCCATTTTTCCTTTTATGGGAAAGGCTAGGTAAATGGAATTAGGGACCCCCAACCCCCCTCCCTAGGCCCATGTTCATAGCGCACAAAAGCACACCGGTAAAACCGGGGTACAGCCGGTAATGGACCGCCCATCTTTTGTAGGCCATGTTCATAGCCATATTCTTTCCCTTAGGATCCGGCACCTCTTTTTTTGCCGAACCGAAAATTCTCAAAGGCTCTTTGGGCGAATGGAACGCAGGACGGAGGAGGGCAAGGTGAAGGCGGAAGTCACCCAGATCAAAGACGTGGAGACGGGGCCTTACCGGACGGTCGCACCGCTTACCACTTGATCCCAGTGAACCCTGGAGGTGGTTTTGGGGGGTGGAAGCCATGTCATGGGATCTCCCGAAAACACAGTTTATACTTTACGCTCTATCATATGGAACGGAGTCAAAACATATCATTTTCTATCTAGATGCGGGCCAAGTTTGGATTCCCTTCATGGCCTAAGTCAGGTGAATACATGTTTAGATGGCAGCAAAAAACGGATATCGATCCAAACAATCGGTGGATGCCGTCAAGAAGCCACACACTCCCGGTCTGATCTAGTTTTTTGGCCCCGTCTTGTTGGTGCATATCCATCTCGAACTTTTCTTGGGTGCCCCAAAGGTTTCATTCCCCAAACTCCTCCAAGTTCCTCGGCCTCGTTTCTCTTGTTTCCTTGTGTAGCTCGGCACAGATGCCCTCCAACTTCAAACGGCAGTTTCGGAGCTTCCAACCTGTCCATCCCCGCGGGTCCCGGAATCCTCCTGTGAAATCGGTGGAGTTGGCCGAAAAGTGAACCCGGGAGAATACCTAGAGTGAAAGGGTGTGAATAATTGGTTTCTTTACCTGGTAATGTTTCTGGCTGGACCAAAAATACGATTTTCATGTTGTTTTGGTAAGACTATAAACTAAAGGCAGGAAACACATGAAAGCTTGAAATTATATAGTTTCTGCTCAGTCAGGATTGGGGAAGTGCATTTAATGCCCCACGGCTTGCCAGTCGACAATATGTGTGGCAAAGAATTCCCGCTCTGTCTCCCAGCGTTCGTTTGTTTCAGGCAATTCTGAACTTGGACATCCAGGTTCCACTGCTAGCCCAGGGAAGAGTGGTGGTTGGTTTTCTTGAAATTCCGCCGGAGGTCTGTGAGCCTACCAAACTTTGAGGCTTGAAAGCGATGAGCCAACGCCACGGGTCGATGTTTGGGGCCCAAATCCCCCCAACAAAACACTTCCATTTGATAGTTGTTACTCTTTCCTGTTGGTTTAGGGACCTTTCAATGACGGGCAAATGTGTGTTCAGTGTAATTAGTGGGGGTTCGGGTAGACATACAGTTGGAAGTCTGATCTCTTCAACGGGTCCGTTGCATGGGTTGTAGATGTTTCAGGTGGTTGCTATATTGCTTCAGTTTTGTTAAAGTGCGTTTGCCCTGGAAATCCACTGACTGAAGGCCTGCCGCAAAGTGCTTGCTGAAAAGGGTTTGGTGGACTCTCTGTTAGGTTGATTCAAAAGGAGCCCTATTTTAGGAAAGCACATTTTAGGCGCCCCTATTTTGAGAAGCACTCAGATGCTAAGAGCTTTTGGCATCTGGGAAGGGGCTCATAGCGCAACGTCTCAGGCCGGAAGCAAAGGAGTCGCCGGCGCCTGACCCTAGCAAGTTGGCTGGTGGGGCAGGTGGGAATGAACCCCCCTAGCTTGATTTATAACTGCTTAAGAACGGATCTTTAGACTTTTACCTTTTTTGGGAATCAGGTCGGATTTTCCAATGGACCCACAAACAGTTAAACCTTTTGCAGAGGTGCCAACAGCAAGCTAAGAACTCAGTAATGTGGGATCTCCTTTAATATGACCATCCCCCCCACCCAACAGTCATGTTAAGGCCTCTATAGTGGCAAATGGGGCGGGGGGCGAGTTCTGGGTTGGACTTGGGCTTGGCAATGCTTAATTTAGCATTGCCAAGATCTCAGATTCCCAGATCTCGGCTAAACCACCCTTTAAAGGTAAAGGCTAAGGCTCTGATTTTGGAATTGGACACCCATCAAAAGAAGCTTGACGTCAAAGCGTGCCAGACTGAAAAGGATCACGGGTTGTGTGACTGTCTGACCTTGCTTGCACGTATCATTCTATAAGGGATTTATACAATTCGATGGTCTGAGGACGACCTCAAAAGCAAAGAATCCTAAATCCAAGCAAGGCCTTTGGCGGGAAGGGCTTTGATCACCCTTTAAATGTAGAAGGCTGCCGGATCTGGCCAGGATTGCCCGCACGAATTTTTGCCCGGGAAAAAAAAGCATCCTATGAAAGCAACACCCGAAACTGTTTTACAGGGCTCTGTTGCCCGAGTATTGCATGAATATTTGGATTCCCATTTATTTTAGATGTTTGTGGTTGGTTCATGTGGTTACCGGTAATCTTGATGGTGTTGGTTCCCCATCATTCGCCGGTCGTCCAGCTGGCCCTGTTACTGGCCTTATGGCCCTTGGTTTCACGGGCAGTTCCGGGCATGGGTTTGGAGGATTTGCTTAGGAATATGTTTTACTTTCCGTTCTTGGTTTTGAAAAGGAATTTATCACTACTGGACATCTTTTTTGATTTTTCCAGGGGTCTTAACCAAATGGAAGTTATACAGCACTGACACAAGGGGCACATTCCATCCACCCCATACCTGGAAGCCGGAGCTGAGACTCAGAGCATGCAGCCCCAGGTTTCTGGGGCACGCGAGAAACCGGATTTAGTGTCTAAAATTGCTTCAACAAGCCCAAGCCGCTGCCACCCGGGGAAAACGGTGGTATATACAATTTACATGGTATGCCTATAGAATGCACATCACCCGGGGCAGTGATTTGGGGTTAAGTAGTGAGAATAATTTTGATCTGCAATAGGGAAACCGTCAATTCGCCCCTGGATTACTCTTTAGGATCCATGCGCGCGTCGGCTGAAGTTCTCTCAGTTTCCTGAGTCGAGGATGGATAAGTCCCTAGGACTGACCAATGTGTCCTTCCGCCAGCCCGACCTTTTGACCCGTTACTTTTACTCATGGCTTTGGTCACATGGCTTTGGTTCACCAGTCCTTTTGGGAGCCTGGCCCAAGTAATTTGAGCCTTTCTAAACCCCAGGGCATCCTGAAGAGGTACCTGGACTGGGCTGTTGCGCTGGTTTCAGTTTCATTGGACATGGGTGCGCTGGCTTCAGGGGTCTGATCATTTGCCACTCCTGAAAAGTGCACCGATCGGGTAGGGCAAAATGGGGCCTGACTTGGAAACGGATTCCTGGGGTCTGGAACCCCTACAGCCCAACCAAGCTGAAAATGCACGGGGGGCGTGGGTCGAGATGCGAGATGGGATCTGAGGTGCTCGAAGATGCAGCCGCGGGTGTTTGAATGGCGCGCTGGCTGCGGTTGTCGACGGTTGGTTGGATCCTCCAGTTGCCACTACCTACAGTATCCTCTATGTTTGGCATGATGGTTTCCCCTGTTTACCTACTATAGTGGTCATGGAAGCACCGGGTCCCCTCCCTTATTAATGATAGAGAGCGGATTATTTTTGCATGCTTGATCAATCCGGGGTTGATCAATGCTCAACCGTGTGGGATCTTGCCGTTGCCCCGCGCAGGAAACAGCCAAAACTTTCTGACGGGGGTGAGCCATCCAGCTAACTACGCTATAGGTATAGGACATGTTGCCATTACCTCAGGGTATGTGCTTGCCTGCTACATGCTGTAAATTGGTTTGTTAGATTTGCCCCGTTGGGACCACTCTCCCCGGAATTCTAGGGGGTCTCAAAGTCTTACTTCTTGAGTTGGCGAGCTTTGGCAGTTTTCTTCCTCATGATCATGTTGGTGGAGGATATGGAGGCTCATGTATCAAAGTAGGTTGAAAGGCCGGGACAAGTGTGTGGCTTTTGCTGGGCCTCGGCTGAAATAAAGAAGACGCCTGCCAACAAAAAGTGCTCACGCAACTCAAGCTCCCATTCGCTTTTCGTCCCCTGAAAGCAGTATTTCCTGTAGTGACCGATTCCCTGTAAACAAACAGCGGGAAGCAACAACATGTGTCTCACTTCCTGAGCTCATGAACTTTAAACTTTTTGGGAAGACCATTTTACGTAGTTGTAAATATAAAGTTTGAACTTTTTTTGGGCCATCCACTCAGCCAGTGAGGTGTGCGTAGTGCCTGAAAAGCTGGGCGTGGCCTGTCTGAGAGTCAGGAGTTTTGGGAAGAATGGGGAGCTTTTTGGACTTGTCCGGAAAGAGAAGTCACAGTCGTCCAGTTTCAAGTGCCCACCCTTCACTCGCAAGCGGACTCAGATGCGCAAACCTTTGTTTGCTCTTTCCGGCCTTTCGCACGTTGCCGTTTGGGGGTTCCCAGAACTCTTCTGAACTTTGTCAACAGTCCGCAGGCTCCTGGCTTTGACTCCAACAAAAGCAAACGAAACGATAGGCGACCGCCCCAAAATCGATATTTGTCAACCCCCAAAAGTGATAGGGGGCCAGGAAAAAACATGATACCCCGGCAGACTATGGCTTGTTTCCCATACATCAATATGTATTCACATGTGGCACACATATACGTAGTTTCCATATGCATATATGCATATACATTATACATATACATATATAATGCATATGTATGCATATAAATAAATATATATATATATAGAGATGCACATATCAGCGGTTGGGGAGGACGTTGCCAGTCCACCGTTGGTAGGTGGTGCGAGATGGCTGCGGTTGTTCCCTCGCACCCACCCTGTGGATGAACCTGGATCCCAAGCAACGCACGTTTGTTGCTTTCTTTCTCAAGTTGTTAGGATGGGTTCTTCAAAATCAATGAAAGTTATTTCTCAGAGATGGGGAACACCGTGAACTGCCCGACTCTTTCAAGTGTTTATGTCCACAATCATCCGTAATTAGAGACCAACCGGAAACTTACTTTGTTGGGAAGATCATGTTAGCGTCAAACCAGGCGTAGGGACTTTGTTTGGCCAATGCGCCCACTTCACCCTGCGTCCTTTACCAGTTGCTAGACTTCGAACCATGCTCCACCAATGATTTTACCGAGTCTCAAAATAGCAAAGCCTCTCAGTTTGTGTTCAATTCGGTTCTCCACCTCAATTGTAATGTTTTTTTTAGACACACACACATCAGTGTAACCATAGGTGCTGGGAATCCAGCCTTTGCCAACGAGCACGAAATCATCCTTAAACATGACCTCCCTCCTTTTGGCATGGGTGTGGGACTTAGACTTGTGTCGCCAGCTGTGATAATCAGGTAGCAGTGGGATCCCGTTGGAAGTGAGGACGTCGTGGGAATCAACAAGCTTGGGATCACCGAGTTCGGTCATTCCCACACAGCCATTTTGGCGCCCTTTGTTTGTTTAGTGTTTTGCCCGAAGCCTAGCCAGAGTCAGAGAGTCCATGGGCTTTTGGTATTTGAATGCCAGTTCCCATGCCCAAGGACGTTGGGCAGTCCCCAACGACTCCTTTTAGTCGTGTCCAACACCCCAAGTACTGTCCACAGAACAGTCGTTCGGGTTAGGGTACTGCTGGCTGTTAAAGGCTGCCAGCGACCAGTGAAAGAGTGGTTTTTCCGGAACGTGGCTGTTGGGTGAAATGAATTATGGCAACCACAGCGGCGAAGGATGAACGTTTCTTGTTTTTGATCTTGGAACCAGAGGTCTCCTCCCAAGATCATTTTGATCTTAGCTGAAGATAGGAAGATCTCTGCAGTTGCGCCAGGTGCACAAAAGGGGCTCAATGCCCAGTTCCGTCTCGGACACGGCTCTGAGAGAATTCGCCATGTAAAAAGCTTTGCATCTTGCCTGAGAGATGCGAACAAGTCGGAAGCAACCCGAGTTCTGCCTTGATAATTATTATTTTGACCGTGTTTTTGCCAACATCGAGGTGGCCGGAACCATTATTCGGGCCCCCAAATTGAGTTGACACAAACACACACCGCTTTGGAGTTATCCGTTTCATCATTTGCGCACCAAAGTGTTGACCGTCAGTAAACTCAGGTAAACTTAGGCGCACCCTCCCTTAAAGCAAGCACGGAAACAGGCAGCTCCCCAACGTGCAATCATACGAAGTTTGTTGGCAGTACTTACTGTGCCCAGTGTACAAAAGCGCTGACTGATAAGGGGTGTCGATCAACCAAAGGCCCTCCCAACACCCAGGAAGCGATACTTAAAGCTTTTTCTGGTGGGTATACTCCGGGGAACCAGAGGGCGCGTGTTTTTTTTCTTTTTCGCCCGACCAAACCTGGCCAAGCTCTGCGAGCAATGAGACTCGCGCTCCTTTGGAGGTCCCAGCAAAGAAAGCACTTGAGCCATGGGTGTCCTTTTTGTGGGAACGCTCTTCGGGATTGGTTTTAAAGGGAAACCAAATGGAAACCGACTATCTTAGGGTTTTTTAGGGAAACCAAATGGAAACCAACATAAACCAAGGGGCTGCCCCCTATTTTGAGACAAACCCATATGCCCATATGCCTGTGGTTTTTATCATAGCCACTGGGTCTATTAGGGTCCGGGGGCCATCCATAACGGCTCGGGAGAGCAATAAACACACCCAGCTTGTTTTTTTTTAGTGTTGTTTTCTTTTTCTTTTTCTTTTTTTCTGGAGCTTGTTTCCACTAAAGGTGCAGAAGAAGTCAGGGAAGTGGTCACCAACCACTCACCTGACATACCTTATCGTCCCAATAGCTGAAGCATCAAAGTGGGAGAGTTGGCCAATTCCGTTGATTGTTTCGGTGGGTGTTTCGGGAGTTCTGGTGATCCAATGCTCTTTTTTTTGGGGGGGGCCGGCGCACAATGCGCCATGTTAGGGGTGAGGGTTTTTTGGTCGTCGGGCCCAGTTTCCATCTCTCCGGCCTGGCGTTCTGAAAGGCTGGTTGCAACTGCAGCCAGGGTCTTCCAAAATTATTTGAAGAGAAACATCCAAACGGAGATGTTCAATACCGAGCGCTCGGTTCAACTAGTTCAACCAGACGTTGAATTGAACAGCACAGTTGGCCAACCCCCTTTCAATTGCTTAACAATATGTTGTTTGTTATTTTCCCTGTTGGTCTTAAAGGGAATCTATCACTACTGCAAATGTTGTTCTTGTGTTCCAGGGGCTGATTCAAATGGAAGACTCGCTAAGATGTTTGGTGATTTCCTTCGACTTCGACCTAGCGCTCGTGCTTGCATTGATCCATTGATCACTTTTATTAATGGGCCAAGGCCCGTCGAGGTTGTGGCAAGTGCGCGGTTCTCTACATGTCTTTTTTAGGTGACTTGTGGTTTCCTTCTGGCTTCCCTCTAAAGCCACAACAAGGGGTACCAACTTGACAAAAGACCAACCACCGAGTCAGAATTTGACGCGAATTCCAATTGCACGTTTCGAGTTCGGATCTATCCATAGGCCGCGCACACCGCAACGCCGGACATTGTTCCGAGCTCACTCCGCCAGGCAACCAGGGGCATAGTGAGCATGCTAAATAATTTTCAAGGCACTGTGAGTGGTATCCATTCTAGGTCCCGGTCCCCCAGTAGTACCCTTTTATATACCTTTTTTGGGGGAGGGTTCCCCTACTAATTAAAGTGGACTACAGAAAAAAGGGTCCCCTTATTGTAATCTCTTTACTGGAGGACCTAGCATTGGCTATCCTCTTCGCTTGCAAACTTTGAAAACTGTTGGTGGGTATATGTCTGTTCATCATTTCGGTTAGGCGAATTCTGCCTAGCGAGCAGATCGGTGAGGGTTCAAGCCGCCACTTCAGCTGGTGAAGAAAAACCATGGTTGGCATTGGACGGGTTCAAAGTCAATGATTCCTTGTGCCGGATGGTTGTATTGCTACGTTACGGGTTCCAGATCAAGGACCACATTGCGAACAACCCAGAGGGATTTGTGACTTGTCAGCAAAACGTTCAAACACTCGGGGACTTTTATTTGTTGTTTTTTGCTATTTGCTTTGCTTGTGGTCTTTGTTGTTTTTGCTGCATAGGCTGGATCCAATGTGACAGTGGTGGCTTTGAGCCGGGCTGGAAGCCCTCCTGCGTGAGTCCGCGACGCTTCTTGTTTTTTTTCTTCCTGCGATGTGTTGAAGGGAAATGGGTAGTGAAAACTAACGAACCGGGCGTGCGCCCCAGTTTGCAGGGAAGGTGCTCCTTTTGAGAGGGTGTGCGCCATTCTAGTGGGGGATCCTTCACTTTGGGAGTCGACATGTTTGCACCCGCGGGTTTTGAAGGACGGTGGAATTGGCTTGTACTGAACCTGAGGTCGACATATCTCAGAGCTTCTGTTCATTCTTGGATGGCTTGAATGCTGGGTAGGATCTTCAGCCACGTTTTTGAAAACGGCGTGCTTCTCCCACTAAACCTTCAAAGGTTGTTCACTTGTTGGGCCGGTTTCTTGCCGGGTTGGCTGAGCGAGTTGGTCCCGAGATTCGAACAAAGGATCTCCGCGTTTGAACCTGGCTTGTCGAGTTCCGGCCGGCGAATGCGAAGGCCAGGAAGTTGAACAGGTGAACCAGTCTACAGCAATAGCTTGTTCCGCCTTTTGTCCTCGCCGACAGAAAAGGACGCAAGGGGTGTCATACGTGTCCTTTTGGTTGGTTTTGGTAGAGCATAGATGGACTTGGTTGTCTCGTAATCTGCCGGGCCCAATCTATTTTCTCAAAAGGACACCTATGGAAAGGGGGGCTGTGAAAACCCCTGGCTCGATTGCCAGCAACGGCTGCGTTTTCCGATGGTTTTCCGATGTCCAAAACCCAAAGAACATTCGTCAAGAGATGATCAACAAAATGGTTTTTCTGGGCCTAAGGCTGTCCAAAGCTGGGTCAATCATTTGGACACCCCCCCCCCCAAAGGCGGCCGGTGGCAGAAAAACCCCGACGGGGCCACGGCCTCCGAAGTCAAATGGGTAACTTGGCAAGCATTCGATCCCAGGGTTGTGGGATCACTCGGGGTTTTTCCAACCACTTCTGTGATACTTTTGGAATCCCCCTTTATATGCACAAAATAGTCTTTGGGGTTAGGCCCTTTCTGTTGTATCACAGTGGGTTCCATTCCCCACAGCCCTGTTTGATCCCGTTTTCGGCATGATATTGGTAGCTTTGAAAGTGTGGCCATTTTTTGGTTAGGGCTTTGGCTCACTTCTACCATTCCTACTCCCATTATCTCCCATTCGTTTTGCAGAAGCAAGGAGAAGCTCTGGTAAGCACAATGCCCGGGCCTGGGCTGTCTTGTGGAATTGTGCTGCTGGTGCCTGAACATGCAGGATATGTCCATGTGTTGTTGTTTTTTTGTTTGTCAGGATGTTTCCATAGAAGCCGCGCTCCTAGGAAACCTCGCCGCACATCAAGGCTCTCAGCCGAGCCCCGCGCGGAGCCTGGCGCGGCACGGCGAGCCCCGCGCGATGTCGGAAGTGACGCGCCTTGGAGCAAACGGGGGGGCGTGAAAGAGCGGGGGTTCCAAGAAACCAGCCTCAGGAAGTTCTACAGGAAGTCCTTGTTTTGGGTAGGTGTTTGGCCAGTTTCCAACGCAACTTTGGCAGTTGGATTTCATGGGTTCCATTGCTTAAAATGTGAAGGGGAGGGGTTGCAACCTCGAGAAGGGCGTGACCAAAACACAGTGACACACAGACACAAACACACACACAACACATACCCATGTGCTTTTTCAGGCATATGCGGCATGCGGCATAACCCTTTCAGGGTTTTGGGGTGGGTTTCCCTTGAAGATACTGCTTCCCCGTGCAAGATGCAGAAGATACACGGGGTTCGTGAAAAGCATTTTGGAAGGCTAATTAGGGGGGGGGGATGGGGGGGGGCTGCCCTTCTTTGCATGTGATCAACTGTCCAAGCAGCCAACCAAGTATAACTTTTCCTTTTGGCCACTAGGTACAGGGAACAAAGCCACTACTAGGTCCCCCAATAGTGCCCTTTCTCACCCCTTTTTTTGGAAATAGACAAAACGGAATAAAGTCGGTACCCTTATTCTAACCTCTCAAATTCTGGAAGACCCAGACTACCTCCCCGTTCGTTCTCTAAAGAGGCCAAAGGTGTTGTGGCGCCTTGCACCGCGTTTTCCGGTGTAGCTTCCCGTGAAGAGCCCGTTGCTTCAGGAAGGTTTTCAGATCTTTCAGCTCCCTTGGTGCTTTTTGAGAGGGTACTTCAACTCCTTTTGTTTCAGGTATTTGGAGCCTTAAACGAAAGTCAGTTTATGCCGCTTTGCACCTTGCTTCACCGGTTGTCATTTTCCGCTACTGGGCACGTCGAATCTTTGCAAGGTGTGGGTCCTGAACCCGGATGTATTTGTTGGCCCCCCCTTTTGTAACCCTTGTAGAGAAACCGATCGGGCAATGGGCCAAAGATGGGGCCGGAAACACACCTTTCGACTAGTGTCCAAGACCCCATGGTACTTGCCGCTGACTTGAGCTGAGCAGTCTGTAAGCAGTCTATGCATGCCTTGCTGGTTCTCTGGGAATGCCTCTCTATGAACCGTTTGGTCTCCCCAAACCCAGAAAAATGATCGCCTAAGAACCAGCAAGATATAAACACGCACATGTGTTGCATTTATGCTTGTAATGTGTATTGCATGACAAGCTTGATTGGTTCCCCTGATGTCCGGTTGTTGGTTGTCTTGTCAGCCCCCATGTCTGCCCTCGCGGCCTTGGATTCACAACCTGGTGGATCTTTGGGGGGCCTACCACAGGAATCCATTGCAATTCATCATTTGTAGCCTTACCCTTCCACCGACTATGGAAATGCACAGGCCCCTGTAGAAAGACTACTTTCTTCTTGGGAAGGGGCTTTGTGCGCTTTCCTGTTAGTTGGTGGGAGGGTAATCGCAACAACTTTAGTACATACTATTGGGTGTGTCGTTTGTGGGATCCCAAAAGAAGGTTGGCTTTCTTTTGGGTTCCCTTCAAGGCCACTCATAAGGGTACCCTCAAACAAAAAACACATTGGTGCTGGATCTGCGGCCGCTACTGGCACCAGACTTTCCCTACAGGATGCATTGTTAGTTCTTTGTCACCTCAGGCCCCTCCCCCTAGTTTCCTCCAAGGTTCTTGCTGCATCGATCCCGTTCCAAGGCGAGAGACGGAGCCCAGCGCGGGAATGGCTGGGAAACTTAGAGATCTGACAGAAAGCGGGCGCGTGGTCCAAAGTATGCAGAAATTAATGCTGGGGTCTCCTCCAAAGATATGTTGCATTTCAGGGTAGGCTGAGTATGAAACAGAGTCAGAACATATTATCCTCTGTGTACTCCACACGTGGGCCTGCATTCTTGTTACCAAGGACGAAAGTAGATAGCACTTGTCATTTAGGGTGTGTGTCAAGACTGGACAACTTCGCGCAATGGCTGGTTTTCCTTTGGCTTCCCTTCCAAACAACCACCAAAAAAGGGTGGCTTAAAACGGCGCAAGTCCATGTTCGCAAGTACAGGCATTATGATCGACATAGGCAGTCCCACCAGCTTTCACACTGGCTGGGATCTGGTTATGAGCCGCTAAAATTGTGTGGTTTTCCAGTTTCCCCTTCAAAGACCACCAACCCATTTCTTGGGTTCTCTTTGGTACCTCGAACTTTTTAACCTGCTCAAGGACTATTTCCCCACTGGGCAGGGAAAATGGAACTCGAAGAAAAGAAACATTACTTGTGTTTGTCTTCCAAAAAAAGGTACATTCAAGCAAGCGGTTGTTCCTCGTTGTGCTATTTTGTTTTACTTGAGAGCTCTCGCACGCAGGATGTGACGGGCCAAATGTCTACATGTTGTTGCTATGGTCATGGCTCATTTTGGCTTTCAATTGCGCTGCCCATGTTAATTCTTAACGCTCTTGCTCGCGTTGAGGTTGCTGGCATGGCATTTGAGTCTTCTGCGACCTCTTGACAAGTGATGGCCACACGTGAACTTTTTGGAGTTTCAATTGAGGGCCACCAAACCACACTGGCAGAAAATTGGAAAACTGCCCTTTTGGTGGGTGTTGTACCCTTCTTTGGGTACCCTTTTTGGGCTTGCTTTCAAGGGAACACGCAGGGAACCATTAGTCCAAAGTTGTCAACAGTTCACAGTGCGAACTGCGTGGTGTTGGTGTTTCAGTGCTTGGTGCGCAGAGCAATGTTTGTCAGCCGTGATGTTTCCAATCAGCAATTATTGTCTGTGGCGTTTTGTGGCAGGTGGCAAAGTTATTGTGACCTTAGCTGGGCAACATGTGCAATAGGGTGGGTTTATTGGTCGGGCCGCTCAGTGTTGAGCAAGGACTGAGTCAGTGTGGGATGGGTTTTGGCACACTTGAGCTTGATGTTGCGTCGGATTCAGGTTGCCCTGTCCGAGCGATCGATCCAACTCGATTGTTTGAAAAACGGGCTTGAATTGCAACCATGCTTCGAGGTGCCGAACAACATGTGTGTGCGGTTTGTGTTGCGGGTATCCTTTTCAGATTGAAGGGCAACTAACAGGAAAGCCACCAGTTTGAGGTGCCAAGCCCATATTTTGACACGCGGCTATGACAGGGAACCACCTCAAAAGTGGATTGTGAACACAAATCCCCACCGACTTCTGCCCACCAAATGGTCCCTCAAATTCGCGCTGGCAAGTTCCTCGCAGTTTAGCGGCACCCGGCAAAAATGGTGTTGGTGACGTTCATTTTGTTTCTGAAGGGGGGTTAAACCCCACAAAGGGAACTCTCAACAAACACATTCTAGGTCCCTCAACTAGGCGCCCTTTCTTACCCCTTTTTTTGGGGAGGGTTCCCCTACTAAAATAGACTACAGAAACAAATCGGGTACCCTTATTCTAACCTCTCTACTGGAGGACCTAGTTTTGCTGAACCCCACAAAGGGAACTCTCAACAAACACATTCTAGGTCCCCCAACTAGGTGCCCCTTCTTACCCTTTTTTTTGGGGAGGGTTCCCCTACTAAAATAGACTACAGAAACAAGGGTGCCCTTATTCTAACCTCTCTACTGGAGTTCCTAGTTTTGTTGAAACCCCACAACGGGAACTCTCAACAAACACATTCTAGGTCCCCCAACTAGGTGCCCTTTCTTACCCTTTTTTTTGAAAAGGTTCCCCTACTACAATAGACTACAGAAAAAAGGGTGCCCATATTCCAACCTCTCTAGTGGACCTAGTTTTGTTGAAACCCCACAAAGGGAACTCTCAACAAACACATTCTAGGTCCCTCAACTAGGTGCCCTTTTTTACCCTTTTTTTTGGGGGAGGGTTCCCCTACTAAAATAGACTACAGAAAAAAGGGTGCCCTTATTCCAACCTCTCTACTGGAGGACCTAGTTTTGTTGAAACCCCACAACGGGAACTCTCAACAAACACATTCTAGGTCCCCCAACTAGGTGCCCTTTCTTACCAATTTTTTTGGGGAGGGTTCCCCTACTAAAACAGACTACAGAAACAAGGGTGCCCTTATTCTTACCAGGACCTAGTTTTGTTGAAACCCCACAAAGGGAACTCTCAACAAGCAGATTCTAGGACCCCCAACTAGGTGCCCTTTCTTACCCCTTTTTTAGGGAGGGTTCCCCTACTAAAATAGACTACAGAGAAAAAAATAGGGTGCCCTTATTCTAACTTGTCTACTGGAGGACCTAGTTTGTTTGAAACCCCACCCAGGGAACTCTCAACAAACACGTTCTAATTCCCCCAACTAGGCTTGTTTTTTGGGGAGGGTTCCTTTACTAAAATAGACTACAGAGAAAAGGGTGCCCTTATTCTAACCTTTGAACCCACACAAAGGGAACTCTCAACAGACACATTCTAGGTCCCCCAGCTAGGTGCCCTTTCTTACCACTTTTTGTGGGGAGAGTTCCCCTACGAGGACAGACTACAGAAACAAATCGGGTACCCTTATTCTAACCTTTTTAGTGGAGGACCTGTTTTGTTGAAACCCCACAAAGGGAACTTTCAACAAACACATTAAGATGGCCTGACACTTATCCGCTTGGCTTCTTGAGGCGAGCGGGCCGGAGAGGCCATCGGAGCTCGAGGCGCGATAGGTAGGGAAGGGAATGAACTGAGGGGGGAAACCGCCAGTTGTTTTAGCAGGGTCATTGCCTTATTCCCTGCTGAACACCGGCAAGAAAAGGAAGAATTACCTGAGACTTCGAGCGATGGCAAGATATCTACCGACTCGAAGGCTCAGTAGGCGTGTTGATTGAAGCGGTCAGACGCTGACTTCTGAAGGTTGCCAGTACGTGACCAAACGGACCCACCGCTGGTTAGCAATCAATTTCTACTGGATGATGCGAAAGCAAAGCAATCGGAACAGTCAATTGCAACGCGCGAGCTCTCACAAGGAAATGTCATATCCCGATCCCTGGCTGTTCTGCAGCGGCGGGAATTGGTAATGCTTAGCGCGAGCTTGAGCAGTAGAAAAAACCACTGCCATTCCACTGCCTTGCCTGCCACTCTACAGCCTCGTCTGCGTGCCAAGGCCTTGACAAGCAGCGTGCAAAGCCCTTCAAATATATGTCAAGCGGTGCACTATTTCTAGAAATTCCCCAATCGATCCAGGCGAAGCTTTTGATGTGTTGCTATGTTGTCTCTTCTGACACCTGACCTTGACTGGCTCATTGTTCGTATGCATCGACTTCTTTTTCGCGGTAAGTCCGGCTTTAGAAGGGCTTGGTCAAAATAGGGGAGCGCCCGAATTCCCATGGCCACAGGGGGTTTTGGACTCAGGTAACTTAGACGCAGCTTTCCAAGCATCTAAGATGGCATCCAGCCCACTTTGGCCAGGGACAAGTGCGGAATACACCCTTTGCCAAATGGCATCAGAAAACATGGCGGCTTGGGGAAAGTCTTAAAACGGCTGCTCCCCAACTAGCAAAATATTCGAACCTTTTTGAGAAGCAGTTGTGACCACTAGTCACTAATGGTGGGTGCGTTGGCACCTTCTCAAGGCTCCCTAGCCACCCAAAATCAAAGGACTAGTGGGTGATGGCATGGAGGCCAACCGGGGAAGCATGCAGGACCTTGCTGAAGTTGACATCTGTTTGCGCCCTGCTAAAGTTGACACCTGTTTGCGTTTGGACAAGACAAGCTTGCAAGCAACTGCAACGTCACCAGGCTGCCGTGCTTTGGTCAATTAGACGGAGTTCAACGACAGATCTCCGTAGCATCATTCTTGGCTGAAGCCCGGAGCCACCGCAGCCGTGGGTGGGTGGGTGGGTGGGTGCGTTCCTTGACGGTAGCGTGGCAAGCGCCCGCGCGCGACCCGGCTGCTGAAGCAACGCGTCTCGGCAAACGGGAGACGGAGCCAGCCTTCGGCATGCGTTTCCAGCGGCCTAGCGCTTCTAGTGCTTGTTTCATTTTCTGCTGACGCGTAAAAGAGGCGCGCGGGCCCACAAAGGCCGCACCCAAGCCCTCCTTATCTCCTGCACCCCACCCCCACCCCCCAAACAGCGCGAGCAGTCAAAAGCTACCACGTAAATCAGTATTGCCAACCCGCACCAAAGTATGTATTGCCGATGAGCATTTTTGGTTTCGAACGAGCTTCCTGCAAACCTGAGGTCTAAGGCTAAGCAACCTTCAGAATGGTAAGAGATGGAAAGATATGTACCGCTTCAGGTGAGAATATTACCAGAATATTCAACGCAGGGCAAAAGGATTCTTTCCAACATTCTCCGGCGCTCATGTTGCCGGCCACGAAGGGCCGCAATTCAAAAGGAAAAGGTGCATTTCTTTCCTCATGATTCGTTGGGGCCTTGTTATATTTGACCTTGAACGGGAGTCGCTCTTTTTCAGCTCGTCAAAACCTTGCACTTGCAAAGGGCTCCGTAAGAAATTCGGCGCTACTTCGCAGGGAATCTGGAATGGCAATCCGTCTGTGCAACTCTTTCAGTGGCAACCTACAGACCAACATGTTTGTTCATCCCCACCCTTCAAAAGTTTGGTTTGGAGGGGAAAACTCGAGAAATAGACCAGGCTTTTGAGAGGTTTTGTTATGAGGGGAGCTGAAAGCGGCTAAGCCTTAAACCCCTTGTCAGGCAGGAAGGTTTTGCATTATGCACATTTGGAGAAACTATTGGTTATTGGTAGTCAAAACAACCAATTTGGCATCCTTTTGGGCAAAGAGTATTCCGGGCTGCTCCGAGCAGGACAATGACCAATCTTCAAGAGCTTGCTTGTTCTTTTCCAGGGGCCACATTCCCAGCCTTGTCACAGGGTCTGCGCAAACCTTTGGGGGATAAGTTTAACGCGGCCAGGAACGCCCGGAGCATGAGCGCCCTGACGCAACCAGGTCAGCTGCTGAGTTGATCGATAGCTTGATCGGCTCGGGTGGTGGCAAGAGCTTGAGCCTGGGCTGGGCCTTTGGAAACCCAGAGCGGTACCTGTGTTGGGGCATGGCCTTGGTGCCAGTTTCTAGCAGCTGCCCCTGTTTGAGAGGGGTGTGTTTTGTTGTTACGCGCTTCATCAAGTTTTTAACCAACATAATTTGCTGGTGTTATTCTGTGGCGCTTCTTTGGGGCTGGGCAAAAGAAGCCTGTGAAATGAGGCATTTGTTCTCTTGATGGTTGATGAACCGAAAAGGCAGCCAGCCTGCTCTAGGTCCAACATTTCGGCTACATCCCAACGGGGCGCCTGACACGCCACTGCAGACCCAGAGGGGGTCCTTTTCTGAGGGGCGAAACAAGTAGACCCGTTTGATTGAATGGAAACTCGGTGTTTCAGCCAGCCATGATGATTTCAACATGTCAAGGGGGCTGGCAGGGCAGGCAGGAGCTAGAGGGGAGGCACTAGCGGGGATAGGCTCGCCACCTGGCATGGCGAATTTTCAGCGGCACCAGCGCCTGCGATCTTGCTCCAAATGCCTTGACACGAGCTGCCCCTTTGCAGTTTTCTGTGGCAAGCGGAGTAGCAAGGCATTGCTCCAACAAAAGTTGCGCAACAGTAATATGTCCACCAAACCCTCAAGTGAAACATGAGGACCCCTGAACAACATGAATCTACAGTATGTTTGGCCTTGGCTCTTCATTGCAACTTCAATCGTCCAACGGAGTGCAATGCCGGGGGGCCAGCCACCTTTGGACGTGTACGCGCCATTTCTCCAGCCTGGATGTTGAAAAAGACGTCCCCAAATGTACTCCAACTGGTGAACTCCGTACCTTCAACCCAATCAGTCAAGCCCAAGCTCTCATGAGTTGAAGCTGTCATTACCTTATAATTCTTCGGCAAAGTGGGTACAGAGCGCCTGAGGCCCCGACAGCCGCAGGCGGGGGGTAAGGGGGCGAAAAGGACGCTTTTGGCACTAAGCCCTTGGGGCAAATTGGCCCTTTAAGGTGCCCTTGCACACAAATCAAAGCCCACATGGATTCACTGCACGCGGATTGGCCTAGCAGATGTGCGGTGCTCAGGTTGTTTTCATAGAGGGCGCATGGCGCAAATGAGGAACAAAGTCACTACACTCGAAATGGTTGGGTTCATTTTGGCTTCCTTTTAAGACCAATCAAACGGGAGGCCCCAAAAAAGAGAGCACGCCATTTGTGTCAAGAGGCCTGCGAACCTGTCTTTCCTCGCGAGCCGATCAAACTCTTTCCGTCTCGCAGAACCCCGCGAATCAAATCACCGCGCGGTTGGCGGTGAGTTTCACGGGAAGCCCCCAAGCTGTCGCGGTGTCCATGTGGCTTCGCTTGAAAGCAACCCCAAAGTACCGTGGCGTTTCTGCGTTCTTTTCGCAGCCCCCTTAAGGTTCAACGAGCACTCAGGAGCCTGCGGCGGGGCAGTGACCTTTGGTTGGTTGGGTTGCAAACCCCCTTTTCTGGAACAAGAGCTCGACCCGCCTCAAACCAGGCCAATTGACTTATCCAAGTCCCAACTTTATTTTGACAACAAACAGAATGGTTCAGACGCTTCAAAACCCCGAATCTGTTGAACCAGGAGGGGCAAACGCCCGCAAAAAAGCGCAAAACACACGCAACACAACTAAAACACCAAAACGCCTTGAGAACCAGAACGCCTAGGAATCCTCGGCATTGAAATCTCCAGGTAGGGTCATTATGGATTTATGTTGTTTTGCTTGTAGCGGTTTTCAAATTCAGCAACAGGGGCTGTTTCCCTCTTATATACCCATCGCTTGAGGTGTGGCTTTGATATGTCAATCCCGGATTGATCACTGTCCCTGCGTTTTAGTGGGGAATCATCACTTTTGCAGGGGCCCTCCACCCCGTATTGACAGGACGGGTTTATTAGTCTTGGGTCGACAGAAACAAGGGCAAGTCCTAGCATCCCCTTGAAAACATCTGGAGGCCGAGGATCCTTTGCTAAGTCGCTTGGATCTTAACCTTTGGGCAATGCTCCTCCACTCGCCAGCGCGAGACGCGCGACGCGCCATAAGTCAGGGGATTGCTCTGGATCCGTTCTCAAACGCGGTGTGGTTCATTTAATTCCCTTTGCCAGGGCCCAAGTTTCCACCCTTATTCTTTGGAGCAACCCTATTGGGTGTCAAACCCCCTTTTGCCATTTTAGGTGGTTCTACTTAGTCTTAAGGTGGCTCCAGTAACGACATATAAGGCCTTTATAAGCCTCAGTCATCTCACTTCAAGACCAACGTTCCAAAGTTGCAGTTCCATCCCCATGACTACATGTTCATCAAGTCAAAATTGATTCTATTGACCACTCAGAAGTGGCAACATAAAAGCCAATGTTCTACAACCATGCCTTAGGCATGTTTCATGAAACCTGTATGAAATGCCTACCACTGGAATTGAATGAGTGCCCCAAACCCATTGACTTTTGGTCTACCCAGTTGATTGCCACAAAAATTGGCGGATTCCGGTGATCATTACCTGATCCCTGGTGGGAAAACTACAGTGATTCATCCAGATTGTTACGGTTTTTTTCCTCAAACAGAATAGTCCCTCAAAAGTTCGTCCAAATGCAATTTCTCTGTACCTGGAGTCTCCATGACCCTTAAAAAATGGGTCAGTGACCCCATTATTTTGGGCAACCCTATTTTTCAAGGGTCATGGAGACTCCAGGTACGGTTTGAGAAGCGAAGAGGGTGACTTCGATGGACCCGCAGGTGATGGAGCAGTCACGATCTGTGCCTCGGGCCGCCTAGTTCTACTCACCCAGAACACTTTTCTCCTTGGTGGCTCTCCCTTACCAGTGGCGGCCCAACAAGTGTACACTTGTTTTTCCTCTTTTTTTCCGGCTGGTCACTGGCCAAGTGAGTCTAGGGAGAACCGCGAAGACTTGGGCGTGTCGTTTTTGTTGTAATGGCCTGGCCACCTGGGTTTGAACGGAAAGAAAAACACCATTTTGAGGGGGTCTTATTTCAGCACGGACCCGCTTTAGTTTACGAGGAACCACTTTTGGACACTGAAAGGATGGCTTCTTATGGGCGTAACTGGATCCATCGGCAGGGTGCAAGTACCTAAGGAGGGACTTTGCATCCTTTTAAGCACCATAAGCAGCAATCCCTCGGCCTCCATTGGAAAGGCCCAACCAATTTGAGTTTTGTTCCAATCGTTTGAGGTAAGCAATGGTGAAGGCCCGGGCAATTTGTGACGCAGCAGCCTTCGGCTTGTGCGATTCCGGAAGAAGAGTTGACAACAGTTGTTAACTTTGCGGGAAGGCCAGATCGGTGGCAAACACCAAGTATGGCTACCCTCCCGCCAATTAACTGTCAGGTTCCATGTTTGTTGGCGGGAGGGTATTTGTTCTAAAACATCCACGGAAGTGAGTTGCTATGCGAGCTTGCAAACGGGCAAACTCAGCTTAACTATATAGCAGGTATCGGCAAATGCTAGCAGCCTTACTTGGGTCCTTTTGGGGGGGGGGGGGTCCCGGAGGATGGTGGGAAATACATGGACCCCGTCGAGTTCGTCGCAGATTCAGGCATCAGAGTAGTGCACTCACATTCTTGTTCAGTTGCGGTTGTTATCGTTGTTTCTTAATTGTGGAGTTCCCGAACTGTTCACATTTGGTGTTGGAGAAGCGGCTTGGTAGCGCGTCCGAACAACCGATTTGCTTTTGCTCCTGCTTACACGCCGACATGAGGAGTTGTGCAGGAGCCATCCAGGGTACATTCCCCTAAAATAATTGTCCAGATTGGGGGTGCAAGTAGGAACCTCGCATTGGCAACCTTGTCCATGGGAGATCATGCTGACCCTTCATGCGTAGCAAACACCCATGCATTTTGTTTTCGGAGTCGCTGCGGTTGAGCGGTTGGCTTGTCCATTGAGTTGGCGCGACTTAAACTATTTGGCCATGGGTCAAAATCCCGTACCCCCAGTGAACATCCCAATCCCCACTAAAATAGACTGAAATGGGTGGTGCACCTCCCCCAAAATCATCGGTTTTGATCCACAGCCATTTGTTGGAGCCTGGAGGTTCCAGAGTTCCGTCATCATTTTTGGTGGTCTTTTCACAGATGGCATGGGTGCGTAAACTTGTGGCTACTGTTTCTGACCTGGTCCTAGGTACCCCAGCTAGGTGTCCGACCTCTCACCGTTTCTTTTTTGGTTGGGAGGGGTTGTCGTCTACTAAAATAGACTACAGAACAAACAAGTTGGTACCCTGATTCTAACCTCTCTACTGGAGGACGTAGGGTCAGTTGTGGTTTCTTCCGCGTTTTGACTTTTTGCCAAGTTTGATTCGTATGATATCCTTGCCCCCGTTCCCCCCAATCGGCCTTCAGTTTGCCCGAAATGCTATGCACTAACTCCTGCACCATCGACGAATGAAACCCAACAGGTACGGGGTGTTCATCATATTATTATTATCCTTTTTATTGCCATTAGTATCATTCTTAGTATTATCATTATCATTCAGTTTCCCTTCAAAACCATTAGAAAGGGTACCCTCAAAAAAGACAGACCGATATTGGGATAGACCATGTCACTGAAAGCAACATGGTGGTTTTCCCGCCAAAACGAGACACACCTATGTGTGGCACGGGTCTAGTCTAGGGCTCTGAGCTGTCTTGGTTTAGTGAACCAATGACCGACACATCACATTGGTGTGCCTAATTGAAACCCACAGGAAGCCGGGGTCCGAATGCAAAAAAGTGACACGCCCAGCCGGAAAGGTGATGTTTTAAAACCACCAAGAGAAGAATGCAAGGGGAACCTTTGCCAATCCCAGGACCAAAATGAGCGCCGCAGGTGGCTTCCTGTAGAACTAGGGGGGAGTTGAAAACCGGGGTACACACCCCAGGCTCTCCGTTTCATCTCGGAGTGTCTTTCTTTTAGGCTAAATTGGATTTTGGTTTTCCTTTTGGTTTCTCTTGAACACCACCCAAAAAAGGTACCCTAAAAAGGCGTGATGTTTTAAGGATAAATTCCAGGGAACCCTGTAAAAAGCATAGGTTCTGGAGAGAATGAGATTCGACTCCAGGTACCGACAATCCCGTCGCGCTACACGGTAACGCTCTTCAAGGGCAACCGGGAGGAGCGCTTGCGACTGCGAAGCGAAGGGACGTTACCTGGGTATTTCTACTATGGTATCGGACTTGGGTAGTCCCCTGTCGGTTTTGGTGGTTCAGCACACCAATCCTGACAATTACAATATTTACAAACATACACAGAACGTACACACATGTATATATATATATATATGTTATATTGAATATATATATATATATATACATATATATATGTGCGTGTATGTGAATACATATACATCTATGTGCATGCATATAAAGACATACATATAGACATACATATAGACATACATATAGACATACATATAGACATACATATAGACATATGTAGATATGCGTAAATTTATATGTTCATTGCTAGTTGGACACACACTACACACACAGATACACACACACACATATATATATATATATATATATTTGCACATACGTCCAAGACTGTTACGCCCAGAGTAACGCACAGGGGTAATTAGTTCATGTGGCGCGGTGACCATGTTCACAATTCGTGGTGTCTGTGTGTGTGTGTGTGTGCGTGTGTCTGTTGGAGAGTCCTTTCTCTTGGGTTTTTGCTCGCAACAGTAGTTGGACTGTTTGCATCCCATGAAACTCCACGAGACCTCTGGAAGGGTGGCAGTTGTTCAAGGTTCCTCAAAGGATGCATAAAAAAACAATAAAACACGAGGTGCAACGGGATTATCTAAACCAACTGGTAAGGGTGAGAACTCTCGACTGGCCCAACTGCATCCTTTGAGTTTCCTGTCCATGGGCAACCACGGGGCCGTCTTGCGCAGTACAAAGGGTTCAACAGCCGCGCTCTGCGCTTCCAGGCGGGCCTGCGGCGAATTCGCCCTGTTTTGTTCTGCTTGTAAAGTTGTAACTACCTGGAGTCTCCATGACCCTTAAAAAAAGGGGGTTGCCAAAGGGTCATGGAGACTCCAGGTAGCTTCCTTCTCCCAAATGTCCTATGGCCTTCAAGCAAGACAAAGTTTCAAGCGCTCACTCAAGTCTGAAATCCCCGAAAAGCCCCCAAAAAGAAGCCGCTCATGTCGGGGAGAAGGCAGTGTTCATGTGTTCGGCCAAAGAGAACTGCAAAGGAGCATCGCTGGAATGGTACGCCACATTCCCATCCTATTTCACGTGAGGTCCAGAAGAACTCCATGCCCCGAAATCCAACGCCTGCCTTTGCTCATGCCCAGAACCCCAAGTGTCCCAAAAAGCAGCGCTGGTTAGTGAAGGTTTATTGGGGAGTCCCACCGGCCTTCTACGGGGCCGGGCTGCCATTTCTGGATTTGGTGGTTTGGACGGTGTGGACCCGTGCTTGAGCATAAATCGGAAGCTACCCCCCAACCCTCACACCAAGCCAACTCAATTATTTGCCAATGGTTTTCTCGGCATTGTCCGGGTTGGGCATCGAATAGGGCGTGCTTGCACTACCACGCAGTTTACCGTTTTTGTGGCACCCAGAATGCACCGTACCAAAGCACTGCGGCCCTGAGACTCTTGCTTCACTCTCGGGTGAGGGAAACTTTTGCTGCGAAATGCCTGCTCCTTTTTCTCTCGCTGAACAGCTCCCTCCCAAACCCTTGGAGACGGATTCTGCGGGGATTTTCGGACAAAAGGGGGTCAGCTCACCAAGCTGTTTCCGCTGAACGGGTCCCTTAGTGGCCTTTGATTCTTTATGGCACCTTCAAAAAGTCACTTGGAAGTTCGGGAGAGTGACTGGAGGTCATTCGACGGGGACTAGGTGAGCCCAGTGCTAGGCAACAGAACGAGATGTTGTTCGAGTGTAGATTGCAGGTTGCAATCCTTGTCAAGTGCATTGGTACTGGGACTGGGCCTGCATCAATGCAGGCCCATTTTTGATGCAGGCCCATTGGACACTGTGAGAACTTGGGATTAATCCGGCCATGCAACCCAGGATTGGTTTACCTAGATAACAATTGACCAATTTCCGTGTGAGTTCCTTCGACCGGTGCAGTCCTCCGCTGTAAACAACCTTCGCAGAAATGCCCAGGCAGCATCCATCGAGTCCTTTGATGTCATTCGATGTTCCCGGGCATCAGAGGCTTACCCGTTCAGTATCCAAAGTTTCAAGTTTTTGTTGATTGTCTTCACATACGTAAAGGGTCAACAAGAATAGAGGCAACGCAGTTGCTCCGAACCTCAAAACAGCTGGTGTCGAGTCCTGTTGATTTCGTGTTCTAGATTCCAACTTTCTGCGCTCTTGCGGTTGGGTAGAATGGCAGCAATGGGCAAGGGAGAGGCAAGGAACTTGGCAGCTGCACCCTCCTTTTGCCTTGTCAAGACCCTTCCAACCATACATGGGTGTGTCTCTTTTTGAATGGCACCCTTTTTGGGTGGCTTAAACGGCAAACCAACAGGACACCATTTCCACCCAGCGATGGGAATGCCTTGGCTTCCATCAGATGCCAAGTCAAGCTGAGGGTCCCTAGGATGCATCTGGACCATTTGGTAAAAGATCCCAAATCGTGTGTTGTTTTATAGTTGTTTTTCACATCTTATAGATGATCGAAAGGATGCCCCGGCAACAACATATATTATTGCATATACGTCACATTGATTTATGTGTGATTTTTCTCAATGTATTTGAACAGCTTTACACAACTCCTTGCAGGGAGGTGGTTTCGGGCTGTGGCTCCATGTTTCCCCGGAACCCCCCTATGGTTGGACATACACCCCAAGCTCCACGGGCATGAGTCCATGAAGATCGATGCGTATCCTTTGCGGATGCATCTGAGTTGACAAATCCCAAATCCCAAGAATCCCAAGGAGTTCTCTCACCATGGGACGCCCTCTCAAAATGGTGGACCGGTTGACCCCGGAGCTAAGAACCCGGGACTTCCCCTTGAACCTCCGGACCCCATCCGACCGTGCCAGACGCACCCGGAAGAAGGGCCCGGGCCTGGCAGGCGGGGGGGCGCGCGAGACGCGCGCGCGGGGAAGGGCTGGGGGGGGGGGGGAGATGGAAGGTGCGGGACGTGAAACACTCCGTTCTGTGGTTGTTTTTTTCAACATGAGTTTGTTTGTTTTGGTTTTGTTGGGGGGTGGCCCGCGTTTTTTTCTTCTTTCGGAAGGCTCCCCTGAGAGAGGCTGGTTTTCTTCAATCGAACTTGACCTTTTGAGCCACATTAAGACCATGTTCCACACAAGTGGGGTGGGTAATTTGTAAGAGGGAACAGTTGTGCGAAACTGGTTTCTTTTGCGTCAGGAATTCAATTCAAAGCCTGCCGAACTTACTTCTCGCTTGCACTTGGATCAAAGTAAAGCCGTTCGCCTTTTGTTTTCGTTTCGCCAAGGTTTCAGATCTTTGCAGCGCCAATGGCTTCAAACGACGGTCCGAGGAATCAGCTCAAATTGAAAACTGGCAGGGGGGAGGTACAAAAACCAATCCAGATTGACGGCATGGGGCCCTTCCCATTTCAGTGACAAAGCGGTCATTGGTCTATGTTTGGCACGGTAGGGCTTTGTTTCCACTTTCTTTGGAGCAAATTTGGGTGGCGGACTCCCGCTGCAGTATCGCGTCCCAGTTGCCTTTGCAATGCCTGGCATCAGGCAGCTGCCTAGAGTCTCCATGACCCCTAGAAATTAAGGGTCATAGCCAATTTTGGACTCCATGTTGACCTTTTTTTCGGCGTTACTAAAAGCCTAAATTAGCGGGGTGGCCACTATCTCCAGCTGTAGGAAGTCAACTGCAACCCTTGTATTTGTCGAACATTTGGACTTGAAAGGAATTCAGGTTCTGGCTGCTTAGAAACCAAGCCCTCCCCCCCCTCCGCTCCCCTTGCGTCGAAGTCGCATTTGCCGAGTTACAACAAGCAGAAGGGCTTCTACCAGGACTGGACGTCGTGACGGAGTTGAATTCAATTTTGGCCTTTCAGTGATTCAGGGCCTCTCAGGGCCCCGCCGTGAAGGCCCGAAAGTTCCGGGAATCAAACTTGTGGTTGTCCTTTTGGTTTCCCATCGGGCCTACCCAAAAACAGGTCCCCTCAAAAGAAGACACCCCTGTGTTTGTCTCTGTAGCCAGGTCCTCTCAGACAGGTCCCAACTCCTTCAGGAGTTCACGGAGAGGCCCAGTTGGGGAGCCCGTGCGCCTGGCCTGGTTCAACTCCCCTTGGTGGCTGAGGGAGAATGACAAGGAACGCCTCGCAAGGTTGGGGGTGGTCCCCCAAAAAGGACGCACCCCATACAGTTGGAGCTACCCGCAACTCTTTTCTTTAAAAAAGCCGTCAAAAGGAGACTGTTTCAGCGGCCCTTGCCAGTGATGCCGAAATTGCCCCAAGAAGACGGACTGTGGAACCCTGAATGCCAGATTCGGCAATCGGCCGCTATCCGAATGGTGGTTCTGGAAACTCTCCTGAGGGCCCCATTACACCCCCAGACGACTGCCCAATCGACAGCACTCAACATTTGCAAAAACAACACGGTAATGTTAGCACTTGATTAATAAAGGCCCCCCCCCTGAACAATGGAAGCGCCAAAACAATGGGGGTGCACTTTTGGGACGTCCAAACAATGGAGGATTTTGGGGCTCAATTCTACTTTAGTATTGCAGCCACTTCCTTTTTGCAATTCTACTTTAGTATTGCAGCCACTTCCTTTTTGCAATTCTACTTTAGTATTGCAGCCACTTCCTTTTTGCAATTCTACTTTAGTATTGCAACCACTTCTTCCTGAGCAGACTTTTTGGAATACTACTTTAGTATTGCAACCACTACTTTAGTATTGCAACCACTACTTTAGTATTGCAACCACTTCCCTTCAGTTCTTTCTGTAGCCATTCAAAAGGTGTGCCTTTCAGCCAGGGAGGGCTTGAGCAAGAATGAAGCCAGGTTTTGCCAGCTTGAGCCACCTTGAGCCACCAATTGAAAGGGGAATGCTTTTAAGCAAGTGGGCCACCAATTGAAAGGGGAATGCTTTTGAGTAAAGCAACTGATAGCTTATTTTCTGGGAGGGGGGGCTGGGGGCTTGCAACTATTGTGGTCCCCTGAAACAATGACATTATGGTGGTTCAGTGGGGTCTGTGAGGGGTACCCTTGTCCTGATTGTTTTTTTGCATTTGTTTGACACGGTTTAATAAAGAGTTTGCAGTTTCAGGGCTGGGGATGGTTTTCAATTTCTGAGGTTTCAGCTGGCTTTGGGTTCTGTGGTTGAGCAACCAAGTGAAAGGGGAATGCTTTGAAGCAAGTGGGCCACCAATTGAAAGGGGATGCTTTTAAGCAAGTGGGCCACCAATTGAAAGGGGATGCTTTTAAGCAAGTGGGCCACCAATTGAAAGGGGAATGCTTTTGAGTAAAGCAACTGATAGCTTATTTTCTGGGAGGGGGGGCTGGGGGCTTGCAACTATTGTGGTCCCCTGAAACAATGACATTATTGTGGTTCAGTGGGGTCTGTGAGGGGTACCCCCACACGGTTTAATAAAGAGTTTGCAGTTTCAGGGCTGGGGATGGTTTTCAATTTCTGAGGTTTCAGCTTTCTGTGGTTGAGTTTTGAAGCGCCACCAATTGAAAGGGGATGCTTTAAGCAAGTGGGCCACCAAATGAAAGGGGATGCTTTTAAGTGGGCCACCAATTGAAAGGGGATGCTTTTCAAGTAAAGAGTTTGCAGTTTCAAGTTTTTTTTTTTTTTTTGTTTTTAACACGGTTTAATAAAGAGTTTGCAGTTTCAGGGCTGGGGATGGTTTTCAATTTCTGAGGTTTCAGCTGGCTTTGGGTTCTGTGGTTGGGCAACCAAGTGAAAGGGGAACGCTTTGAAGCAAGTGGGCCACCAATTGAAAGGGGATGCTTTTAAGCAAGTGGGCCACCAAATGAAAGGGGATGCTTTTAAGCAAGTGGGCCACCAATTGAAAGGGGATGCTTTTAAGCAAGTGGGCCACCAATTGAAAGGGGAATGCTTTTGAGTAAAGCAACTGGTAGCTTATTTTCTGGGAGGGGGGCTGGGGGGCTTGCAACTCTTGTGGTCCCCTGAAACAATGACATCATTGTGTTTCAGTGGGGGCCTGTGAGGGGCACCCTTGTCCTGATTGTTTTTTGTATTTTTTAACACGGTTTAATCAAGAGTTTGCAGTTTCAGGGCTGGGGATGGTTTTCAAATTTCTGAGGTAGACAATCTTCAGATTGTTGCTGAAGGAGATGCAGAGCTGGCAGAACAGCATTGTTGGGGGGGGGGGGGTATTGTGTTTTTATTAAAATTGTTTTGTGGAGATTTGTTTTGGAATTCTCCCCCCGGGCAAAACAACTTTCAATTATTCTGGTCCCCCTAAACAATGGGTGCGAACCAGAATAAGGAAAAACACTTGCCATTATTGAAGCCCGGTTGATTAATCAAGTGTGAACATTACTTAGCAGAAGTACAGCTCTTGATTTTTCAATTGTGGGATGCACCTTTGTACCTCTTGCAGCGGGAAATTTCATGACAAGATTGGCAGCGCGTGCAGCAGGACTTAAAATAGTTTGACTGCGCGTGTGCTGTTTGAGTATCTGCTGCTGCGTACTCGCCTTGTGTCACTATGTGTCACGTGCATGTCACTGTGCGTCACGTGCGTGTCACTTTCGTGTCATTGCGTGCAACTTGCGTGTCACTGCTGACGCTGCGCGTCACCGCGCGTGTCACCTGCGTGTTACTCGCCAGTGACTGTTTTCGGGTCTCGCTATTCCTGGGCCCTCCCCTCTAAATTCCCCTATTGCACATATTTGTTCTCCTTTTTCCCAGGGACCGCTACAACGCCAATGGGCCACAATCAATCCCGGGTAGAGGAAGGTTAAGGGGCAGTCCCAAGTCCCAACCAATAGCTTTACATGGCTTCGGGTTCACCATTTGTGTACCGCTCGGTTTTGATTGGGAAGCACTCATGTTTTTTTTGTTTGAATGCCCTGGTTTCAAAGGGAATCGGAATCGGTTTCACTCTTGGACATATGTTCTTTCTTTCTTTTCTTCCTGCAGGGGTCGATAACCCGCACATGGCCGAACAAAAACAATTAAAAACTTTAAAAATGTTCCAGAGGACATGTTTCTTCTCAACTTGTTCCCCTCGGGGCCGATCCAAGAAAAAACGCAACTTCGGCGGACCACTCCCCTCGGCGCTTGCGCTTTGGGAGACGCCCACGGCCAGCCAGGGGGCACCAGCGGCTTCGCCTCCAAGGCGCGGCGCTTCGGCCTGAGGCCAGCGGTGGCCGGGACGGGCGCGGGTGGGGGCGGGAGGGCGGGAGGGGGGTGTGTGGGTCCCCGGGGGCGGGGGCGGGGGGTTTAAAGGGAGGGACTCACTTGCTAGAAACCTTGGACTCGAGACTTTTTTGGGGTTTGGAACCAGTTTGGTGGTAAAGAAGAAGGTCGCAAACTTTTGGCGAATCCGCGCGGGAATGTAGGAAAGCGAAAGGAAAGCCGAAATCATTGGGGTCGGGGGTGCTGAACAAAGCAGATGCCATGAGGAGAGAAAGCAAAAGGAAGCTAGGAAATTGAGGGACGACCATTTGGGAAACCAAGCAGTGTATCCCGTACATGTCATGGTGATTGTATATCCCACTCCCGGCATCATGGTTTGGAGGGTAGCCGAAAACACCTTAACTCTGCGGTCTCCAATATTAACATTTTAGGCTTGCGGGTTGAGGACATACCGCTACCGAAACCGAGCGTATGTTTTGGGCGTACCCCAGTTTATGGCGGGGGGAGTTCAACCGTCAAAGGAAGATATACCCTCCAACTTAAGCAGTGGTTGGCGTTTTGCCCTTTTGCCCTGCGTTGTTCGGAGTCAACCTTTTTTCTTCTGCGGCATGATTATGGTTTAACCCGCTGTTCTGGTGCACTACGGGTTGTGGGATCCCGCGGGATCCCCCATTTTGAGCACTAAAAGTCCTGGAAGATTAGGACAAATGGTGGTTCGTTGGTGGGAGGGTACCTTAATTCTGAGGTCAAAGTCCGGACTGATAAGGCACTCACAAATATATTTGTTTCGGCAGGAAGGGGCGATCCAAAATCTGGCGTCTCCTTCGACGGTATTGGGCTGTGTGTGCAGGTTTTTTGTTGTTTTAATGTGTTTCTCCGGTCGGTTTTCTGGGGTTACCCTTTCATCTGCCACTTGGGGGGGGTGTGACTTTGGTTGAACAATGGAGCCAGTAAACGTGAAACCGCCAGAAGGCCGAACAGTTGAACCGACAGTGTCTGTTTGGCCGACTTGCACTAAATTCGGCAACCCGAGGCTTGCTCCCGGCAAAACACAGCAGTTGGTCGGCACCCAAGGTCAGTTGGTTAACGGTTCCGCTACGATGTCCCTTTGCAAAGATAGCGTTTCTCTCCGGAAGAGCCCGGGTCTTCCAAGCAACCTTGTCACCTTCATTCATTCGAGGCTTTTTTTAAAGGTGGCAAGCCAAATCCAGAGATTTCACCAGACCAACCATGGCCAGGGACACATTCAGAGAACGTTGCAGCCATTTCAGTTCTTATTTTTTGGACTAGTCGTGCCTTTTCTTGGGGCCTTCCAACATGTTTTTTTAAGGGTAGGCGAGAAGTATGGATCAAAGTCATATGGGTCTATCTTTTGTTGGGATTTTTGTTTTCTTTGTTTTTTTTGGCGGGTGTGTGTGTGTGTGTGTGAAACGCGACCACAAGGAAAGTGACCAACCTCAACAAAGAACCCCCCCAGATTGTTACCTTGTGTGGACTTGTCTTCAGCTTTGCCCCCAATTCCAATTGGTGGTTTGGCTTTGTTTGGAGGTCTTCAGGTTGGGTTTCTGATTTACACTAAAGCCGGGGCTTCAGATCCCCGAGCCACCGGGCTCCAAACCAATTTATGGTTTTCCTGATCCCCGTCGCCCGTCGCCCTAAAAGCCGCGGCAGCCTCTCATCTGGGCAGCTCCCCCTTCGATCCCCTGCTAGAAGTCTAAGATGTGGTTGGATGGAGAAACCTTTAAAAGAGCCTTTAAAAGCTCAAGGGGATGGGATCCACAGAGTAACTCGTCAAAACAAAGATGATGTAACATCTGTGTCCAAGAAAGAAACAGGACGAAACAGTGCAACTAAAGGTGCTCACCTTACCCCTTGGTGGTTTGGACCCGGTTCAAAGCCAAGCAAAACCTCGGTGCGGCGCCAAACCAAAGGTCGGCCAAGTCTTGACCCGCCCCATTCTTGGTTGTTGTTGGGAAACGTTTTATCATTTTTTGCTTACTGTGGTTTAGTGGTTGACATCCCCACTGAACTGCTAAGCCCTAATTTTTTGCTTTCCTGCCAACGTCAAGCATTTGGCTGGGAGGTCTATGCCCAGCATGCCCCCTCCTGGCCTGGGCTGCCCAGGGCCAGGCGCTTCCGAACTTCCGGCGCTGGCGCTTCGCCCCGGATGCGGATGGGGAGATGGGAAGGTTCTGGATTTGTGGACGGAAGGGGTTCAAGAAATAGCTTGCAAGTGGTTTTTGTTGCCCTCCTTCCAACTATGGAATTGTGTGTTTTCATTTTTGCCCTCTTTCCAACAATCATAGAATTGGACGTTTTGGGGCGGTCGTTGGGTGGTCGAGATACCCCGGCTCTTTCCCCAGTTGCAAATTCCCCTTCTTTCCTGGAGAAGTTGAATCCATCCCCCATTTTTTGGGCAAGGGGATTCAGCTTTCCGGCTTTCCCAAAAGTTTGGACGGAGGAAGTGATTTGGTGGGGCCTGTGATGTTAAAGGAGGACCGATGTGTGCGTGGCCTTCCCGTACCCGCAACCCCACTCTAATTGCTTAGCCCCGAATATTCACCCCTCAATCAAGCAACATGGAATCTGACAGGGGGTCCCGGATGACGACCAATGTACTTTTCAAGGGACCCCTGTCAGGTTGCATGTTAATTGCTTCGCCCTGTATACATGTATGCATACATATACAAGTGTGTATGTATATATATATATATATTTATTTACGCGTATGTCTATATATATATATATATATATACATGTATATATATATACGTCAGCTTCGGAGCCTTGCCACTTGCGTGTGTTTTGTTGACTTCCTTCGGGAGGCGCCTACGATGCCATGAAAGCCTTGCAGAAGGCGAAGGAGCAGAAGAACTTCAGCACGGCGCGGGCCTTCGGCGGCGCTTTGGGCGCTTTGGGCGGCGCGGGCCGAGCGGTTTTAACGAGGGGTCGCCGGCCAAACGGTTGGAACCCAAAAAGACCACGGCCGGCGTTTTTGTGGGGTGTCTCAACACTAGGTCCCCCAGCTAGGTGCCCTTTCTGACCCCTTTTTCTTTTTTGGGAGAGGGTGCCCCTACTAAAATAGACTACATAAAAAAGGGTACCCTTATTCTAACCTCTCTATTGGAGGGCCCAGTAAAGCAAAGCTGTTGAGTTGCTGAATTTGTGGTTCACGGTTCACTCGCCTCTTGAGTTGGCGCAGTTTGGCCTTCATCACGTTAGGCAAGGCGCAAAATGAACTTTCTTCAGCCAGTCAGCTGAACAGATTAGACAATGACATGTTGGGCAAACCAAAAGCGAGGCCGCCGAGGGATGGAAACGAGCTGTTTGCCTTATGATGCTCTTCTTGTTCCCTTAGTTCTGGATTTTTATTTAGTAGGAGTTGCGCTTGGACTTGCTCGACTTTCAGGGAGGATCTGATTGGGCCTTACCAATGCCAGTCATTCCTTGGAATTCAGTTTTCCCTATTAGCGCCAGACAAAATGTCCCACGCTTACGCCACTGATCCTCATGCCTTTGCCAGAAGGCCCGCTCCAGCTGTGCGATGCTTCTCAGAAACGCACACTTTCGGATGAGCCATGTGGCTCTTTGCATTCTGTCTCAGACGTTCAGAGCTGTTTTGATTTGGTTGACAACGAAAATGAAACTTGCAGGGGACCCCATGTTTCCATTTACCAGGGTTCCGTTTTGGGTACTCATTTTTGACCCACAGCCAGTTGATGTTTATCCGTGGTGAGTGATGGGAACTCGAGCCTTGTTGAACCAAGGCATTTCGAGCCACTTTGCGCACCATCTCGCTCACAAGCTGCAGAGATCTTTTGAGCCGTCCCTCCAAATGCAATTGCTGTTTAGCTTTGGGCCTCCCCTTGGCCTATACTGGTTGTTTCCGAGAGATATAACAAACGCGTCCATGCTTAACCTTAATTTTTGTTTTTGTTTCCCTTCCTTGCCCACGGTTTGCTTTCCCATCCCTTCTAGCATGTGGTTGGGCGAGGGGTGTGCAGCAGTTCCATTTCCCTGTGTCAGCACTCGAAAGAATGGATATCTCCCCAAAGGTGGCAATGGGACAAACCACCCGTGGCAACTCAACACTCGCAACCGCCCATCCGACCAGATCTGACCCTTCATCTCTCCCATTCGGGTTTTCTGGGCCCAAGCCAAGGAAGAGAGTCGGGCCATTTACCAACCTGCTAGAAAGGTTCAACCTTCTAAGAAGTCGAAGAGAGAGAGAGAGAGAGAGAGAGAGAGAGAGAGAGAGAGAGAGAGAGAGAGAGTGAGAGAGGGAGAGAGACAACCACCGGCTGCACAATGACTATAACCAAAGCGAAACAGAACAGGGACAGTTGTCCAATTTGCCGAGCCTATTTCCCTTGGGTCTCCAAACATGTACATTTCAGGGTAATGGAACTGTAACAGGGTCATGTCTAACCTCCCAGCCCGGCTTCTCCCGACTTGAAAAATATATGTCTGAGCACACCTGGACCTTCAAACCACCCTGAAGGGAATTTGCTTTATCGCTTTTGGGACACTAACTGTTTTTTGGGGGTGTTTTTTAATGGTATTTTAAGGGTCCAGGGTTTTGAGGGTGTTTGTTTCTTGTGGTTGCCAAAAATGGCTCCCCAACGAAGCGACGCGACGAACGAAGCGACGCGATCCGTGCAGGCAGGAGCATCGGCGGCCTTCAACCCCAAGGCTTTCTCTCCCAAGGCACGAGTGGTTGGGAGTTTGTGGCTCAACGCGTAGGATTTTACAAATGCATACGTTTCCGCTTGTTCTGTTTTTTCTTTTCTTTTTTTTGGGGGGAGGTTTCCGTTTGTGTTCTGTTTCTTTTCTCTCTTTTTTTTGGGGGGGGGAGGAAACCATTCTGGAAACTGGGTTGCAGAATTGAAGGATCAAACTCCGTAGTCATGTTTTCCTTGCAGCTGACGGAGCAATTGCTCGATGTGGTTTCCGCTTAACCGGCGGAAAAGGATTCGTGCCATCACTTTGACCTTAGTGTTTGGGTGGGACGTTATACCCTGGGTGCTAAGCATCTCAGCATGTGCTAACTTCACCGGATGCTGAAACCGAAAGGGGATTGGTCATGCATTGTCCCCAGGCACTCCATCTAACACCTCGTTTTTGCAGCGGGAGACTGCTTCCTTCATTCCCTGATGAACAAAAGGACCCTAGGAGTTTGAACCTTGTGTGGGGAAATGACCCTCTTATGACCCGCATTTGGAAGTCTTGTGCCGCAGCTTCGAGGTGTTTCTTTTTCTAGGTGGGACGTGTTTTGAGGCTGAAACCCCCCAGAAGGACGCAGGATGCGTGTTTATTTGCCCCCCCGTGCTTGACCGCATGGTCTTCTAGGTCCCCCAGTAGTGCCCTTTTACCCTTTTGTGGGGGAGGGTTCCCCTACTAAAATGGACTAATTACAGAAAAAGGGTACCCTTATTCTGGAGGACCTAGTTGACACCCCGGATGGTCTTGTTGGAGAAAGATGCATCCCTTGCGGAACCCTCCGGCGGCGGCGATTCAATTCCCGGTGGAGTTTTTGCAGGTGGAGAAAGCTGGTCAGCTGCCGGGACCCGGGTGCGGGCCTTACACGCACAACCCTTGCGTCGTTGGTGGTTAGACAGGGCTCCCTGTTGGGAAGTGATTTGGCATCCGGCCAGCAAACCAACCAACCAACCAGCCAAGTAACAGGCAAATAAGCATAATTTTCAGGTTGGTTTAGTCGTCTCCCTTACCGAAAAGCGACTTGCGCCTTTGGTTTTGCCCAGGTATCTTCAGTTACAGGGGTTCTTACTCCGAAGATGGGGCAGTGGGAGGGTGCTGCGGGTGGTCAGGGTGCTGTGGTGGTTCCTGGCTAGGGCTTGTGTGGCACAGGCAGAGTGCTCGGGGGCTGTGCTGGGTGCTGGTTCTGGACCCTCGCAGGGTCTCCAGGCCCAGAGGAACCCATCCTGTGAGGGCTGTGGACGTGCTGATGCCTGGAGCACACATGAAGTGGTCCGAGACCCCACAATTCTGGAGTCTCCCTCGTTTTGTTTTCCGGAAGGTACTGAGAACCTTCCGGCCACATCCTCTTGGTGAGCGGGCTGTTGCTTCTTCAAACGCAGCGTTTGGCTGAGGCAGTACGAGCCCCGCACGCTCGCAAGGGAGGAGCGGGGCGTTGAGCCAGCCGAATGGAGCCTCGGTATGTTCCCGCAAGAAGCCTCTTGTGACTTTGCCATGTGGAACCTGCAATGGGGTCACTTGAGCCACAATCACAGCCCGGGTTTTTGAGCAAGGGGCAGTCCCAATACATGGGGCTCTTCAGCCCTTTTGACTCTTTGCATGGTTTCTGTGGATCCTTTTGCTAGGTGCTTGAATGTTGATACATGCGGATATTTGTGGCAGACCCCGCCAGGTTTTGGTGACTCCAAATCGCTTCCACGAAGCCTCTTGCAGGCCGCAGCGGCGCAGGCAGCCTTTAGGTCTTGCAGCGAGCGCCTAAAAGGCTGGGGCCTGGGTTGCTTCGGCCGAAGCCGAAGCCAGGTGTAAACGCGACCCTCCCCCAGGCCGGGCCTTTACAGTGGCCCTCTGGGAGGGACCCATTTTAGGTGTGGAAAAAGTGGATCACCCCGTGGTGCTTGTCGGGGCTTTGATGAGACGAGCACTTCGGAATATATACATATTACATTATATTATGTTATGTTATATAACATAACTTTATATGTGTATTTCTTCCAGGGACCCTTGCAAGGCTCTCAGCCTTAACAGCCCCTGGGTTGGCCCAACCCACTGGGGCTAGCAACCATATGCAGGGCGCAAGGGCACAAACAAAGCAGGATAGATGAAGGGCAGCAAGGGCACGTGCCCGGCCAAAAATTGCTGCGCCCAGAAGGTTTGGCTTCGGGTAGATCCCATCAGTGCCCGTGACTGGACGAACATGCGGAGACCAACCTACTCTTCTTAAACCAGCGCATCCCCAGCCCGTCTTCCTGGTAGCTTGTCTCGTGGAATACGAGATGGAAGCCACGACATGCTACCCAGCGACCCCCGCAAGCTGACGCACGTCCGTCGCTAGCCGCAGGCAGCTCCGAGTCCGAGCAGCCCGGGCCTGGAGACTACGAAAGCGGCGCGAGGCCTGGGGGGCACTGAGGTTTCTTGTAACTCTGGGGTTGGCGACTAGGTCCCCCAGCGTGCCTTTTACTTTTGGGGGAGGGTTCCCCTACTGGGGTTGGTTGTCTGCGAAGAAACTGCTTCTATGTGCATTGGCTTGGGCTCGGTCAGACTTCGACGACGATCAGCGTGTTCTCTTGATTTGCTTGCTGAAGTGCCACAACTAGGTCCCCCAGCTAGGTGCCCTTTTTTGGTTGGGAGGGTTCCCCTACTAAGACAGACTACAGAAAAAGTTGGTACCCTTAGTCTAACCTCTCTACTGGAGGACCTAGGTGATAAGTTGGGTAGCCCTTGTCCTCAGTTTTCGCAAGTTCTTCCAGCTATAAATTGGGTAATACTCCCAGCAAACCTCATTTTGGAGGTTTGCAACCTGATTGAGCAACCAAAGGCGGGCAAGGGAGGGGGTGAGCTGAAGGTGGTTTTGCGATGTAACTAGGGACTGGCAACGCCACCCTCCCAAAGAAAGTTCCTCTCATGAAAGTCTCCGAGTTTTTCGCTTGGCGAAATCTCATAATTTGCCTAGATCGTTGTACCTTTCCATGGGGCAAATATTTGGACCAGACGCCAAAACTAGAGTGTTTGGGGGAAGTGGGTAGAGTTGGCCTGACGGGGTCTCTAACCCTCCCGCCCTTGCCAGAGAGACCACAAGACGACGGTCCCTGAGAAACATGGTCGGACGGATTGTCAACTCCCCCAAGAAGCTCAACAGGATGTGGAAAGTTCAACCATTTGTTCCAGACCCCTATTTAGCACCCAGTTCAGTTCCATGCACATGCAAGGGTACCTTAAACGGAGCGGGTTGGACATATCGTCAAAAGTGGTTGTACCCAAATGGATAAAAGGGCAGCTGCCAGCAGCAAGGACCTACCGTTACAACGGAAAGATCAAGCTCTTGCAGGAGACATTGGTCAGTAACGTGGGCCAAGGATTCACCACCTGCTTGGGGCTTTCAGAAACATTCGAACACCCGGGTGCTTTAAGCATCGCGACGCTGGAAGGCTGGGAGTTCCAAAGTCCACTAGCTGGAAGTTCAGATTCCTTCGATTTGAGAACATTTTGTATTTCCCTGTTGGCCCCCTATCACTATTGGAAATACCATCTGTTCAAGGGACTTTCCGAAAATGGCAGATTCCCAGATTTGCTCCTTTCCGTCCCGAAACACTGCTCAGGGCAAATATGTTCATACAGTAAGTGGTTCTTCTTGCCAAACTTGCACAGGGCCGCTCCAAGTCTGCCAAGGATAGAAGATTGGCGTGGTGTCCTTTCATTTGTTTCCAACCAACAAAATTCTACCGGGAGCCAGGGATTGCGGTGACCAGCTGAGCTGCCGACGTGTTGTTGGCACGCAGGTTCGGATGCTGAAGCATTCTTTGTTTAAACAAGCACCAAGCACCTTGTTGTTTCCCTTTGAAGAGGAGCAAGCCTATAGGTCTTTGCACCAAATTTGCGCCAGGGTACCAAACTCGTTCGACCCGTTAGGCCTGTCACTTTTGGCAGGCCGGTGGGCTACATTCCCGAGTACCACCAGGGTCTGGATATGCGATACCCGACCTTCAAGGACGGCCGCCCCGCGATTCGCGCTGTGGTCGAGTTTGGCAGACTTGCGCCTCCTGTTCCTGCTTCCCTTCTATATGCTGCAGAATATTGTTTATTTTCCCCTGTTGGTTTTAAGGGAATCTATTTGGAAATATGTTAAACAAAAACACAAAAAGAACACAATTATTTTTCCAGGGGGCTTAAGCAAATGGAAGGTCTGGTCTTTGAACGTTTCGCAACATCCTTGTCGGTTGAATACAATGTGTTGCCAATCCGCTCAAGAATCAAGCTGAGCTTTGTGTCTGGTTTGGTCAGCTGTGAGCCATAGCAACCATAACTCTGCTCATTTCAATTGGCCGAAATCGTCAACCATTGAAGCAGTCCATAATTGTCACCATATTCTCACGTCGCTTGGTTGGGAGCCTGAGGCAAACCCGGCGAAACTAGTTCGCCTTCTGGCTTCCCCTTGGCCATTTTGAGTCGTGGCCCTTCAAGTGTGATTTCGAACATGAACATGAATCCACAAGAACTATCTTTTCGTGGGCGCTGTTGGATCTTTGACATTTGTTCCTGACACGACAAGTGTTCCAACACTGGCAAAGCCAGCAGTTTTTGCCCAGCGGGCAATGGCCACATTTGTGCATGATTTGGTGTTTGAGGACCACTTTTTTTTTGGGGGATCCATGTCAATGTGCGAGCTCTGAGGTAAAACGAGCTCGCTGATGATGGACATTCTTCAGTGGCACCCTTTTTCCCTTTCTTTTTTGGTGGATTTCCAACTAAACACCTCGTCCAAACAAAAAGGATCCCCTTTTCTACCAGGATCACTGAAGAATTGGGAAGCTCTTGCTTTGCCTTAGCCGCTCAAGTTTCGACCTAGTCGCCTAGCAAGAATCACCCAGTCTGGCTGGTTTCACGAGATGGGCTCTTTGGAACCCTTTAGGACGACACAGGTTTCAGTTTGAATCCTTCTGGTTTGGTGAGTTTTTGTCGCGAGAAATGGATCGAGTAAACCCCGAAAAGGCTCCGTTGCGCAATTTTCCCAGATTCTTTGAGCAACTGTGTTTCCATCAACGGTACACCGGGTACCCTTATTCTAACCTCTCTACTGGAGGACCTAGACAGTATGACTGTGGTAAGCATCATCCGCCCAAGGCCATGAATATCAATAGGCAACCCCTTCAAAAGCGAGGGTGCCCACTTAAAGATTTACACCTATGCAATATAGGGGGGCAACATAGTTGCTAGTAGCTCACCCCACTCGTGACTAAATTTGCTCTTAAAGTACCCCCCTCCCCGCTCCGAAGCAAAAACCGGAAAACTCAAAAACGAAAGATATGCCTAACAAGTTTCTGCTCCTGAATGAAAAAGACACTACAAAAAGCGGGAAACCAAAAGGACACCAAACCACAGGGGTCTGCCATATAGAAGAAACATATTGGGAAACTCTCAAAATGAGTGTTTTATGTTTGGTTTCCCTATCCCAAAAAAGGTACCATCCCCAACCACCAAAAGGGGTCCCTGATTTTGAGAAACCTCCCGCACGCGTGGCTAGTCTTTTTGCCCCCAAATTGGATTTGGTTTTCTTGTTGCTTTCCTTTAAACCAACCCCCAAAAGGTTCCCTCAAAAAAAACACCGTGTAGACCCTTTGGTGGCCATGAAAGTTGGTACCCTTATTCTAATCTCTCTACTGGACCTCGGAATAATTCATG